GCCTAAGAAAACAACGCGTGGTCGTGCAGCAACCCACCAAAGGCGACGGCAGGAAGGGAGGGAGAGGCAACGACGAGGAGGAAGGGAGAGCGACGGCGGGGAGGGAGGGAGAGGCGACGGTGGGGGGTGAGGTGAGGCGACGGCCGGGAGTGAGGGAGAGATGACGGCAAGGTGGTTTTAACAAAACGAGTGTGAAGGTATTTGGGGTGGGAAGATAAGGGCCGAGCAGGTGATTGAATTTAAGAAACGGGACTCCCAAGGGAGCAGAGTTGACAGTGGGGAAAGGTTTGGTTGGGTTTGTGTAGCGCTGGCAAGAAAATTTTCTGTCAATGAGGCACGAACTAGTTTTTACAATCGAAATCTACCTGTTCCTTTATACTCGCCAAAATCAAGAAAGTTGTAGATGATTACTATTAGCTGTTTGTGACACATAAGATTGGGCTGCAAATACACAAACTCAATAGAGAACAATATTGCTTAGGAAAACGAAGAAAAACTTATATTCTTTAGAAAATTGCCTTTAACAACAACCAGTGGTAGTAATAAATTACCATGAGCAATAACGAAATAAATAACTTACAATCATAGTTAAAGAGACATAGTTCGTTGCTTTCTCTATATACCATAAGTATAATATCAAACAGTTCATTTTATGACTTAGCATGAAAAGTATGTCCTACGCAACCCTTCCGACGTTAACGTCGAACCTTGTTTTAACTCCACAAATAAGCAATTATATGTAGCCCAGATACACTGCAATACATATGCAGACTAAAACTCTCCCTATCTCTGACTTTTTCTTCTCGAGCACAGCGAGGCTATCAATCCCAGCAAGGCAAAGCTCGCAACATAGGTTTCTCCAACAAGCTTCCACCCCGAATCGGTCCCTGTAAGTGCGGTGCTTATCTTGCTTCTTGCCGTTCCCCTCGCCGTTTTTCACTCGATTATCTCTTCAGTACACCTTCGCAGTACGCATCAAAATTAGTTTCCAATATGCCCCGTCGGAAATTGTCCATTGCCAGGAAAGCGAGAAACGCGAGAAACGCGAGGAACGCGAGGAACGCGGTTATGGAAGTTGCACGGGTGGACGCAGCAAGCGGGGCTCAGCTGCGGGGCGAGGCCTTGCACGTGCACGGCCCTGCTGAGCTGTCGTCTCAGGATTGGCTTGCGTATTTTGCGACATTTAATCCTGTCGGGATTGAATGGGTGTCTGTATCCTCTTGTAAGGAACCGTCGAAAGTCACCACCATCAATTTCCCTGCTCACAAATGTAGCGAGCGTTACCGCGAGTATGTCCTGTTCACCCTCGAATAGCTCCTTCCCCCCCCTGTTGCTCTCATTCCAATTTCCTACTGGTTTACGCTTTCCTTCCAACCCCTTCAAAACTTCCATTTTCCACTCCGGCTTACGAAATGCCGATCATATTGGCCTTCCTGCTCTTTATTTGAACTGCTTCATTCTTATCGTTCTACAAAAGCTGTTGGTATCTTCCGGTCACGCTCCTAGCTACCTAGTCGGCTTTTTTCTTTCGGCCCGCCCTTTTCCAGCTCTCCACATACCCCTCTCACTTCTCTTCCTTGGTCCCTCCCTTCTTTCTTCCTCGCTCCCTCCATCCATCGCTCCCTCCCTTCGCCGCTAGCTCCATTCCCCCCTCTATCCCTCCCTCCATTCGTCCCTTCATCCCCCTTTCCACCCCTCCTTCCCCCCCATCGCCTGGCAGGCAACGTGGTGTTTGACGACGGGTTCACGTGCAAGCGGGCGCTGCTGGCGAGGCGCACAGCCCTGGATGACATGTACCAGGGCGTTCCAACTCATGGTCAGTATTTCTCTGCTATTCGCTCTCCCTTTATGGCCAGTACGGTCTACTCCCCTTGGTAGTCAGCACGGACCAGTTTCCCGAGCATGGGGATCTTAATAGCTGTTGCACTTTGGTATCCACTGGCCTCACATGGCTCTTATTTACCCTCTCTCCGTCTCTCTCTACGCCAGTTGTAAACAGTAGAGGCTCCGTTTCTTCTCTTGTTTCAAGCTTGCCCTCTTCACGTTATGGGAACTCCGCAAGCATGCCTTTTCACGGTTTTCTCTCCTTGCGATATTGCATATCCTCTTCCCCTATTCCAGCACTCCCCCTGCTCCGTGGTTCACAGCAAAGCCCATTTCCTGTGATGGCATGAAGCTGCCCTGCTCCATCCGGCCAGCTACAATTTTCGACGTGCGCCCGTCCACGGGACTGCCAGCCAGTGTCCTTTCCCAGTTGAGGAAGAAGGAGGAGGGGCAAAGCTTCGCAGAGGGGACGGTGCAGGGGTGAATGCTGGAATAGGAGGGGGGATATTCCACTCCACTAGTAAACAGCAAAGCAGCCGCATAGGGGCAGGTTTTGCTGCTGGCGTTGCGAGCAGCAACGGTGCAGGTGGCGACGGGGGAGAGGAAGGAGGGGGAGGTGAAGGAAGCATTCTTGACAGGGCCCTGGAGGAGAGCAGTTCCGATGCAATGGAGGGGGTCACTGTGAACGGGGACGGTTTGTCAGGGCTGCATGGATCAGGCATGGCTCCTCGGCGCGCTCGTGGCTCTGGTGGCAATGCCCGGGGTTCTGCTGGTAGGCGTGTGGTGGACTGGGATGCTCCCGTTGCTGAGGCCAGTGAGGGAGTGGTTGAACGGTTCGGGACGGCGTCTGAGCCAGAAGTGGTGGCTGCCGCAGCTGCTGCAGCGGTCGCAAAAGCTGTTGGCATGCCTGTCGCTCCAGCTTCTGCTGTTATTCCTGGCAGTGTGGTGGCGATAGAAGGGGCTCCCGCAGGGGCTCCCCTAGTAGCACTCGTGCCTGTAGTCACAGATGGTGAGGATGGGCTGGCAGGAAGCAGGGTCGGGGGAGAAGAAATTACAGAGGATCTCCGGGAGGTTTTGCAGAAGGTCAGGGAAGGGAAAAGAAAGGCTCGGCCGAGCGTGTGGGAAAGAATAGGACGATCCGGAGGAGAAGGTGGGGAGGAGGGGGAGATGGATAGTGAAGGAGATGAAGATAATCGGGTGGTCGATGGGAAAGGAGGGGGCAGCATGCTCGAAGGGAGGCTAGGGTTGGAGGGAAAGAAGAGGATGATCCGTGATGCTGGCGGCACCAACCGTCTGTTTTTGAAAAGTGTTGCGTCATTGCACAATGGTTCGGACGGTTCACGGGGACCTGGCACGGTAGTTGAAAAGAAGCGACCTTCTCGAAGTGTGAAGCAAAGGCTTGGAAGCAAGGTGGTGGTTCCGCATGCTCTAAGTGAAGTGGAGTAAGAGCACATATCAACTGTTGTCACTAACTGGCATGTGATTGCTTGCTTGCATTGGCCTTGCAAGCAGCTATTGCCCTCTCCTTGTGTTGGTGGAATTTCCTTGTTTTGACTAGTTCCATCTAGCGCTTAAGTTTTGTGACATCTAATGTCATGACAGGTCGAGTGGTGCAATTCCACCAGTGCACAATGTAAGAATTGAAAAGAGAGGAAAAGCTGTCATTTATGGTTGTGAAGCTATGCATACTTGGAAAGCATAATGATGTGGAAATGTTTGTATGAGCCTTTTCCAGATATTCTCCCATCCTCGCTACAACACGAACCGAGCCCCTCCTGACTCGCCTTTACGAGGCGAGGAGCTCCCATCGAACCAACGGCCCTCTTCCCTCCACAAGCTGGTACGCATATTCGCATCGCATTCCGAATCGCGCATCCAAATTTTCGAAGGGACCGCGTGGAGGGAGCTGAAATGCGTGAAATTGCTGCCAGATTTGACAGGCCCATCACAAGAACGTGATGGGTGGCGGGGAGGAGGGGGAGAGGATGTGTGTGTGGTTGTGGGTGCTACAGTGTCGTGTGTGAGTGTACAGAGGGTACCCTGATGCAGCACCCAACTCGCACACCCTCACATCCCGCCCTCTCGCTTTCAAACTTTCGCTCGCCCGCTCGCTCGTACCACATGGAAGCAGTCCGGCTAGCGCGACAGTGCGGTGGTGACTGGCTAACAACCAAAGTCCTAGCAAGAGCTACAGTGTTTCTTTATACGTACAGGGCGCTTGCAGTTCCCTTCCCGTTGACATCCTGGGAAACGTGAATAGAGAGAACGAGACGAGAGGATAGGGATTGCGTTGCAGCGTGTTCATAAGAAAAGATACAGCTCCACGAGGAGCTTTCCACGTTCGTGAAGCAATGAGTAGCAAGCATGCGTCGGATAGAATAACCACGGCATTGTGAAAAATCTTGACACAGCGGACGGGTCTGAGTAGCAAAAGGACCGCGGAAACCCGGACGAGCACCTCATGCACTCCTAGTTTTCATTGTTTGCCAAATCGAGCCGAGAATTTCTGAATTTCCTATATAGGCACTTCTTTTTACATACTGAACCTCCTCGCACATTCACATGGAGGCGCATACACCAAGTAGCGGTGGCATGGCCACGCGATGGGAAATGAGTCCGCGGATGTCGCGCGGGCGACAGGAAGAGAGAGGCCGATTCTGGGGCTCCAGCAGGTGCGTCGCATAATGAGTAGTGCGTGTTTGCGTTTTCCGTGGGGCGTATTCCGCATTGCGCGCTCCTCACGTCACGTCGAGATGTCCGTGGTGTGTCGTACAATACGCGCCGCGTTCCGTTCTCAGAATTGTAGCGTTAAAGCGAACCAATACTTCACGTACTCTACCATGCCCTCTCCCCTCGCTCACCCTCTCTCTCCCCTCGTCCCGTCTCTCACCCCTCTCTCTTCCTGTTGCTCCCGTATATCTGCCTTAGTCCTCTTTTCGCCTCTCGTCCCCCGTTATCCCCCTCGATTTCACCCTCTCCACGCCTTTCTACGTTGCCCTCCTCCTGCAAGCACCCCCTCTGCCCAACTCTCTTCTTGCGACACGTCTCTCGCCGAATACATATGCTTGCAAATTTTGAAATCGATCCCCCCAGAAGCAGCTTCCCTCCGCCTCCCCCATTCCGCTCACATGCTCCGCTTTCCCCCGTCCCCGTCGCCTTTCCCCCGAAACAGGAAGATGGAATCCTCATCACCCCGTGAAAGGTCCCCCTGCCTTGCGCAATCCAGCTCGCGCGTGCATCCCAGCCCGCTGAACCTCCCGGTCGGCGCGTCTCCCCTCGCTGGTCCCCCAGCCGCGGAGGCTTCCCCGTCGCGCGGCGGATGGGGCGCAAAGTGGGCGTTCTCGGGGCGAAAGTCCAGCCCCAGGCGCGCGCGTTCGATGTCCCCCGTTCCGCGCAGGGGGAAGGAAGCCCCGCCTGTAACTGTTACCACGGCGGCGAACAATTTCGCGACGCCAGGCCCAACTCTCCCCACGCGTCGCGTGGGCAGGCTCTGGTCAGCCGCGCCGCCACCGCCAGCAACGTACATGCAAGCCCCGGCCGTGGCGGCGGCGAACGAGGGAGAAAACGCCGCACATCACGGGTTTCCGTGCTTAACAGTGGGGGAACACGAGGTTGGGGAGAGACGACGCGTGGCGCAAGGGCCGGGCGGACCGCAGGTCGGAAGCTCCCCCAGCATCGGCGCAATTGCGGGCGCGGGAGCGGGCGGTGCGGGCCTGCTTGCGCTGCAGCTGCAGCTGCAACAAACGGATGACGACGAATACGACGAACCGCCGGCCATGGATGGCGAGTATTATTCAGACTACGCGCACCAGCAGCACGGCGGAATAACTCCGCCAGAAATGCCGCAGCGGAAGAAGAAAGCGGCGGTTTTCCGCGGATGGTCGTACCTGATCAAGGCGCTCTCCCGCGGGATGCGGAAGAGCAAGCAGCGCGGACGCAGCCCCAGCCCTGACAGGCGCGCGCAGTACGCGGGGGAAGGCAGCGGCGGAGGCGCAACTCCGACTCCGCCTCCTTGCGCGTTTGTGCGCGTGGGCGGAGAGGTGATCCCCGTGCAGCCGGGGCAGGTGCAGGAGCAGGTGCGCGCGTTGGAGCGGCGCATTAACTTCTCCACGGAGGCGGAACCCCGGACGCCTGAGATGCGCGCGCAAGCGCCTTACGGAACGGTTCTACCCGCAGTGGGGGGCGCGGACGGCGGAAGAGCTGCGCAAATTGGGGGAGAAGGAGGGAGAAAGGAAGGAGGAGTTGCGCTGGTGGATGTGGGGCGAGTGGGGCTGGGGGGAAGCCGCGGAGCGGCGCAAGGGGAGGGGAGCGCGCGAACCAGACCCGCGCTTGTGGGGAGCTTGCGCTCATGGCACAACGAGGCGGGGGAGGAAAAGCGCGATTTGGGAGACGCGGAGCAAGCGGGGGAAGAGACTGCGGAGGCGGAAGGGGAGCGGAAGCTCCGCGCTGGCGCTGCGGCTGCTAAAGCGGCTGCGGCTGAGGGAAAGAATGACTCCTCTTCGTCTTCGGCAGTCACACCGGCCATCGGATGGGGTATGGGGTTCAGAAGTGCGCGCATGGTGCTGCAGGCGCAAACCACGGGCGCGGAGACGGAGAAGGCGGAGGAGGAGGACGAGGAGGAGGAAGGAGAGGCGGCGGTCTCGAAACGCACGGAGGTGGAAGAGGAGGAGGCGGAAGCGGAGAGGAAGGCGGATGCAGAGGGGGAGAAATCGGACGTGACAGAAACGGCGAGCGGCGTTGGAATGGCAAGCGCGGCGGAGGTGCAAGACTATGCGGCACTTGCGGACAAGATGGATGTCGAGGATGTCACTAACGAGGATGAAGCCGACGCGGGCATTCCAGCGGTTCACGAGGAGGAGGATGAGGAGGAGGAAGAGGAGGGGGACGGGGAAGAGGAGGAGGAGCGGATCCGCGAGATGCTGCGCAGCGGCGTGGGCGCGGGCGTGTTGCGCGCGAGCGGGAACTGGCTGGAGCAGGTGGCGGCGGCGGAGCGCGACGGCGCAGTGGACGTGGCGGCGCGGCTGCTGGAGCTCGCCAAGGAATGCGGCGCGCAGGTGGGGAACGGGGGGGGTGAAGGGGAAGGGGGGGTGAAGGGGAAGGGGGGTGAAGGGGAAGGGGGAGGGGACGGGGTGAAAGAGAATGGGAGAGAGATGGGGGGAAGGGAGGAGAGGAAGGAAAGGGGGGGATTGAGAGAGAGTGACGAAGTGGACGGGTGGGGTTGGGAGGGGTGATTGGAGGAGGTGATGGTGGTGATGCGGGGATGCATGAACGTGGATGGATGGCATGGGGGACAGAAGTACCAGGAATTGGCTTGGATTTCATGTTGTGCTTTCTTCGTTTCCTCCTCTTACCTCCCCTTTCTTCCTTTCTTCCATTCTTAACCACATTCTCTCCGCCGCAGCTGCAGGACCCTATCCTCTCTTCCCACCGTCGCACTCGCTCCCTCTACCCCTCTCACCGTCGCACTCGCTCTCACTCGCACTTACTAGAGGAATTTTTATGTTTCGATGGGCTTGGCTGGATTGGCCATGCAGCATGCCACGCCACGCCTTGCGTCTCGCCCTCCTCCCTCCTCCCCCTCCCGCTCTTCCTTGTACCACTTGAACACTTTGCCCATTGAACATCTGCCTCACCCTTTTCGACCACTTGCTCTTCCCTCCCCCGCTCTCTCTCCTCTCTCCCCTGTCTCTGCCACCAGCCGGAGCATGAGATCGACGAGGCTCGAGCGGAGTTCTACCAGAGGCACACGCACCTGCGCCGGCCCGCTTCTCTTCCTTCTCCTGCCCTGCTGCTGCTGCTGCTGCTGCTTTTGATGCTACCGATGCTGCAGCTGTTGCTGATGCGGCTGAAGCTGCTGGTGCTGCGGCTGCAGCTGTTGCTGCTGCTCCTGCCTCGGAATGGTGGGGAGGCAAGGAGCAACAGAGCGGGATGGAGATCGAGGTCGAAACGGAAGCTGCAGCGGCAGCAGCAGCGGCAGCAGCAGGCTCAGGTAGTGGCACTATGGAAAAGGATCTTGATGCTGTGAGCAGCGATGGCGATGCTGGTGCAGAACAAGGGTGTGTTGAGCAAGAGGAGGCTGATGCAGTGAGCGAGGCAGAGGCGGCAGGCGCGCCTGCTCTGACCCCCGAGAAGGAAGAGGAGGAGAGTGGAGGCATGATGGTGAAAAGAGAGGAGGAGGTGTTGAAGGAGGAACAAGTGGCGGTGGAGGAGATGGTAGTGGTGGAGGGATTGAATCTTGAGGACCTTGTGAAGGAGGAGGAGGAGGCGGAGGAGGAGGCGGAGGAGGAGGGCGAAGAAGGGAAGTGAAAGAGGAGATGGAGGAAGAATCACCGGAGGAGGAGGAGGTTGTGATAGAGGCGGTGGAGGAGACGGAGCAGGAGGATGATGGGGAGGAGCACGACTTCAATGCTGGTAACGCACAGGAGGGTGATGACCTCTCCGCGCTGCTAGCCTTGGCTGTGGAGGACGCTGCACCAGACACGGAGCAGGCGGAGGAGGAGGAGGTGGCGAGGGACGAGCAGGAGCAAGTGGAGGAAGGTTGGAGGGAGGAGGAGGTGGAAGAAAGATGGGCAAAAGAGGAGTACGAGAGGACCGGGGAGCAGGAACGAGGAGCGGATGTGTTGGAGGATGCTACATCTGCTGCTTCTCCTGCTGCCTCTCCTGCTGCTTCTCCTGCTGCCTCTCCTGCTGCCTCTCCTGCTGCCTCTCCTGCCGCCTCTCCTTCTGCTTCTCCTGCTGCCTCTCCTGCTGCTTCTCCCGCCGCTTCTCCTGCCGCTTCTCCTGCCGCTTCTCCCACTGCTTCCCCTGCCGCTTCCCCTGCCGCTTCCCCTGCCGCTTCTCCCGCCGCTTCTCCTGCCGCTTCTCCTGCCGCTTCTCCCACTGCTTCCCCTGCCGCTTCCCCTGCCGCTTCCCCTGCTGCTTCTCCCGCCGCTTCTCCTGCCGCTTCTCCTGCCGCTTCTCCCACTGCTTCCCCTGCCGCTTCCCCTGCCGCTTCCCCTGCCGCTTCTCCCGCCGCTTCTCCTGCCGCTTCTCCTGTCGCTTCCCCTGCTGCTTTTTCCGTCGCCTCTCCTGCTGCTTCTCCCGTCGCCTCTCCTACCGCTTCTCCCGCCGCTTCTCCTGCCGCTTCCCCTGCTGCTTCTCCTGCCGCTTCCCCTGCCGCGTCCGCTGCTGCATCCCCTGCAACTGCTCCTGCTGTGCCGCTGTCTCCGACGCTGCCGTTCTGTGACCTGACGGCATCACTGGATTTTGACATGCTGCTGTCGTCCGTGGAGTTCTTGTCGCCCGACCATTCGCTGCAAATGTCCGCTGCTTCTGCTGGTGCTGCTGGTACGGGTGCTGCTGTTGGGGCGTTGGGATCAGCCCACACAGCCGAAGAGACGGATGCTGCTCTGTTCCTTAGCTTTGAAACCTCTTCTGACGCTGATGCTGCTGATGCTGATGCTGATGCTGCTGATGCTGATGCTGATGCTGCTGATGCTGATGCTGATGCTGCTGACGCTGATGCTGATTCTGCGCATGCCGCCCCAGAAGGACTCGTTAAGGAGGAGGAGGAGGTGGAGAAGGAAGAGGTGAAGGACGGAAGTGTTGAGGAGGAGGTAATACATGGTGTTGATGTGGCATGGCTGGTGGACGGTGGAGGGGTGCAGGAGGAGCAAGAGGAGGAGGATGAGGATGAAGTGGAAGCGATTCATTCGAGCAAGGAGCAGGAGGAGAGTGAGTCGCAGGCGACAGTGGAGGAGGAGGAGGACAGGGAGGAACGGGAAGAGGAGGAGGAGGACGAGGAGGTGGAGGAGGAGGAGGTGGAGGGGGAGAGCGATGAAGAAGCAGGTGGGGAGGAATCTGAAGTGTTCGCGGTGGATGGTGCTGCCGTGCATGAGCAGACAGCGCCGATGGAGGTGGAACTATGTAAGGAGCGAGAGGAGGGCGATGAGGGAGTAGAGGAAAGCGAGGAGGGAGAGGAGGAGAAGGAAGAGGATGTTGAAGATGCAGCGGCTGCAGAGGCAGGAGCAGCTGCTTCTGCTGCTGCTGCTGCTGCTGCTGCTGCTGCTGCTGCGTGGTGGGAAGTTGAAGCTACTCCCTTGACAGAAGTAGAAGCGGACGTGCAGACCGAGGAGGATGAGTTGGAAGAGGCTGAGAGGCTCGAGGCGGAGAGGGAGGTTCGACAGCAATTGGTGCTGGAGGAGGAGGAGGAGGAGGAGGAGGAGGAGGAGGAGGAGGAGGAGGAGGAGGAGGAGGAGGAGGAGGAGGAGGAGGAGGAGGAGGAGGAGGAGGAGGAGGAGGAGGAGGAGGAGGAGGAGGAGGAGGAGGAGGAGGAGGAGGAGGAGGAGGAGGAGGAGGAGGAGGAGGAGGAGAAAGCGGTGGACGAGGAGGCGGCGGAAGAGGCGGAGGAGGCGGAGGTTGCCGCTGAGGGGTGCTCTGAGACGTCACAAGCCGTGCTGGAGGAATTGGAGGAGGTGCGGGAGGAGAATGCGGTGGGAAGTGAATATGGAGCTTCTGTTGCAGTCGATGGCTTGAGCGAGTCAGATGAGCCGTCCTCGTTTGTGGACTCCATGCTCCTCGACCTTGCATCTGGAGTTGGTCAGGAGGACGCTGCTGCTGCTCCACCTGCTGTGACTGCTTCACCCCATGCAGTGGTTGCTTCTGTCGACGCCGTTACTGCGGCTACCTCTGTCAGTGCTGTGAGCATCGATGGCGCCGTGGACGCTTCACATGCTGACGCTGAGCCGACTCTGTTGGATGGCTCCGTGGCCGAAGCCTCAGGAGGCTCGGAGGGAGAGGCAGAGGCAGTGGAGAGCGGAGACGAGGGTGGAAGTGGCGTAGAGGGTGAGGGTGAACAAGCTGGCGTGGTGGCTGTGGGAGGCGTGGAGGTGCTGGAGGTTGAGGAGAAGGAAGAGGAGGAGGAGAAGAAGGAGGAGGAGGGTGCGAGGTTTGAGATGGTAGGCGAGGAGTGCGAGACGGATGGTGGAGAGAAGGGAGAGGAGGAGCAAGAGAGGAGGGCAAAGGAGCAAGCTGAGTCAGGGCTGGTGGAGGCGGTGGTGGCGCGTGATGAAGGGGAGACGATGGATGTGCAGGCGGGAGGCGCGGAGGAAGAGATAGAGGGGCCGGAAGAGGACGAGGAGGAAGAGGCGGAGGGAGAGGAGGCGGAAGTATACGTGGCAAAGCTTTCTCACGTGGAAGGTGGGGCGTCAGGTGCTGTTGAAGAGACGAGCCTATGGTGGAAGACGGAGGAGAGCCGCGCAGATAATGCAGCAGAAGACGAGAGTGAAGGCGAGGCAGATTTGGCGGCGCTGGAGGTATGCGAGGTGGCGAGCGAGGAGGAGGAGGCGGAGGAGGAAAGTAGGGAGGAGGGAGTGAGGGACGGAGAGCAGGAGGAAGAGGAGGTGGAGGAGGTTGGTGAGTTGTTGCTTATCACAGGGAATGGTGTGATAGGAGAGGTGGAAGGGAGGGAAGAGACCGTGACAGTGGGAGGGAAAGAGGCAGTTGGGGAGGAAGATTCAGTGGCGGAGGAAGGAAGAGTGGAAGAGGAGGGGTTGCGTGAGGAGCAAGAGGTGCAGGAGCAGGTTGACAGGGAGACAGGAGTGGACATGCATGAGGAGGTGCTGGCAGGGAGGACGCACAACGCTGAGAACGCGCATGCAATGGAGGAGGCGGAAGCAGAAGGAAGAGTGCCAGAGGAGGCTGTGTTTACGGCAGGCGAGGAGGAGGAAATGAAGGAGGAGGAGGAGCAAGTGGCAGTAGAGGAGGAGGGGAGGAGGAGGAGGAGCAAGTGGCAGTAGAGGAGGAGGGGGAGGAGGAGGAGGAGCAAGTGGCAGTAGAGGAGGAGGGGGAGGAGGAGGAGGAGCAAGTGGCAGTAGAGGAGGAGGCAAATTTGGACCTTGAGGCCCTGGTTGAAGCGTTCGGAGAGGATGGTGACGGGGACGAGGGAGTGGGAGAGGACGAACAGGAAGAGTTGAAAGAGGTGGAAGAGGATGAGTGGGAGACAGCGATGCAAGGGCTGGAGCAAGCCGCAGAGGAAGTGGCGGCAGAGGAGGTGGTAGCAGAGGAGGAAGAGGAGATTGCGTCAGAGCAGCAGGAGGAGGAGGAGGAGGCGGTGGGGGGAAGGGAAAGCGGGGTGAGGGATGCGGTGGAGGAGGAGAGTGAGGCGAGGGTAGCAGAGGAGGATGAGAGCGAGCAAGTGAATGGAGTGGAAGGGGTGACAGAGGACGCTGCAGAAGAGGAGGCGAGTGAGGAGGAGGTTATCGAGAAGGAGGTGAGTGAGGAGGAGGTTATCGAGAAGGAGGTGAGTGAGGAGGGGACGAACGAGGAGAAGTTGAGTGAGGAGGTGGGTGGGGAGGTGTGTGAGGAGATGGAAGTAGCAGTTGCAGTGAGCGAGGTGGCTTGTGCAGTGCGGGAAGAGGCGGACGAGGAGGCATTTGAGGGAGAGAGGGACGTGGAAGGAGCAGAAGGGTTAGAGATTGGTGGCAAGGGGGGGAGGGAGAGTGGAGGAGAGGAGGGAGAGAGCAATGCATTGGTGGAAGCAGCTGGTTGGGATGAGACCCAGGTTGGTGTGACGGAATGGGAGCGCTCAGAGCAAATGGAGGAGGAGGAGGAGGTTAAGAAGAAGGTTGAGGAGGAGAGGGCGCATGCGGAGGAGGGGAAAGAAGAGGAAGCGGAGGAGGAGGGGGAGGGGGAGGAGAGAAAGGAAAAGGAAGACGAAGAGGAGGCGGAATTGGGGGGTGGTGGATTGCGGGAGAGTGTGAGTCTGGTGGGAGTGGACGAGCTGATTATGCTGATGGAAGAGGAGGAGGAGAAGCACGTGCGCTCGGAAGGGGCTGAGGGAGAGACGGAGAAGCGAGAGGCGGAGGAGCACGAGGCGGAGGGGGTGGAGGGAGCGGAGGAGGCGAAGGGGGTGGAGCAAGAAGTAGAGGAGGGCGTGGCACAGGAGGAGTTTCCTGCTGTTGTTGAAGCTTTTGAAGAGGAGGGTGCGTGTGCGGCTGATATTCCAACCAGCCTTGCTGCAGCCGGTGTTGCAGCTGCCATCGCTTGTGCCGCCAGTGCTACTCCTGACGCTGCTGCTGCGTCCCCTGCATCTCCTGTTGCTGCTGCTGCTGGCGTCGCTGTTGTGGAGAAAGCCGGCGGGGAGGGAGAGGCGAAGGCGGAGGAAATGGTGGAGGAGGGCGGGGAGGAGAAGGTGGTTGCAGAGGGGACGGAAACAGGTGAGGTAACACAAGTGGAGATGGAGGCAAGTGAGAAGGAGGGCGTGCAGGAAGAGCAGGCAGAGAAGAAAGAGAAGAGAGAGCAGGGAGGGATGCTACCATCGCAGGCTGATGAACCCTCTTCAGCAGTGGAGGAAGCAGTGGCAGAGAATTGTTCAGTCGCCACTAGCACTGCTGCAGAGGAGATTGAAGTGCGGGTGGAGGCAAGGGAGGAGGCCAAGGAGGTAGCTAAGGAGGAAACGAAAAGCCAAGGAGCAGAAGGCCAGGCGAAGGAACCCGGAGAGGAGGAAGGGAGGAAGGAATCATGGGAGGCATCAGGAGGGAGTGTATGGGATGACGAGGACCTGGAGAGCGGCGACGGGCATCTGAGCGACGTGCTGGGGCCCATGAGCCCGCCCTCCCGCCCCACGTCTCTGCCCACTTCGTGCCCCACATCGCCCCCCTCTCGCCACGCAGTCTTCCCTGCTGACAAGCTCCCTGGCGGCAGCTGCTCAGGGCGAACCCGCCACACTGCTGCTGCTGCCGCTGCCGCTGCTGCCGCTGGTGCCGCTAGTGGTGCCTTTGCCGTGAAGGAGGCCGGGAAGGAGGTGGCAGCGATGGAGGAGGAGCAGCGGAGGAGGGCAGAGGAGGCGGAGGACGAGGCGGCATGGGAGGCGCTCATACAAAGCGACATGGACTGGGAGATGCTATACGGGGGGTACCTCACAGGAGGGAGCGCGTCTGGCAGTGTGTGCAGCAGCAGGCGAGGGGCTATTGCTGCTGCGATAGCAGCCGGAGGTGGTAAGGGACGAGCCCTGATGGATAGCTGCATGCGCAGTAGTGGAGGCAGCACCACGAGCAGCATTGCAGCAGCGGTGGCTGTTCTCGCTGCTGCTAGAAGATCAGCCACTGCTGCTGGTGCTGCTGGCCCTGCTGGTCCTGCTGCTGCTGCTGCTGCTGCTGCTGTCGCTTCTCGTGCCACTCCATCTGCTGCTGATGTTGGTGCTACCACTGGATATGGGGCAGGTGGTGGTGGTGCTGATGGTGTGGATTGTGGCGCCAGTGAGTGCGGCAGCAGCATCAACAACTGGCAGCAATTCGACACGGCCAGCATGTATGAGTATGAGCAGCAGCAGCAGCAGCACAAGAGCCCTATCGTGCTCGCAGCTGCAGCTGCCAAGTCTGCTGTGGAGGCCGCCAAGGCAGCAGGAGGAAGAGCAGGTGGTGCTGCTGCTGCCAGAGGAGCAGCAGGCGGCAAGGCAGGCGCCAGAACCCAGCAGCAGCAGCAGCAGCAGCAGCAGCAGTTTCCCCGCTCTAGCAGTGCGGATCGAGCAAGCATTCGGCAGAGAGCCAACCCGCACCAGCAGCAGCCGTTCTCCTCTCCCAGCCGCGTCCTCTCCAACGGCAGCGCGAGCAGCAGCAGCACCATGAGCGGAGTCAGCGGGTCGGGATACAGGCAAGGCAGCTACAGCATGAACAGCAACAGCGGTGTCAGGGGCAACACCATGGGCAGCGGCGGCAGCAACAGCACCAGGGCGTCGCCTATCCGTCTGGGTGCAACTCGGGGAGGTACTGCCTCCCTCTCTGCCCGCCACTACCCTGCTTCTGCTGCTGGATCTCCGCTCCTCTCCTCCTCCGCTCGTTCTTCCCCCAGACCAACAGGAGCAGCAGGTGCTGGTGCTGGGTATTCACGCGGGTCGCCGTCCCTCACCCCCTCCCGCTCCCTCACCTCCTCGTCGCCTGTCTCAGCAGCTGCTGCTGCGGCAGGGCGCAGGGGGGGCAGCGCAGGAAGGGCGCGGCAGCAGCAGCAGAGTGCTGCGAGCTGGAGGTCTGCAGCAGCAGCAGCAAAGGCAGCAGCCATGGCTGCCGCAGTGGCTGCTGGGAAGGCGGATATGCTGATGATGGAACCGACAACAGGGGAGGAGAGCTCTAACAACAGCTCCGCTTACTACCCCGACAGTGCTGCTACTGCTAGCCTTGCAGCAGCAGATGCTGCGTCTGCTGGTACTACACCTACTGCAGGTGTTGCTTCTGCCGCTGCTTCCTTCTCTGCTGCTGGCGATGCTGCGTCTGACGTTGACGCGTTTGAGACCTCGTCTGTGGCATCGGCAGCAACGTCGACGTTCAACGCGGCGACATCTGCCGGTGCGTTCATGGACTTTGGGGCAGGCAGGCGGCGCCCTGACCTCCGCATTGACACCACCACCTGCAGCCTTGAGCAGCTGCAGCAGCAGCAGGCTGGTTGGGCAGTCTCGGTGCCAGCAGGAGGAGCAGGGGGAGCAGGAGCAAGAGGGGTGGTTAAGGGGCGGGCAAGGGGAGCGGATTCAGGTGGGCTGTGGCCGTGGGAGGATGCGGGTCCTGGGATGGAGGCACTGCTGGGAATGGAGGCTGAGGAGAAAGGATTCCTTCTGGATGAGCCCTTGTCGCTCTATGGCTGCAACACCGCCCTGCTGCTGCTGCTCTGCATGTCTCTGCTACGCAACCATCCAACCTGACGCAGCAGCAGCAGCAGCAGCGGCAGCTGTCTATGTCGCAGGTTTCACCGAGAATCGGCCGTGGATCGTCAGCATTTACGGGGGTGCATTCGCTCTCTGCTGCTGCTTCTCCAAGGTCCGCCACGGCTGCTGCTGCCGCTGCTGCTGGCGGGTTTGGAATCAGCGGTGGCATCGGCAGTGGTGGCATTGGCAGCGGCGGGATCTCCTCTGCAGCCAGCATTGCTGCTGCCATGTCCCCTCGTGCAGCCAGTGTGTGTGGCAGCACCACTGCGTTCCTCAACCCCGCCACTGCCTCTGGTCTGATCAGCCCAAGGTCTACTGGCATGATCAGTCCTCGTGCCAGCCTCACCCAATCCCGATCCTTCTCTCACTCGTACCACCACCAGCACCCGTTTGCCACCCCTCCTCCTGGAATCGACGACCCTGCGGGAACCATGCAGGCGGTTGCAGCAGCAGCTGCTGCTGCCACTGCAGTGGCGGCTGCTGCTGCAGCTGCAGCCCCCAAGGCGTCAGGGTATGGAGGAGCAAGGCCCGGCGGGGGAGCAGGAAGAGGAAACGGGCTGAACGGGCTCGGTCGCTCGCCTGTTCGGGGAGCAGGAGTGGGACGAGCAGGAGTGGGTGCTGGTACTAACAGTGGTGTGGGAATGATGGCTGATGAGAGAAGGCGCGCGTCACCGGTGCCTGGGGGAGGAAGGGGACGGGGACTGGTTGGAGGAGGTGCAGGCGCCAGCTCACCCTCCCTTGCGTCCAGGTCAACATCAGCCATGCATGCTCACTCGGCGTCCCCGCACGGGGTCCGTGGTCAAGCTAGTGGTGGAGCAGGAGTTGCAGGGTTTGCAAGTAGCAACAGCACCGGCAGTGCATGGGCTGCCAAGCCTCCCAGCCCGCGCAGTCCAAGCCCGGGAGACAGACTGCCATGGGGAGGAGCAGCAGGTGGGGCAGCAGGCGCCGTGGGGCGTGGGCGTGGGTCACCAAGGCCAGGTAAGACATTCAGGGAATGAGTGGGGAATAGGAGAGGGGAGATGCGGTGGGGGGGTCAAAATTGTGTCGTGAGGACAAGTTTCAAACCAGTTTCGTGTGTTGTTTATCTAAGCTATGCTGCCATACCCGAATCATACCCATAGCATCTCGCCATTGCCCGTTACAATTATGGGTACCCATCACTATTCCCACTCAACCGTACATTGTGTTTCATTATACCCCTCTCACCCGCACTATAAGCAGGAAGGAAACTATCTGCGCCCACCACATCATCAAGGCTGATTTAGCTTGGTATCTTCGTGGACTGCTCATATTTAAATTTGCTATTGGGGAAACCTTACGTCACCTATGTTAGCTGCGGTCAAACTCTAGTTAAATGGAAGTCACGAGTAGCTGTATTAGGGGATTGAAAATGATTGAATGGGTAAAAACGTTGATTGTCATAAAGTAAGAAAATTCATAATAATGGGCAGATAAAAGATGGTTGAAACGTATTATATCGGCCCGTAGCGGCTCAAAGCCTTGAGCAAGAGATGCACCGTTATAGAACGCACAGTATCATTTCCAACACAGTCTCACTTTGGTTTCACTATCTTCACTGTACAGTATTCGACTCGCAAAACGTGCAAGACCAAGCGTTTCGCAGCGGACCCACGGGTTGGATCTGGGGGAGTGGCTGGTTTCGCACGTGACGCGGGCGTGAAAGTCGCGGCACGTGAGTTGGTTCCGAGCATTGATACGGAATTTGCCGAATGCACGCGAATTTGCCTTGCGCCGGATGGATACGCTGCACCCGAGGTTGTTTCCCCAGCCTTATGCACCTACATTACAAGCGCGTCGCGTGGTTATCAACCAATAGTAACGAACAGACCGAAGTCAAACTAGGTACAGACCGAAGTCAAGCAGAAGAGACTGAAGTCAAACTAGGTTACAGATCTTGTTTATAAGCACATGCGAATCCTTTTTAGCTAGCTGCGAATTGACGAAACTTATGCGAAATGCTCGTGACAGCTTATACGCCCCCTTCATAAGGCAACCGGGAGGGGCTCAAACAGGCATCAGGTGTAGTGCGTGTGCGTCGCTTGAAGCGAACACTGCAGGCAACCCCCAATGCATTCTCACACTAACGATGTGCTGCAGTTTGCCTGTGATTTACGCTGCGATCTCATTGTTCCGACCGTGATTCGCTATTAAGTTTTGCCGTGCGATTTCGTTGTGCCGACCTGGTCTCCCGCCGACACTGGAATTCATTGTCAGTCAGTCACTGGAATTCTTCGTTGCTAGCGGAGACCAGGGCCATTCTACGCAAGCCTTCGGACGAATATATTCGTCGACCCTTGTCGCTCATCGCAATTGCAATGCAGTCGTCGAGCCTTCAAGCCGGTGGACTCCACAGACGTCGGATTTGTTGTTCATCGCGTGGGAAGTACTTGCGAAGCACTACACCGCTGTGGAGTTCCGTGAATCTCGCCGCAGAAGACGACTTCGACTCGGACCCCTCTCCCCGTGGCTACTACTACCATAGACATTTCCACTGGCATTAGTGGGATCATAGTGATCGCAACTTCCCTTCTTCAGGCATGATGCCTTTTTCGCCCCGCCAGTCACCGTCAGGCTTAGTGTGGCCGGTGGCTTTCTCACGCCGTCGTGGCGCCTCCCCGCGGCTGCTCGTGCCGCTCCTGCCAGTGCTCCTCTCCCTCAGCGTCTTGCGGATCCACGCGCGCCTCGGCTTCGAGATCGGCGTTGCGGACGTTCAGCCTTCCGGCGCAGAATTGCCGGAGACGTCGCAAATCTCCACCGGCCGTTCGACGCGCAGGCACCCGAGGGACGACGACGACGACGACGACGACGACGACGACGACGACGACGACGACGACGACGACGACGACGACGACGACGACGACGACGACGACGACGACGACGACGACGACGACGACGACGACGACGACGACGACGACGACGACGACGACGACGACGACGACGACGACGACGACGACGACGACGACGACGACGACGACGACGACGACGACGACGACGACGACGACGACGACGACGACGACGACGACGACGACGACGACGACGACGACGACTACGACTACGACGACGACTACGACGACTACGACTACTACGACGACGACGACGACGACGACGACTACGACTACGACTACTACGACGACTACGACTACGACTACGACGACTACTACGACGACGACGACGACTACGACTACGACGACGACGACTACGACGACTACGACGACGACTACTACGACGACGACTACTACGACTACGACTACTACTACTACTACTACTACTACTACTACTACTACTACTACTACTACTACTACTACTACTACTACTACTACTACTACTACTACTACTACTACTACTACTACTACTACTACTACTACTACTACTACTACTACTACTACTACTACTACTACTACTACTACTACTACTACTACTACTACTACTACTACTACTACTACTACTACTACTACTACTACTACTACTACTACTACTACTACTACTACTACTACTACTACTACTACTACTACTACTACTACTACTACTACTACTACTACTACTACTACTACTACTACTACTACTACTACTACTACTACTACTACTACTACTGCTACTGCTACTGCTGCTGCTGCTGCTGCTGCTGCTGCTGCTGCTGCTGCTCCTGCTGCTGCTGCTGCTACTGCTACTGCTACTGCTACTGCTGCTGCTGCTGCTGCTGCTGCTGCTGCTGCTGCTGCTGCTGCTGCTGCTGCTGCTGCTGCTGCTGCTGCTGCTGCTGCTGCTGCTGCTGCTGCTGCTGCTGCTGCTGCTGCTGCTGCTGCTGCTGCTGCTGCTGCTGCTGCTGCTGCTGCTGCTGCTGCTGCTGCTGCTGCTGCTGCTGCTGCTGCTGCTGCTGCTGCTGCTGCTGCTGCTGCTGCTGCTGCTGCTGCTGCTGCTGCTGCTGCTGCTGCTGCTGCTGCTGCTGCTGCTGCTGCTGCTGCTGCTGCTGCTGCTGCTGCTGCTGCTGCTGCTGCTGCTGCTGCTGCTGCTGCTGCTGCTGCTGCTGCTGCTGCTGCTGCTGCTGCTGCTGCTGCTGCTGCTGCTGCTGCTGCTGCTGCTGCTGCTGCTGCTGCTGCTGCTGCTGCTGCTGCTGCTGCTGCTGCTGCTGCTGCTGCTGCTGCTGCTGCTGCTGCTGCTGCTGCTGCTGCTGCTGCTGCTGCTGCTGCTGCTGCTGCTGCTGCTGCTGCTGCTGCTGCTGCTGCTGCTGCTGCTGCTGCTGCTGCTGCTGCTGCTGCTGCTGCTGCTGCTGCTGCTGCTGCTGCTGCTGCTGCTGCTGCTGCTGCTGCTGCTGCTGCTGCTGCTGCTGCTGCTGCTGCTGCTGCTGCTGCTGCTGCTGCTGCCTTTGTTGCTGCTGCTGCTGCTGCTGCTGCTGCTGCTGCTGCTGCTGCTGCTGCTGCTGCTGCTGCTGCTGCTGCTGCTGCTGCTGCTGCTGCTGCTGCTGCTGCTGCTGCTGCTGCTGCTGCTGCTGCTGCTGCTGCTGCTGCTGCTGCTGCTGCTGCTGCTGCTGCTGCTGCTGCTGCTGCTGCTGCTGCTACTGCTACTGCTACTGCTACTGCTACTGCTACTGCTACTGCTACTGCTACTGCTACTACTACTACTCGCGAGTCGCAGCCAACGCTACTAGTCGCAGTGCTGGACCAGCCGTGTCGCGCTAGATGCCTGTTACTAGTAATTTCTCTGGTAATTTACAAGCTTCTAGCACCGAATAGAAATAAACCTCCTGGAAAAAAACTGTACTCTTCAGTACGGTCTAAAGCGTTACTGTCCTATTTTCCTGGTATCCCTCCCGCCATTCTGTTGACCGGATTCTGTCCAGCAGGATCCGTCCACCCAGAGCGGCGGAAAAGGGGCGCGCCCGGGCGAGGGGAGCGACAGCGCCGCGGAGGCGATTGCGGAGTGGAAACGGCGATCAGCGGAAGCGGGCGCGTACTTCTTCCCCCTGCAGCGCGCGGAAGACGCCCCCAGCAGGGACGAGCTGCACCGCCGGATTCTCGGAGTAAGAGGCGGGAGGGTGGGGCGTGCCAGGAGCGGGGCGTTGAGCCTTGAACATTTTACTAAATGTCAAATCACGATATCATGCCCGTCTCTGCACGACACTGCGGGAGACATGGCGACAGTACACTGCATTGCATATGACAGCTGTTACGTAGCGTCGAGTACCAGACAGCTATACTTAGCCACTGCCATTCGCTGCATGGTGCCTTGCGCCAAACGGGTCTCGTCATGACCTGATAATGCCCCCCTTACCAACAATCCGTGACCCGTGCAGGGCTTAGGCGGCGGCTTGAAGGGCAGCCTGAAGTCACAAAGGGCAGCCAAGGTGAGAGACTACTGGCACTACTAGCGTAGCACTCTACTAGGAGTACTAGGAGCATGGTCTCAGGCAGTTCAACTTTTTTTCCGCGAGTGACAGGTGACATTTGACCTCGCTGCCTTCCATTCTCATTGCGTCCCGGGTCTCTCAACTGCCATCGACAATCCCTTTACGTTTTGTGATGTCTTGTTGTCTTGCCTCTGCTTCTCACAGGCAGTACTGTGCTGTTCGCATCTCCGGTTGTGCATGGTTCTCCCTGCTTGCTTGCTTCCCTGCTTCCCTGCTACCCTGCTTCCCTGCTTGTGCGCGTGCAGGTGACGGAGTATCTGCCAGTGCTGCAGTACGACAGCACGCTGCTCTCAACGGCCAACGGCACAATGGGCAACACCATGGTCAACTACAGCACCTTCCTGGACGACAACAAGATCCACCTCCCGTATGCTCCCTCCGCTGCGCCCCTCCCGCTGCATGCCACTCGCGCATCTCTCGTCCTCCTGCACGCCACGCACCGCTCTGGAACACACTCCACCCATTTTCCGTAAACCCCAAATGTGAAGCCCTTGCATCCATCACACCGCCCGCAGCAACTCCCTCACTCCCCTCTCGGGCACCCATCTTCCCCTACCCCAGCCCTTCACAAGCGGCGTAGCGTACCCTCCCATTGTCCTTCTCTCCACTCTCATCCGCGCCCCTTCAGCCGCCCCTCACTGCGACCTTTCTCTCCCCTTCCCCCACCTTCTTTCTCCCACCTCACCAGCGTGTACCCATACTACGTGAATCTCAAGCTGGGGTCGCAGAAGCAGCAGTTCAGCATGTTGCTCGACCTACAGCTGCGCCACACCTTCGTGCCCTGCGACTGCCTGCACTGCGGCTCTGCGCGCAAGGGGGTGAGTGCGGTGCTGCGGTGCGGCCGCCCACCCAACCACGCCCAAAGGGAGGCGCGAGGCGAGGGGAAGAAGGAGATGGTGGCTGTTGGGTCTGGGACGCTGGGGCAGTGAGGGTGGGAGAATGCCACTCTTGTTTGCACTTACCACCCCCCCCCCCCTCCCCCCCCCCCCCCCCCCCCCCCCCCCCCCCCCCCCCCCTCCCTCCCACCTTGCAACATGAATTCCAAGTTTGTACTCGACACGAATTCCATCTGGCTTGCCTTGCAAATTTAAACGCGCCCGCCCTGCATTTCCTTTTCGCGAAATTCATCTCCTGGATTCCCTTTAGTTAGATGGTTTGGTTGCCCTGCTTTTCGGTTTCTCCTGTTGAAGACCATATACATGCATCCGCCTTTAACTTGCGTCGGCGGCGCATGCATGAACCCAGTCACGCCGCACTCCCGTTGCCCTTATGTCAGCACTCTAATCCTGCTTCTACCCTCACCTTCCCTCTGCCCCTCCCGTCCCCACCCACCATCCCATCCCCCTGCCTCCCTCCCCCTGCCAACAACTCCTTTAACTCGCCCTCGCCCCGCAGACCGTCAACAGCAAGCCCTTCAGCACTCTAACCTCCACAACCCTCAAGTACATCTCCTGTGTGGACCAGCGCTGCCAGGGGGGCCTCAAGTCCGGCTACTACGGCTGCAACACACAAGGGCTCCCCAACTACCTCAATGTCACGGACCTGCCTGGGGACGACGCTCTCTGCGTGTACGACGTGTATGCAGCAACCTACGACTACTATGAAGCCGACACTGTTGCGGACTCGTACCTCGAGTCAGCGGGGCATGTGGTGGAGGACACCATCTACCTCACTGCACCTGATGGTACCGAAGTCAACCGATCCATCATTCTTGGGTGAGTTGAGTCTCCATGTCGTCTGCACGCGCTTTCCTTTCCCGTGGTTCTTCTCACAATCTCCTTCTCTTTTCCGATCTTGCTATTGGTTGTTCACCCTCTCCCTCGCGCTACCTCTCGCTCTCTCCTCTCTCCCGCCCACCATTGCCCCCCCAGCTGTGGAGTGAACCAGCAGGGCTTCTGGGGCATGCAGGGGAGGCAGTACGGGTCGTGGGCAGCAGGAGACGTGCTGGGGCTGGCATAAGGCAGTCCCTTCCTGGAGCAACTCTCTGCCGGCTCTGACTCCTTCGCCGTGTGCCTGGAGGAGCCGACGCCGACGAACAAGACGGGGTGGGATGGCAAGGTGCCGCTGCAGACAGGCAGCAGCCATCTCACCATCGGAGCCACCGGCCTCCCTGCCGGCGCCAACTACTCGCGCATGTAACCACCCTGCCTCACCTATGTTGTGACCCTGCCTCACCATGTAACGACCCTTCCTCACCATGTAATGAGTGAGGTAGCTACCCGCGCAGCTCACACTTTCCTGCTCTCGTGCGTCCCACTCGCTGCCAGCAGTCGAAAGATCTTCTGGCTCCTCCACCTGCGTCCCTCATCCCTTCTCCATGCCTCCTGCTTCCGCCACCTTTCATCCGCCTCCCTTCCCGCCTGCTGCCGCCTGCCCCCGCCACCATGCTGCTTTTCTTGGTGCTGTTGTTGCATCAGTCCGTCCGTCTGTCCGTCCGTCCGTCCAATATCCATCCACCCACCCACCCACCCCTTCCGTGCGCAATCCCTCCACACAGACCATATCCAACCGGCATGCCCTACAGCCACATCACGCTCACCACGGCCACGCAGTCCCTCAACATCACGGACGATCCAACCCTCATCAACTACAACAAGACAACCTTCATGCCGGCTGACACTCCCAAGAACGCCACGCCGGGTTTCTTCTTCATGCCCGAGTCCTTCGTGCATCTCATCCGCCTCCCTCTCTTCACAAGCCTCTGGTCTGCTGTACGTCCTCTTCTCTTCACCCTGTCTTCTCTCCCTTCTGCCTTGTATGCCAGGCTCGCTCTGTCTCGCTTTTTGTTCTCTTCAAGCTGTGCTCTGCCTGCCTGCCTGTCTGTCTGAGGACCTTGCTGACCCGAGGCCTGGCCAAGCCGAGCCTGTGAGTATAGCAGACGTTATTCTCACTGCTACTACGCATTATGCTGAGACCTTTCTCATGCTGCCAGTACTGGGACGATCTCGCCGTGATTGGAAGCAAAGAGCAACCCACGTATTAGAGACCCAAGGAGTTGGTTGGTTTTGAGCAAAAGCCGGAGCCAATCTCAACCAATCATAGACTCTTTCCTTACTTCTCAAACCATTGAATCTGATTGCATCATCTTGGTTGTAGAAGCAGTCATCTTAACTGGGAAGTAAGTGGCCAAGCTCCATACTTGCGCCTTCTGACTTAATTGCTTCAGTGCTTATTAGTTTTTTGTTGCAGCAGTCCTTGCAAAAATTGCGGGTTCTCTGCATGTTGGCATGCCTGTCTCAAGATGCTCATGTGCCCAGTTCTTCATGCATGTATTCTACTCTAATTGTTCCCTCCTACTGCCCGTGTGCATGTGCATGTGTCTGCAGCTCCAAAACATGACAGGGCATGAGCTTGCGTTTCCTATACTTGAAAACGACTGGTTTCGGCTTTTATGCTTCAAGTGAGCTTCTAAGCTTGAATCATGTCCTGCTCCTGTCGCCCTCAAGTTCCGCCAACCCATTCATAATCCACCAGTGTTCTCTCTTGTGGATTCTTCCAAGCACTAGTCCCCTCCATGCACATACCACCACACACAACGCACCAGCTCTCTGCTCCCTGTCATGCAGTCATTATTTCGTTTGGAACTCAAATACATGCTGCTGCAAGGTAAGCAATAGTGATCCTGCCTACAAAGAAAGAAAAGGTGGCAACTCGTCATACAATAGCGACCCTCCGACCCTCTTCTGACCTCTTTGTTTCTCTTCCCATTCCCCCGTCTCCCCCACAACGATGCTCTGCTTGCAGCAACAAGAACAAGGCGGAGGATCCGTTCACCACCTTCCCCACCATCGACATTGCTTTCATCGCTCCGGACAACACCAGCGCCACCTCCCACTTCTATCTCAAGCCGCACGAGTACCTCGTAAAGGTATAGGAAGGAAATGCGTCCTTGCCTTGTTGTCATTTACGGGTTCCTTGCATTCCACGTCCTGGTCAGTTTCTTCGCAGTGTAGAAAGCAAGGTACGTTGTAATTAAACGGCCTCCTTACACTTTAGTGGACACAGCCAAAGCGTGCACGATGCCAGAATAGGAGGAACATGCAGACCATGTTCCAGCTGCCACCCACGTGCTTTTATCAAGCAGTGCCCTGCCTCTCCCAATCCAACGTCTGCCCCTCCCGTTACCATGCCTGCCCCTCCCATTACCGTACTTGCCCTTCCCGTTACCATGCCTGCCCCTCCCATGACCGTACTTGCCCTTCCCGTTACCATGCCTGCCCCTCCCGTCCTTCCATTCATCAACTGTTCAATACTATTCCCACGCTCCTGCTCTTGTTCTGAGATGCCTCAGATTTTCTGTTCCGCTTCCTCATATTCCCCCTCTTCTCTCTTCTCTTTCCCCTCTGAACTCACATCATGTGGCAATGTCATTCTCTTGCTCTCAATGCTCCACTCTGCCTTATCCACGTCACCCCTCCTTGACCCGAGTCTCATTTCCCGATTCTTGGTGTGTTCGTTGAGTCGAAGTCTCTGAGACCACCACTAGGGCAAGTTGAGTACCCCCACGTGCCACTCATTAACCCTCTTTCCCAATCTCATGTGCTCCCACAGGTTTCGGCTTCTGAATACTGCATCTTGGCCACCTATTTGAATCCTAAGTTCAACTACGCCAGCTACATCGGAGGTAGGCAGGGAGGGGAGGGTGGGTAGGGTAGGTGGGGGAAACTATCTATTTCCGCGCTCTGTACTCTGCCTGCCCTTTCGCCAGCACCTTCTTTTCTTTCCCTTACCCCACTGTCCTGCCGCCTATGCATACTCTCCTGCTGCCTCTTGCCACTCCGTGCACTGTGCTGTGCTGCTGATCCTCTGCCGTCCACCACTCACTCCTCACATCGCGCCTACCAGCGCCCCACCCACCTACTGACATACGCAAGTTGATAGTTTGAGAAAGCAACGACGGGATGGCTGCACTGATCATGATGGGCTCAATCCTGGAGCCCAAAAACAGCAGCCAGCAAGGCCACATGGTCCATCCATCACACCACTCCTTACTCCTTTATCACCATGCCCTACTGTTGCCATGCCCCCCACTGTTTCATTGGCTACCTGCCCATTCCACTCATTTCACCTTGTTAACCTCACTTTCCCACTTTCCGCTGCCTTCCACTCTGCATGCATGTGGTGATGGTGAGCAGAGCCAGGGCTGTTCAACAAGTACCTTTTCTTCAATTACACCAACAACACTCTTGGATGGCTGCAAGCTCCTCACTGTAAGCTTCTGCCCACCTTGCCTGCAACGCCTGCCTCCAGCATATTTATCTGCCCCTTGACCGTTTTGTCCTCTGTGCATTTTTCAACTCTGCTTGCTGTGCACATCCCACACCTGTTACTGCTGTCACTGTGGTGTTTCATTTCAAGAAAATCCACCCTTCGCTTGCATTACCGTTTGCATTCCCACCACAGTGACACCAATTGCTACTATCCGTCCGTGCAGTAAAATCGTACCCCGTATCCTGTGGAGTGCGTGCTTGTGTCCCAGTATCTGCCTCTGCCACCCGCCCTCCTTTTTGCCCATTGTTTCCTCTCTCCTGCCATGTTCTTCGTGCTCTTCCTCCTCAATCTCCTTTCACAACTTCCTGTCACTTCCCTCTCTCCTTTCCGTTCCTCTCCTCTCCTCTCGTCTCTTCACTTCTGTTCTCCCTCATTCCAACAGGTGGAGCTGAGCCCCTACTGCCTCCACCCTCTTCACCTCCCTGGGGGCCCACCCCTTCCAAGGGGAACGCGCGCTCCCTATCCCCGGTGGCTGCAGCAGTGGTAGCAGTGGTTGTCATCACCACTTCCACCACCCTGCTTGCTCTCACTCTTCTCTAGAGCCAGTATTCACTCCGCAACACTTTGTCTAAGTTGACTCGAGAGCACGCACACTTGTTTTGTACTTTGTTCCTGGCCCATTAGTGGGAGTTCTAGGATTAGGATTTGTGCGAAGTTAACAACCGCATAACTGAATTTCTAGTACTCATTCAAATGTTGTATGAACAAGATGCGGTGGTTACAAAAAAGAGATCCAGGTCCCAAGAAGGCACTCTGACAGACGTAAGATTAGACATTGTTAGATTCAAGACCTTCTATGAGAATAGGTAAAGAGCCATGGCAGGGAGAAGTTGGACCAGCAGTTCACATGTGTGCTGAGCAAAAACATTAAACGTAGGGGATATGGAGATTATATAAATTAGATAATGACCAAACGGACTGCACGAAGTAGTGGGGAGTCTAGAGAGGTTGCTTTTGTAGAATATGCGTTTAAATGAGTAGACACGTGACAGGTCTATGAATTCCACGTCACTTTGGCACGGGATCAACGCCCGTGTTTACCGGATCTCCACGCGGGTATCAAGCATTCTATTGGTTGAAGGAACTTTTTTCGGCGTCAAATTCCACGCATCTGTCGTTTTAGTTTTCCACTAGAACATACAGGATGGACGGCGATGGTGGACCTAGGTCTGGGATCGATGCTGTAAAAGGCACGGTAACCCCTTGGAAGAATGGTGCAGCCTCAACCGCAAGCACTCGAAGGTTTTGCGGAACCGACTTTTGGGTTATGAATTCGCCACGTGGCACTTCTCCGCAAGGCATTGTTCGTGCCTGACTGTCTTCGATTCGAATCAAAGCTGACAACCACCACTGCTCTGATAAATTACGTCTTCATCCCATCCTAGTGAGAAATTGGGAGGAATTCAACTGTGGCCAGTTCGATCTCATTTTCTGCATCTGGCGTTTCTCACTTCACAAAATGGCAGCCACCTCTGCCTCTCTTGCAGGTCAGGCTGTCCTCAATGGTGCAGCCCCCATTGATCTGCATCCAACTTCCGTGAAGAGCTCTTTTCTGCAGAGCGTAAAAGTTCTCGGATGTCCTCGGCCTGGAAGGCTTTCTGCCAGGCCCATGAGATCTCCTGCTATGATTCGTAGTGTTGCAAGCGAGCCAAAACAAGCCAGTGAAGGTGATTTCCGCATACTCGCGCATGTGGATATTATTTCCTGTTGCTGGATGTTTTCCAACTCTGCTTTCCAGCTGAAGTTTAGTTCAAAAGTAATCTGCCTAATGTCGCTCTGAATGATTGTATTGTTCGGCTGTTCTTTATGCAGTCCCTCCAGTGGCCAGCCCTTTGGCCGATACCGACGTCCTTTCTGTTGCCTCGAGCGTTAAATATCACCAGGATTTCACGCCGCTTTACTCCCCGGCTGCATCGTCCTCACCTCAAGCTGCATACGTTGCCACAGCACAGAGCATCCGTGACACTCTTATTGAGCGGTGGAATGAGACCGCTGACCACTTTAACAAAGCCAATGGGAAGGAGGTCGCTTACATATCGATGGAGTTTCTTCAGGTTGGTTGTCTTGCTTACATGCCATTCTCAGCATAATTCGCTTTCAGCGTCTAATGGTCTCCATACGTACTGCTACAATTCAGGGCCGCGCTTTGATCAATGCGTTGGGTAATTTGGAGCTCACTGGTGCTTACGCTGATGCCCTGAAGAAGCTTGGGGTGTCTCTTGAGGACCTTGTTGAGCAGGTGTGACGGTAACCATCCATGCAGTTACAACCGTTTTTTTGCATTTGGATCTGTACTGACTTGGTAGTCTCTTCTTTCAGGAGCCGAATGCTGCTCTGGGTAACGGTGGTCTTGGACGTCTCGCTTCATGCTTCCTTGATTCGATTGCCACACTGAACTATCCTGGCTTCGGTTATGGCCTGAGGTACAAGTACGGCCTGTTCCGTCAGGAGATCACTGAAGACGGTCAAAAGGAGTACGCAGAGAATTGGCTGGAGGTGGGTTGCATGACCTCGTTTTGTGTATCCATTTGAATTCACTTTCTTTTCTTCTGACCTCAAGATCTCAATTCTCTTTGCAGACCGAGTACCCGTGGGAGGTGGTTCGTAACGATATTCATTATCCTGTCAAATTCTTCGGTCATGTTGAAGACGGTCCTGATGGCAGGAAGAAGTGGGTTGGAGGCGAGAACATGAAGGCCCTTGCATACGACCTCCCTATTCCAGGATACAAGTACGAGCAATCTCTCTAGTTACGACTGCTATGGTTCTAGTCCCCCTCGTCTAACCTTGTAATTCATTTGTTACTGCTTGTTGACAGGACCAAGAACACGATCAGCTTGCGCATGTGGTCGACTGAGATTCTGGCTTCTGACTTCGATTTGGCGGCATTCAACGCTGGCGAATATGATCGCGCTGTTGCTGGACAAGCCACTGCCAACCAGGTTGGCTTTTGATCGACGACTGAAACAAAGTTGTAGTCCTTTCAAACTCATTGGTGCTAACGTAATCCGTGCTGCTGCTTGTTTTGTCTTTCAGATCTGCGCGGTTCTTTACCCCGGGGATGGATCTTACGAGGGCAAGTTGCTCCGTCTTAAGCAGCAGTACCTCCTTTGCTCGGCCTCTCTGCAGGTAAATGTTCTTTTCATACACAATAAAAACAAAGGTATTCGGAAGTATTTCTATGCTAATACACATGTTTCGATATGTGGCGTACACAACCGTGCTCTCAGGATATCCTAGCTCGGTTTGAGTCTAGGAACGGCCCGAACTGGCAGCTGCTGCCCCAGAAGGTAGCTTTGCAGATGAATGACACACATCCCACTCTCGCTGCTCCTGAGCTTATGAGGATTCTGGTCGACGAGAAGGGTCTCAGTTGGGACGAGGCCTGGAAGATCACGCAGGGGTATGGTACTCCTTATTGGCGATATTATTACTGTTTACGTCTGTTGATTACATTCTGTGCACTAACTAGTTGGTTCTGATTTTTCAGAACTGTCGCCTACACGAATCATACTGTGCTCCCCGAAGCTCTGGAGAAGTGGTCCCAGGATCTGGTCAAGAAGCTGCTGCCGCGTCATTTCCAGATCATCCAACGCATTGACGAAGAGGTGAGCTATGTGATGAAGATCAGTAAAATGAACAGATACGGTCTTCTGAAAGTACATTTTCGTGTGAACATATGACACAATCAGAAGCTCACTTGCACGTAATTTTAACCCATACCTACCTACATCCCAACAGTTCATTGATCTCGTGGTGAAGACTGTTGGTCTTGGAGACCTTCCGCTGTTGGTGAAGAAGATCAACAGCATGCGCATTCTTGACGGATCCGATTTCCCTTCCAAAGTGAAGGCCCTTATTGAGGCGAAGCAGAAAGAGAACGAGGAAGCTGAAGCAGCTGCCGAGGCTGCTGCAAAGGCTGCTGCTGTGGCCAAGGCAGCCGAGAACGGTACTGAAGTTGAGAAGGAACCGAAAAAGGCCAAGAAGGACAAGGAGGAGCTGCCGTTTGTGAAAGGTCCGGAGGTGGTGCGCATGGCCAACCTTTGTGTGATTGCTGGGCATGCTGTGAATGGCGTGGCGGAGATTCACAGTGACATTGTGAAGAACGAGGTCTTCAATGACTTCTACCAAGTAAGTCTTGAGAATTTACCTGGACACGGAAACAGCATTCATGCAGAGTGCAGATCTCAGTGACAAGTGACTAATGCATCCCATTTTATATTGTTTCGCGCAGCTTTGGCCGGAAAAGTTCCAGAACAAGACCAATGGCGTAACTCCTCGTCGGTGGATGAAGTTCTGCAACCCTGAGCTCAGTGCTGTCATCACCAAGTGGTTGGGCTCTGACGATTGGGTTCTGAATGCTGACAAGCTTTCCGGCCTTGCTAAGGTACGTAGCATGGAATCAGTGCTTTTGTTACTCAGTTTTGTTTCCCTTCTGCTAGACTGACGATATTTTTTTTTTGCCATACCTTTCCAGTTCGCTGACAACGCGGATCTCCAAAAGGAGTGGGTTGCTGCCAAACGTGCCAGAAAGGAGATTCTGGCCGCTTGGATCAAGGAGAAGACTGGTTATACGATCAACCCCGATGTCATGTTCGACATCCAGGTCAAGCGCATTCATGAATACAAGCGGCAGCTCCTCAACATTTTGGGAGTTGTGTATCGTTACAAGAAAATGAAGGAGATGTCCCCAGAGCAGCGCCGTGCTCGCTTTGCACCCCGTGCAGTGATCTTTGGGGGCAAGGCTTTTGCCACATACGTTCAGGCGAAGCGGATCGTGAAGTTCATCTGTGATGTGGCGAAGACTGTGAACAATGACCCTGAAATTGGTGACCTGCTCAAGGTGAGAAATCTTGTGCTTTTCTGTCAGTGGCGGATGTCCTTATTGGCAGTTGGCTTTTGCATATCTAACTGTGAACCAATGTTGCAGGTGGTTTTTGTTCCTGATTACAATGTCAGTGTGGCAGAGGTCCTGATTCCAGCAAGTGAACTGTCCCAGCACATCAGGTTCGGTTTTTTCAATCCGTGCACCTACATTCTGTGTGGCTTCTTGTGTGTCCATCAAACGCTCATGTTGGCTTATTTCTCTTCTTACAGCACTGCTGGCATGGAAGCAAGTGGAACCAGCAACATGAAGTTTTCCATGAATGGTTGTGTCCTTATCGGCACTTTGGATGGTGCAAACGTGGAGATCCGCGAGGAGGTTGGGGAGGATAATTTCTTCCTCTTCGGTGCCCGGGCTGAAGAGATTGCAGGCCTACGCATTCAGCGTGCTGAGGGCAAGGTCAGTGCTCGTCAAGGTGCTTGTTGTAAGGGTTATTGGTGTAAGTATGACATACTATCTCTCATTTGAAATGTTTGTGCAGTTTGTTCCTGACCCCCGGTTCGAGGAGGTGAAGGCATATGTGCGCTCAGGTGTTTTCGGCTCGTACAACTATGATGAACTGATGGGTTCGTTGGAGGGCAACGAGGGATATGGCCGGGCCGATTACTTCCTTGTGGGCTATGACTTCCCCTCGTACATTGAATGCCAGGAGAAGGTGGATGAGGCCTACCGCAATCAGGAGGTGAGCTGATAGTTTTGCTGATTCTTGGTACAGCTAATCCGTGATTGGATGACATGCTAACTATTCTTGTTGGTTGATTGCAGAGGTGGACTCGGTCTTCCATCCTCAACACTGCCTTCTCTGGCAAGTTCAGCAGTGACCGAACCATTCGTGACTACGCAAACGAGATCTGGGGACTGGAATCATCACCCGTGGCATGAGCAATCTTTAACTTCTATCCAGCCAGATTGGAGGATCTGTTTAGAAAATATAAGGCTATGCTTATGTTCTAGTCCTATATTTTGCTACGAAAGCTAAGTCAACCTGAGTTTGGTACAGTTGCTATGGCGCTAAGCAACGATAGCTTTGGGTTGAAGTCTCTTTGGAACGGAAGTGAAGTCAACAAACATATCAGTTGGCAATGAGAAACAATTGACATTTACATGATTCATTTACAGTTTTAACTTTTTAGTACATTATAGTAAACAGTAACACATTCACTTCCCAGCTCATGAACAATTGTTTGAAATGTAATGCATGATGATACAAAAACCTTGTATCTTTTAACCTCTTCTACTATGATTTTATACTCAGCACATTGACAGCCATAAGCAGTGTGAATGTAACATTTGTTCGTACAATACCTGTAAAACGCTGTGTCAAAGCCCCTCTAGGACACATTCTAACCCCTCATTTGTTCACTTCCTATATTGCAGCCTGCCTTCACCCAATCTTGTTAACCACCGTCTGGTGTAACGACCGCAGCTGTGCAGACCATTTGTCCAGAGCCGTATAAGTCCGTTGACCTCTCGACCTGAAAACAAGCAGGGGTGGCAATGAAAAATAGAGCACAAGCACACTAAGGAGCTTGACTACCCGAGCAACCTTGTTACACAAACAAAGTAGCAAGAAAAATGCCCCTTTCTCATTACCTGTCACCAAGTTCTAGCAGCTGGTTGACTTGGTCTATGTGGCCATGCACTCTGTTGTCGAGAATTAAGGACACCAGCAGCTGCTCCACATCCTTCTCAGGGATGTTCAGCTCCTGGTTACCACATCGGAGGTTGGGGAGGGAGGGAGGAGGGTGAGAGCAAAGGGAGGGAGAGTGGTGAGCAGAAAGAGGAGAGGGAGGGAGTATAGGGGGAGAAAACTACAGGGTGGAGAGACGGAAAGAGACGGCTTCTCTACCAAAGAACATCAGTGCTGAGGTGAAGGACCCACAAAGCCCAGCCCAGGCAAGGCTCACCTTGGAGACGAAGGGGATGCGGATGCGGGTGTAGGGCTTGATGAGGCGAAGCAGCACCTGCGTGCGGATGTTCTTGAGCAGGTCCTCAATGTACATGCGGATAAACGGATCGTCCATTATCGTGCGCCGGTTGCTCTGCACGCACGCACGCACACATGCGCACATGCCCACATGTACACCCGCAGGCACACCCGCACACACATGCACACACACGCAGAAGCTCAAACACGCAGCAAAAGTGAGATGTTAAACGGGCAAAGACAGAAGCTGAGCGTCATTTACGTATGCAAAGCAGCACGGCAAACGGAGACTTCCATAAGTGGTCATGGGAGCACAACACATGATTCCAAAGACTTTCCGTGAAGGCGGGTCATGAGGGATGCGAACAATGTATGGCAGAGTGCTAGGTGATGTTAATTGCAGCATATGGTTTGTGGCTCTTCACATGTGACATTCGACACTTTGGCATGTCAAGCATGTGGCTCTTGGTATGTGGGGCATGTAACTCTTGGCATGTCGGGCATGTGGTTCTTGGCATGTGGCATGGAACATGCCATACACATCGCATGTGACAGACACAAATCTCCACCTCCTCCCCAATTCACAGTAACCACCCTTTAGCCCACACCCACCACCTAGCCCCTCACCTTGAGAATCTTCTCAAACTCCAGGATTTCATTGCGCTGATACGCAGCCACTAGGTTTGTCATTGCCAAAATTTCCTTGTCATTCTTGTACCTGGCGCAAGTGGCAAGTTGACAGAAGCAGCAGGACAAAAGCAGTTTGCATGAGGGGGAACGGAAGTACGAACAGGGAAATGCTTATGCCTTGCAAGACACATTCTCAGCTCCTTCGCTTGAAAAGCACGAGCAACAGTTGCGTCTGTGACTTGCCTTGCCAATTCAAAAAATCCACCCCACTCCACCCCTCCACCACAACAACCCAACCAGACCAAATCAACAGCCTCTAGCCCCTAGCCCCAAAGGATGGCCCCCATTGCTCACGGCTTGGCTTCCTGTGCGTCAAAGGGATCCACCTGTGACTCCATGAGCATGTTGGCCAGCACCAGGTACCTGCACAGGGTCATAGGGTGAGCGGCGTGGATCATGGGGCATCGGGCGTGGGGAGAGGGGAATATGAGGCATAGGGCATCGCGCATGGGCATGGGCATGGGGCATGGGGCATGGGGCATGGGGAATGGGGCATAAGGGACAGGGCGCGAGGCATGGGGCATGGGCCATGAGGAATAGTACTGGCGAGCATGAAGTGGCGTTCACGCTCGTGGATCGTGTTCGTGAGAGTGCAAAGTAGATGGCGTGTATTGAATTGGGCATTACGTTCTGGAATAACTGAAAGCGGTGGGAGGGGAGGGGATGGTGGTTAAAAAGAGTGCACGGGTCAAGATTACCTTGTCCACATGACAGTATTCATGCATGCCCACACGCCAAGCTTGAAGCTTCGCTCGGCCAAACAGCCCACGAAAGAATCATTCCCCTGACTTCAGCATGCACCAACCTCCCCAGGTCAACACAGCAACCCCTCTCTTCCATCAACCCCCCTCCCCCAGCATCCCCTTCCCCCAACATCCCCCCACCAAGCATCCCCATCCTCCAACATCCTCTCCCGCCCCCAAGCATCCCGTTAACCAAGCATCCCTCCCCAAGCATTCCTCCCCCCCCCCCCCCTTTCCCCCCCCAATCCGCATGCAGGCACGCACTTGAGGCACTGGATGCGGCGCTGTGCGCCAGCCTCGTCGTAGTTCTTGAAGGCCTCGAAGAAGTCGGTGGCGGCGTCGGTCCAGGAGCGCTCGGCCATGTGCATCTTGCCGCCGCACTCGTGGATGATGCCCATGATGCGCGGGTGTGGGATCGCCGACTTGATCGCCAGCGCCTTGTGATACAGCTCCTGATGTGGTGGGGGTGGAAAGGGGAGAGGGGAGTGGGGTGGGAGCAGGGGCAGAAGGAGGAGGGAAGGTGGGCGAGACGCAGGTCAGGTGAATGGCCGTCGTGGGGACGGGGGGAAAGGGACGGGGAAGATGAGGGATGAGAGTTGGTGCAGATAAACTCGGCAGAGGACGGTCCAGGAGCGCTCGGCCATGTGCATCTTGCCGCCGCACTCGTGGATGATGCCCATGATGCGCGGGTGTGGGATCGCCGACTTGATCGCCAGCGCCTTGTGATACAGCTCCTGGTGGGGAGGGGAGGAGAGGGGAGTGGCAAGTGGGGAGTGGGGAGTGGGGAGTGGGGAGTGGGGTGAGAGCGCAAGGAAGGGGAGAGGGGTGGCGGGGTAGAGGGGAAAGACGAGATGGGGGGGGCGAGGTGGGGGCGTGGGACAGATCAGGAGGGGGAAATAGGAGGAGGGGGGTGGGAACATGAGGAGAGGACACTGGGGTTTTGAAGGGAGATGGAGATGGGAGGAAGGGAGAACGGAAACGGCCGAAGGAGAGGAGGGGGAAGCTATGAGGAGGGGACGGGAGGAAAGGGGAAGGGGAAGATTAGAGGGATGGGAACTTGAGAGGAGCAGATACATTCCACATGCCAGTTGAATGCGGAAAAGCAGAAACCCCACCAGCAACAGCACCAGCACGCAATAGGTCAGAGAAGCAACCGGAGATGGTATTGGGTGGGTGGGCTAGGTTGGCGAGAGGGAAAGAGGGGAAGGGAGAGGCACACGTTCGAGTGTACTGCGCGCAAGTGCGTGTGAGAGCATGAGAGAATGAGAGCGTGCGTGAGCTGACCTTGAGTTTCTTGTTGTTCTTGGTCTCGGTGTACATTTGGATCTCAATGGCGTACACCTCCAGCAGCTGCGTGCCCTTCTTCTGGTCGTCCGTGCCGTCGTCCTTCTGACACGACTTGTGCAGCTCCTTCAATATCTGACCAAAGGGGGAGGAGAGAGAGGGTGGGGGGAGGGGGCGGTGCGGGCGGGTGGAAAGAAGGGGGTTCACCCGGAAAGGGTTAAGTTGAGGGTACGGTTGGGTAGCGGAACGGGAGGAGCGAAAGGGGAACTGGTGGGTTGTGGTAGCGGGAAGGATTGCCATGCCAAGCAAGGGAGCAGATCGAGTGAGCGGGAGGATTAGAGGCTGGGATCAATCAGTGGCGAGAACATGGTGGCACAACCGCGGTGCGCGTGAACAAGAAGGTGGGAGGGAAGAACAACTATGGAAATCCATGGAAAGAGGGGGGAATTGACAAGTGGACAAGTGAATTGCGCTTTCCTCCCCTACCGTCCTAAGCTCAACATGCCCACAGCTAGCCAACTCCATCCATCTCTTCTTCGCTATCTCCATTCATCCATCCTACTCTCGCCCACTCTCTCTCCACGAACACCACCAGGCTTCTCTAGAGCCGTCCCGTCCCATGCACTCTTCGCTCCCACGCCTGCCCTTCATCCGAACCCTGTGTCCCTCGCCCCCTCCCTCGTGTGCGCACCTTGCTCATGCGGCCATACTCCCCCAGGTCGAACCACAGCTTGCACAGCTTCAGGTTCGTCTTGAACCACAGTCGCTGGTGTTGCCATTGCACGGGCGGCAGGCACGGCAGGGGACAGCGTTGGGACGCAGAAAAAAAGGAGTGTGTGAGAGAAGGAAGCGAGGGGGGGGAGAGAGGGTGGGACTGGGAGTGGGCCAGGGAGGACGGGGACAGGGGATGAGGTGGGGGGGAGAGGGCAGGGGTAGGCCAGTATACGATGCTGAGGTGCTTCAACAAGCTGAGGAGTGATTGTGAGCAGGAAAAATAGAGATGCGAAGTGAATGTGTACAATGCAAGTCGCAATTTCCCCAAGGAACAGACCGCCACCAACTGCTCATCCATCCATGCCTCTTTCTCTCACCTCATCCACCTCGCTTACCACCAGAGGGGCTTCTATTCAAAAACAACTTCTGAGGCGCCTCAAAACTCATTAGCCTCGCTTACCACCAGAGGGGCTTCCACTCAAAGCGCCTCGAAATTGTCTTCCAATCCCACACACCCTCATCGCCCCCCATCCCTCCCTCGCCTCCCTGCAACCTCCCCATCTCATCACCTCCCTCATCCACCCTTCCACTCCACCCTCCCTCCCTTCACCACACATCTCCCCCCTTCGCTCCCCCACTCCCCACCCTTCTCCTCTCTCCTCACCTCTCCCTTCCCCTCCTCATTCCATGCCTCTTCTCACAATCAATTCTCTTTCCCCGGCGCCTCAAGGTTTGAAACCTTGCCTCCCTCCTCCCCCCTCCCAACCCTCCAACACCCAGATTTTCTTCCCCTTCCGCCACGCACCTCATTACGCGCCTCCTCGAGCGCGAGCAGCGTGGTCTGGTAGAACTCCTGCAGCAGCTCGAGGCGCCTCAAAACCACCCCCCTTCCCCCCACCACCCCCCCACAACCACAACCGCACCGCTTATCCCCTTCCCCCACGCACCTCATTGCGCGCCTCTTCCAGCGCGAGCAGCGTGGTCTGGTAGAACTCCTGCAGCAGCTCGAGGTTCTGGCTGGTGCTGACCACGTCCAGGATCTTGTTGATGCACTTCTCGCTGTAGTTGCGCGTGACGGCGGAGCGGATGTAGGTGAGCATCTCGCGGTACGCCGCCATCATCTCCGCCACGCGCCCCTCCCTGTAGTGCAGCTTCACCGTCTGCTTCAGAGCCTTGAACCCCCTGGGGGGGCGGGGGGGAGCGGGGGGGGGGAGGGGGAAGAGTAGGCGGGGGGGGAGGGGGAGAGGGGGGGGAAGAGAGTAGGGGTAGAGATGAGGAGAGAAGGAGGGTTGGGGGGAAGTACGGGGGTGGAAGGGGTTGAGAGTGGGCGGAACGAGCGAGGGTGAGAGGGGGGAAAAGAAGTGGGGGAAGTATGGGGGGGGGAGGAGAATGAATGTGGGATGAAGGGGAGGAGGGACAATAGTGAGAACAGGTCAAGCAGCAGAGGAGAGTGGGCTGAACCCCTTCACTTGAATCGAGCAAAGCATAGCAGAAAAGAGGGCAGGAAAGAGCGGGAGATTAAGCCCGGGAGCAAGGAGTGCACATGCTGGTGCTGGTGCATGTGCAGGAGCACACACGTACGTACCACTCGCCCTTCTCCCCCTCCATCTGCACCACCTCCGCAAAGCCCGCTAGCGCCGCCTCCGTGTCCCGCTCCACTAGCCCTGCCGTGCCATGCGCGGCGTGGGGGACGGGGAGGGGGTAGGCGGAGGGGAAGGGTGTTGGGAAGATGGGGACGGGGGTAACGGGGAAAGAAGGAGAAGAAGGGGAGAGAACGCGTGAGGAGACACGAGGGTTGGGATGGTAGGAAGGGGAAGCGCTGAAGGGAAGAAGAGAGACAGCGGGACGATTCCATGTCAGTAACGGAGGCACAAGGGAGCATACGCAGGGTTATGCAGTGGATATGCAGCGCACGGAAGAATTCATGCAATCCGATGCGTGCTCCTCCCTATTAGCAAGCTCTGGAGTGCGAGTATTCATGCCTCTTCAGTTTGCGAACGGATTCCGTTACCGTTCCCGTCACCGTTACCTTTGGAGTTGTAGTACTGATTCTCAATGTCAACATCCTGCTCCTCGGGCTCGTCGTCCGAGTATTCGAATCCGTAATCTTCCATGTCTGTTACCAGATTAGGGTAGGGTCAAATCCGACCAATGACGAGGGAAGGGAGCGTAAACGGGAAGGGATCGTGACGAAGGAAAACAAGTGGGAGGGATTTAGATGGAGAGAAGGCCGATCGATTTGGAATCTAAATGACGGAATTTAGATTCTTATATCGTAACGTAACCGCAGTGGAACTCGTGCTGCCTGGCTACGTAGGGACACATGACCGGTCACAAATCCTTTCGTCCTGGGCCAGGGGGAATCAGATGCCGATATGATTGCGATCGAGCGGAGCGGTGCCGTGCCAAAGCGGAAGTCGCAAAAATTATTGCATCCGGAAAAGAATCGCATGGCAATCGTACGCGCGCGTGATCAATCTGCGTCTAGAAGGTAAGGAACGTCGAGGCGCACCTTCATCCGCCATGGCTGCTGCTCGGCGAGATCAGCGACCTCGAGTCCCGGACAGTGAACAACAAAATGCCAGGAAGGGAAGTCGACACGACCAATAGCTAAAGCGCCACTTGGGGAGCCGCAGCCCGAGGGATTCTAGGGAGGTAATTTACATAAGTCGGACTAACCGAACCAATCGTTCCCAGTGATCCGCGGTAGGGCATCATGTTTTCTGGGATGTAGGAGCAAGCTGTGGACTTGAAAACATTGCATGAGTGTACATGATGTATTTGTTCCTCTTATAATAAAAAAGTTGTTGACAAACATTATCAGTTGCCGTGGCTCTGTGTGCTCACTTCCAATGGTCACATATACATTTTTCCAACAACGTTACAGTATGTTGCAGTATGTTTTCTTTCACAAGGCCAAAACACAGCATGTGCCACCCAAAACGTTCTATTAGTTTGCCGTGACAAAAAGGGGGTACCTTTGGCAGACATCATCAGGAAGGGAACACGCGTTGGTGACGTTGCAGCAAAAAGTTCATTAACACATACATACGATATTACAAAGCTGCACTTATTCATGTGCATAAAAAAGGAAAGCTCTAACTAGCAGGCTACTATTGCACCTTACACAGGCGCTTCAGATATCAACACGCATTCAGCATCCACGCATACAACAAACCCACAGCAAGGATCTTCATTCTTTTCGGCCATCATCAACCCGAACTTCAGTCAACCCGGCCACCACAACGCCCGAGCTCATGCCTTTATTATCCCCGAAATGCTCCACCTCAACAGCCAGCAATCTCTCGCGCACGTCGCGCATGCTGGGCCGCTGCTCCACCACCTCCTGCACACAGTCCGCTGCGATCTGCCCCAGCAGCTGGAACGCACCAGCGAATGCGCGCGAGAAGACACGTGGATCCGCAATGAGGTGCACATCGCCCTCGTGCACGTAGTGCACCGCCTGGACACAAGGGATGTGTAGGATGGCCGCACACAGGTGGGTGGAAAGAGAGAAGTGAAGGGGAGATAGGCAGAGGGGCTAGGGGTAAGGCAGAGAAGAAGACATAAATCTAGGCTATCCAGGGACCGATCAAGCAAGATAGCAGAGTCAGCAGAGAAAATAAAGGGTGTTTCATGGGTGGACAAAATGCAGAATGAGGCACGGCACTGACCCATTCCGTGATGCGCAGTCTGCTGTCTGCGTCGTCGGGATCAGGCACCACAGCCCGCCGCCCCGTGATGAGCTCCAGAAGAATCACACCGAAGCTGCCAACAGTGCATCACCACACACACACACACACACCAGAAGAAAAGCGGGGTTAGAACAGCAGGCGAGCACCACACACGGCTACAATGACAGTCGCACGCACCCTCAACGCCCACAAGCCATTTCTCCTCTCCAGCATCCTGCCCGTGCATTATCCCCACGCATTCCCCAATCGGCGCACCTGTACACGTCCGTGTGTTGCGGGGTGAGCGCGGACGGCGCGAGCAGCGGCGTGGCGGGGTCGCGGTAGCCCTCCTCGTTGAGCGCCTGCGGCACGGCGTTCAGCTGCGCGCCCTCGCCGTGGTGCACGAAGCAGAAGTCCGCGATCTTGGGCTGCCGCGCGACGAGCGCGAACGGGCGGACATTGCAAGAGAGAAGAAAAAGAGAATAAGGGGGGAAAGGGTGGAAAGCAAGCGGTGGTGAGTGTGAAGACGTGGACAGGTTCGACGCGAAGGGGTGCGGGGTATGCATTCGTTGTTACAAGCAGGGCAGTAGCACGGAAGGCGACATGGCAGCAGGGCTCGGAAGGCGGGGTGGCCGCAGGCAGCAATGCGTCAGCGAGGTGCGGAGGCGAGAGTGGCGAGGCGCGGAGGCGAGAGGGGCGAGAGGAGCGAGAGGGGCGCACCTGGCCGTCGGCGGTGAGCATGATGTTGGACGGCTTGAGGTTGCGGTGCAGCAGCCTGGGGCGCTGCGAGTGCATCCACGCCAGTCCCTCCGCCACGCCGATCGCCACGCGCACGCGCTGCTGCAGCGGCATCGGGGAGTCTGCAGGTTCGAGGTGGGCGGAAGGGAGGGGAGGCAAGGTGAAGAAGTGAACATTTGGATAACGACCACTTGGCATGTGTGTCAGGTAAGGTAAAGAAGCCTGGGTGTGCTACAGCGGCGGCGAAGGAGAACGCGTTAAGTTAGTGACGAAGGAGTTTTGGAGCTTACTGCCGGCGGTGAGGAGGTTATCGCGCAGCGACCCGTGCGGCATGAGATGGTACACCACGAGTCTCTCGCTCCCCGCGCAGCAGAACCCGACGATGCCCACGATGTTGCGGTGCGACCGCCGCGCGATCGCCTCCACCTCGTCCACGAACGACGGCTCGGATTCGCCCGCCGCGCCCCAGTTGAAGCGGTGGAAGCGCTTCACCGCCCACTCCAGCCCGCCGGGGGCCTCCGCGCGGAACACCGCGCCGTAGGCTCCGCTGGTGTTGGAGGGCGCGGCGAGGCGGCGCAGCACGTTGAAGCCGCTGGTGGCCCGGCGGAGCTCGTCGAAGGTGAAGCGCACGCACTTGGACTTGGAGGACGGCGTGGACGGCACGGCGGCGGAGTCGATTCCGCCCTCGAACGCCAGCTCCTTGCCGGCCGCTGGCGGGACGGGCGGGGGGGAGCGAGGGGAAGATAGAAGAAAACCAGAAACAAGAGTTAAGGACGGAACAGGGTTGAGGCAAAGGTAGGGGCAGGACAGTCTGGCACGGTTTGATTTTTGGCACCAAAATTAGCTTTTAAAACTTACGAGCGGTCCGGCGCTTGTACATGACGAAGATCGCGATGAGGATGGCGGCCACGACGGCCACTGGCACGGCGATTATCACGACTAGAGAGAGCGGCGACGGGGAGGAAGACGACGACGAGGAGGACGCATCGCCCGAAGCGAACACGGAGAAGAGGCCGCCGGCCGCTGCCGCCGCGTCTGCGCCGTCGATGGGCTCAACGGACACGGAATCGACGATCGTGCTGTTCTCCGCCGAGAGCACTGTGAACACGACCGCCGTCGCGTCTCCGCTCGCGCTGACCTCCAGCGTGCCCTGCGCGTAGCCGTTCGCATCCACGCGCGCGGCATCGGCGGAGGAGAAGGTGGCGTTGGCGCCGCCGAAAGAGACCTGCATGAGCAGCGCGCGCTGCAGCGGTTGCCGACGCGCGAAAAAGAAGCTCAGGCGGTACCGGCGGCCGGGTTCCGTGGGGATAGACTGCTCCGCCGCGCCCCATAAGCAGCGATCAGGTTTGTCGCAGCCGCCGAGCTGCAGCACGCAGCTGCCGTCGTACGCCGGAGGCGCGTCGGAGGACGGGGGCCGGATGTCGAGACGAGATGTGGCAGAGGCGGCGAGCGAGGAAGAGGATGTTTGGCAGATGGGATGCGCGAACGACCATAGGTGCCAGTCCTTTGATTGCTCCACCTGCTCAAAGCTCGGGTCGCGCACGAGACCTGCGAGAGGACGGCAGGGAGTACGAATCGGATGAAATGGTGAAAACCAGGTGGAATGGGTAGCGGACGATGCGGAATGATGCGTTGTCGTGATCGAGCTGGTGGTTAGCGAGTGCCTTTATTGCTAAAAGAAAGCTACAGAAACAGAGCGCCCACCTGAATCCGCCATGCCAAGTGCTACACATGCTGTGAGCAGCAATCCTATCAGTAGTGGCGCGGCGACGCTATTGTGGTCACCCATGGCGCAGGAAACAGGCTCTTCCTACACGGAGAACTGATGTGATCTGTTATGTAGTCTTAGATTCAAGTATCGATGAAGCAAAAAGAAAATGGAGGTAGTATCCTCGACTTAGTTGCTTACGACAGGAATGAGAGCGGATGGTTTATGTGTTGCTCTTGTTGCTTGGTTCTATTGGAATGGATGGAGATAGTCTGAAGTGGAAGTCAAGGAGGTGGTGATGCGAGGGGCGAGCATGCAAGGTGGATGGATCCACATGTGCAAGCTGTAACGTATTGACTTCCCATACGGACTCGCACGCACTGCCTGGTTTGCAAGAAATCCCCCCCCTGTCGCAACGCAATTCAAGCAGCGCCGCGTCAGCTCATCCCTGTCAAATTTTCTTCCCGGGGGTCCTCCCTAAATCATTAGCCAATCACGTTCGACTCAACCATTTTGAGTTGGGATGCGCGATGTGGTTCGCCACTCCGTTCTTCCCCTCGCTGCCGCGTCGCTGGGGACTAAGATTTGTCGAGCCACTGTGCTGGTCTTGGGTTTCCGCATTGCGGGTCAGGGCAGGGGCAAGCTTGGGGCAGTTCTTGAAAGTGGCGGGGCCGGTAGCCTGAGAGTCAATCGAACAGCTCGCTCGGGTCGGGACTTGATGTCAAGCTCTGGACTGCAACATTGGAGAGCTCGTTCAAAATCTTTCAAGTTTATAGGGTTGAGAACGGTTTTGTGCGTTATAAAATGATTCATCGCTCTACCACGTTGAACCGCGTCTTACCAGCCTGAACACATACCTGAAATGTAAGAAGCCTTTCAATACCGTCCTTGCTCTGATGGCACTGGCGAGCAGGTTGTGCAGGCCTGCTCCCTGGCTAGTTTCCAGAGTGACAGGGTTCTGAAGAATTGGCTAACTTCAGAGAGGGTAAGTCAAGCGGGGAACCTATTCTGGCAGGGGAAACGTGCGAGGTCTCATAGAACAGTACCGAACAAGTGCCTGGCCCAGCAAAATGTTTGCATTGCAGTGGAGACAGAGCGAGGGGCAAAATCCGACGCACTGTATTCCATGCAAATTGCTTTTCTGTACGGAGGTTTGACGCTTGACGGAGACTCAGTTTCCAGCAGTGATTGGGAAAAAAAGCGGGGTCCCGGAGCGCAGTTGGGTTGGGACAGCAGTTTTTCGTTGACGGAAGACCCGAGGTCTCAATCTTTGCAGGCTCAACAAACCTCGTTTCCTCATCCGGGACACTCCTCGGTGCAATAAAACTTGTGAGAAACCCCTTGATCCCGTAAAATAAACACTTTGAACACTACCTCACAACTTAGTCAAGGACTCGACTTCGAGGGCTGTCTTCGTGGATAGCCTGGTGTCGAGGGGTCGAAAATGCCAAGAAGAGCGACTGCGCTGTGATGAACCTAAATAATTTAGAATTTCCGATAACGACAGTGCACTCACAAAACCACCCTCGTTGTGCGCCATGTACCAGCTATATGGAGCTCTGCAACAAGTATAAGCATTTCTGGGTATCACCAGAAAACGTTGCCTGTAGACCCCCCAACATAAGCGCAACCCTTTGACTGTATTCTTTGATATAAGGGTACGTTCCTGGCGCGTGTCAAGCTTCCGGTCATCCGCGGATGACCGGAAGTTAGACCCACTTTGGGTCATCCGAGACCAACTTCGGGTCTTCCGGCCAAAAATTGCCCCTGTTTCAGGAAAACACAAAATTTGACAGGAACTTTAACCCAAAGCTTCGGGTCTTCCCGGGAAGGCCCGAAGCTTGACACCAGCCAGGAACGTACCCTAAAATAACCGCTTTCCCATAAATATGCCATTCAGGGCAATTAGAAATAGTGTGGAGAACTTGTACAAACGAAAATAATAAAACAGCCTCGAAACCTTTCCTAAGCTATTATTCAAATTTGTTCTACACATACCTGACTAGAGGTTTCACATTACACTTCTGAATGTTTTTTCTCTTTTTTGTCAACAGTGCAACACATCAATCAGGCTGTGCATTACTGTGTCAGGTGTAGGCAGGTGCGGTACTCAAACAGGTACTCATTCCCTGCTAGCTTCCCTGTTAAAATATACAGGTGATTGATTGCACTGCACTACGTCCCCTTCCATGGAGGAGAAGCCAGTCGGTGGTGATCAGTAGTTCATCTATCAAAGGAGGGCTAACCCTTCAGCAGCCATCCATACGGCCCCAGTGATGCCACAAAACATGAAGGCAACTTGGACATATGATTAAAAAGAACCTGTTCAGCATTCTCATGGTTCCACTGCCATGTGTAGCCAACAAATACCAATGTCAATTTAGGACACACTCATACTTTCTTTTTGGGCTCAAAAACGTACTTGATGATGGAAGACCTAATGTCAAGCATCTCTGGAAACTCTGCCTTCAGCTTCGAGGCATCCAGCTCGTTGTTGCTCCTTGCAGCAACAATAACCTTAGCCTGAAACAGCAAAAAATGTTGGTAAATGAAGCAGCATAGCAACACAAATCAGGGAGGAGGTACAAGAAAGTTGACTTGCCTGCTCCTCCAGGGTGAAGTTTTGCCACTTGAAGTTGGGATCGATGTAATCCCGGTACAGCTCAAGGATCTGATTATGGCTGATCACTCCAGGGTTGGTGAAGTTGTAGATACCACGAAGACCCCTCTTCGCCATCTCGATGGAAATGGGCAGCAGCTCGTCCAAAACTGTCATGGAGTTCGGGATGTCCACAACCTGCAAACACAGTAACACATGCGAGACAAATAAGAATCACCGCTACTTTGCAAAAGTTAAAAGCACCATACACAACAGACAAAGCCCGACCTTCTGATAGCGGGAGATCTTGGTGATGAAATTTCGCGGGTTAGACAGGTCGGATGAGATTGGCATGCGAACTCTAAGCACACAGACGTTGTCATACGCCTTGAGCATCTCTTCAACCTGCAAGAAACACAATGAAGCACGGTTGAAGCTAAATATGTGGCATTCGAACGCCTGAAAATCGCAACAAGCAAGAAACAGACAGCATAGATTACCATGCCCTTGGTTCTGGAGTAGTAAGAACCAAAGAAGTTGGCGCTTTCCTCTTCTGTGAAGCCAATCCCTGTGCCAAGAGGGTGCTTGTCATCGTACTCAAAGATGCAACCAGTTGCGTAGTTCATCACCAGCAAGTCATGGTTCCTGCACAGTATAGTTGCGGGAGTCAGCAACAGCCAAGAAAGTTCTACATGGCCGCAAAGGATCGAGATCATACCTTGCAACATCGCAAAGCGTGAGCACACCAATGACGTCATACCTTGCAACATCGCAAAGCGTGAGCACACCAATGACGTTTGCTCGGAGGGTTTCCACCTGGTGCGACTCGCACCAATCCACATTCGGCCGACCAGTGACACCAGCAGCGTTGAAAATGTGTGTGGGCTGAATCCGCAGAATGTCCTCCTCGATAGAGCGTCGATCCTCCAGCCGGCCAGTACCATACTCGTACGCGATGCCCCTCTCCTCACAAAGCTTGCCCAGCAACCCGCCGATCCAGCCAGTTCGACCATAGATCAAGAACTTCAGAGGCGGCTTGCCCTTCACCACCGACGGCGAAGGAACCTCCATGAACTGCTCCGCAGGGGGCGTCGGTTTCTCCATGCTGTATGACGAGAGCATGCGAGGATGAGGAAGCAAAGCCCCCGACACATCACCCCAATAGTCGAGATTCTGTTTGTACCAATCGAACGTCTTCCTCAAACCGTCTTCCCAGGAAGTCCGCTCATCCCAGCCGAGCGCTTTAAGCTTTTGGTCGTTGAGGAAGTACCGGAAGTCATTGAAAGGCCGGTTCTCGACGAATTCAATGTACTTCTCGGGGTCAAGGTTCAGCATCTTGCAAATGTCGTGGGCCACATCAATAACTCGCCTTTCCCTCAAAGTCCCAATGTTGTACACTTGACCCACGGCTCCCTACACAGAGTAAAGCAACAATCCGTTATTGCTGTTAAATTTAAATGTTGTAAGTATGTTTTTGTGTTGAGGATCTTACCTTGTGCAGGACGACATCGAAGGCCTCCGCCACGTCCTCGCAGTACAGATAGCTCCGCACGTTGGATCCATCGCCGTGAATGGGCAAAGGCTTGCCTTGCATGGCGAGCAGCATGAACTTGGGAATCATCTTCTCCGGGAACTGGTACGGGCCGAAGACATTGTTGCCGCGCGTTGTGATGCACGGGAGGCCGTACGACTGGCTGTACGCCATGACCAGCATCTCAGCTCCAGCCTTGGTGGCAGAGTACGGGTTGGTCGGGAGCAGGCGGGAACCCTCGCTGTTGCCCACGAGAGCGTCAGCGCTAGTTTCGCCGTAGACTTCGTCCGTGCTGACGTGGATGAAGCGTTTGATGGTTCCCGCCTGCTTGCACGCCTCGAGGAGCACGTGAGTGCCATAAATATTATTCTTGGTGAACTCGAAGCTGTTACCGAACGAGTTGTCCACATGGGTCTGAGCTGCAAAGTGCATAACAGTGTCGATCCCCTCGGTCAGGAGAAGATAGTTCACAAGATCAGCGCTAGCGATGTCGCCCTTCACGAACTTGAAGTTGGGCGAACGCATCGATGGATCCAAATTCCTGAGATTTGAGCAATAATCAAGCTTATCCAGAACCACCACTCGGTACTGCGGGTGGCTCCGAACAATCCTGTTGGCGACATGAGAGGCGATGAATCCCGCAGCTCCTGTGATCAAGATAACGTTAGGCGTGTACGTCTCAGCCATGGCGGCTCTTTGTTTCACGGGACTAGCAAAGTAAAAACGAGCTGGTGTGACTGCCAATAGGTTATCCTACAATATACCGAATATCTTCCTTCCCTCCACCCCAACAAGCCAATTCTCGGCCATCAAGGCTGGAAGTTGGGTCTTCCAGCTTGGCATGCATCATCAGATCCGGAAATCTCTCAGGTTGGTCAGTGATGGGATGTGACCAGGAGAGGGGTTGGGTGGGGGGGGGGGGACTTCAGCGTCTTGGCACTTGCCAGAGAGGTTTGGCGGGAGAGGGTCGTCTTTGCTACTGCCAGAAGCATAACCAACTACCATTGGTTGGGACCCCACCGACTCAAAACAGCCTGCTGATCTGTGACATCACCATTGGCTAACGACTTGCAGTGACATGAAACAAGTAACGTACTGAGTAACAACAAGATAGACGCTTATGAATGCTCCTGGTAGAAATACACACCAATATTGTCCTACACAAATTGATCAAGAAAATATGTTGATTGAATTTTGTCTCAGGAAACTCATGAACGTTGTAAGACTCTGGAAAATGCTCTCAAACCAGCGTCTGTATAAATTTATTGTGTCGTCGAAGCATACGCGACATGAGAACGAACTTCGTTTGCAACATAAACGTTAGCTCTCGCTTCGGTTATGGAGCTTATTGATCTATGGTGTAGTAGTAGCACACAATGTACATTATGCTTTATCACACAATTTAATGCAAAAAACAATGACAAAAACATGGACGACAGCAACAGCAACAACAACAGCGATGCCGTGGATAAGAGCAAAGATGACACAACTTGGCACGTGTTGGACACAACGCAATCGGCCTACCAAGGCAACGGGTTCAAAGGAGAACTTTAGAGGCCTCCAAACTTGGCTATTATGATCTGATCGTGGCGGTAAGAACATGAGTAATGTTGGTGACCGTTTGGGCATCCTATGTGAAGGAGTCACTGCCAGCAGCACCGAGTTACTTTCAGGGTCTGAGATGCTAGGTGCTATGAGCAACAGCAGCAGAGAGCAGGATATAGGACGGAATAAAGGCCACGAAAGGCTGCACATGGCAAAACAAAACAGATGCGATGTGGGACGGGGGAAAAAACGGAGGTGGGTCAAAGAGGTAAAGGATACACATTCCAAAGAATAAACATAGAGAACAGATGCATGATCAATGATCATCATTCAAATACAACATTTGTGCAGGAGTTACTTTTTTTGTTTATGACATGAGTATTAGATTGTAATCATATGCGTCTTCGCTATTAACATTTGTCGCCTTCGCAGGGACAATGGAAGGCGGTGCGGCATCCTTGGAAAATGTTGAAGCGCACATCTAGAAGATACGTGGCCAGTCTTGTGTGGCTAGTTGCGTACGAAATTGCGGCATGATTCGGATGATACCCACCTGTTCCACATCAGCATTTGTGAGGGTGTAGGTGGTGGATCAGCATCTCTCATATGTGGCGCGCATCACAGGGGCACCCTCGTTGTAAGCATTTCAACCATCACAGACCCATGATTCTGTGTCATATTTTCGACGACTATCGAGCGTTCTTGTGACGTGGCTGACCAATGTCTGGTGGACGTTGGGCAAGCTGGTCCCAACTCCACCTCGAAGTTCTCTGCCATTCGCTGGTCAGGATCCTATCCACTTCGATTTCCTCTACGGGGAAATTTCACGTGGCTGTTGTTAGTTTCATGCATGGAGCATAGTCTCGCAGAGGACTAGATGCCCTCCTGTTGTATTTCAGATGTGGTCTTGGCTTGCTTTCCACAATCCCACGCATTCTCTAACTGTCAGGCTTGTGTAGCACTCGTGCAGCTCTCCTTCCACTCCGTCACCATGGCTGCCCTTGCTGCTGCTTCCCTGGCTCCGGTTGCCTCCCTGAAGGCCACCACCACGCTCAAGACCAGCGTGGCCAAGACCTTCAAGGTTGCCCCTTCCGCTGCTCGCGTCTCCATGGCCACCTACAAGGTGACCCTCGAGACCCCCTCCGGCACCTCTACCATTGATGTTGCCGACGACGTCTACATCCTCGATGCCGCTGAGGAGGCTGGACTTGACCTTCCCTACTCCTGCAGGGCCGGCGCTTGCTCTTCCTGCGCGGGCCAGGTTACCGCCGGCTCTGTGGACCAGTCCGGCCAGTCTTACCTTGATGATGACCAGATGGCCAAGGGCTTCGTTCTGACCTGCATTGCCTACCCCACCTCCAATGTCACCATCAAGACCCACCAGGAGGATAGCCTGTACTAAAGAGAATGTGACATAGAAGAATTAGTTCCTTCGGCTGTATTTTTGTCGAAGTAATACAATTTTAATACGCTATTCATCTGCATCTTTGAATAATGCTTCAACTGCGATGACTGAAATTGAGCGCTTTCTACACCGCCCCCTCGAAAGCATTTTCGTTTGCACTTGGTTAAATGCGGACTTCCTCTCATCATTTGTCGGGTGAGATATTCTGAGCATACCGTATCTGGCCAGCCGTCTCTGGTCCACCGTCTTGGCTAACGCTTGTGACATTCTCCAATTGCTCTCATGCTGTGCTCCTGAAATATGTGCCTTCTTTATGTGCCATTATGCTGTCATCATGACAACTTGGGTCCAGCTTCTGGTGCTAGTATAATGAAGTAGGCACTCAGCAATGCTACGGTAACTAGATATGGAAGTAGATAGAGTCATGCAACCCAGGTGCTTGCATTGCATCCCGACATTAATTACATATGATGGTACAGATTTCTAAAGAGATGTAGGCAATGGGCTACGTACGGTAACTAATTGGAGGCAAGGAGGTTAGAACCTTGAGGAACAGGCCTAGAATGTGTTCATTCTGCTCTCCTCTTTGTGTTGGCAAGACAAGCCGGAAAATCACTAAAACCCCATCGGATGGCATGCCATCCGAGGGAGCCTCAACCCTAAACACCATGCCTCCCCGCGTTTAGGGTTGAGGCTCCCTGACCGGATGCATGCCCGTCTGGGGTTTATTTTTTTTAGCCCGCGGGCAGCGAGCTCCCCTGGGCGGGCTCGCTTGTCCGCTGAGATATACCATTCGATATGATGCCACGACAGTCAGAATAAAACATTCTGAGAATGTAAATAACCCCCTGAACATTTTTTTTTTTACAAACCCATTCACCCAATGAAACAATATCTTATAAAACGCACTCCCACATTCAAACCAAAAATCTACGCCTTGAATCTATCCCACCTTTTTTTGCAACATCAGATCCGCTCCGCTGCAAGCCTGCAATTGCTTCGCCTCCCCGTTGCGGATGTCAGCCGCACTGAGCACTGGGAAGTGGTGCTTCTTCTATGAACTTGACCTCGTCTCGTTTTACCTCCATGGGCTCACACGCAGTAATTCATGAATTTGCTTGACTTGGCGGACGAAGGTAGCTTCTGAATCGATCAGCGATGCGATGCGAATCATCCTGTTTCGACGTGTTTTGTCCCGAAGTTTGCTGTATTGACTGCTAGTAAATTGTCTGAAGGATCACGGCATGGAAGTTCCGTCAGCGGTCATGGGGTTGAATGCTTCAACGGCCGTGCGTGTAACGAGCTTGACAAACCTCATGTCCGCGGGAGGCACTGATATTGCCGCGCTGACGCTCTTCGTCAGCCTTCTGTGCGCGTGCATCGTCGTTGGGCATTTACTGGAGGACGTGCGATGGATCAACGAGTCCGTTACAGCCATCATCTTTGTAAGGTCTCGCCTTTCCATTGCGAAGGAAACTGATCATGTCCACTGATTGGGTCGAGTTCATGTCGATAGACAGTCGGTTGGGAGATTTCTCCCACGCACAAGACTCCCTAGAGGCTCGAATCCACGCACACTTCATGCTAGAACTCCCACCTTCGCGCTTGCCGTTCTCCTTTTCACGGTGCGCGGATGTGCGTCGGCGATGGCATGGCATGGCAGGGCCTGGTGACCGGCGGCGTGGTGCTGCTGGTGCGCAAAGGGAAGAGCTCCCTGGTGCTTCGTTTCGACGAAGACCTCTTCTTCATCTACCTGCTGCCTCCCATCATCTTCAACGCCGGGTGCGTTCCCACTCGCCCACTTGATTCTCATGCTCGCTGATTGATGCCAGGTGCCAAGTCTTCCCTACCTCCAAGACAAGCTTATTGCGTCGCGTGCGTGCTGCTGGGGTTATAGCGAGCTAGCGAGATGGCTGGATGCGAGACTGAGGATGCATGGAGGCAGTGAGCGGGAGATATATCGGGATGCAATGCGATCCACGGAAGAACTGGAGCGATCTCGTTGTCACATGCCCTTCCTTATACACCTTCGCGTCCTGCATCTCAGATTCGCCCAGTGCAGTCACATCAGTGCACACTCTCCGCTCTCGCTCGCGTTCTCCTTCACCTCGCACACCCTCATCCGTAGCCTTTCTACTCCTGGATCCCCCTGATACCCCTGCTACCCCTGGCCCGTCTCCTCTTCCCTGGTCCCTCCGCCTCCTCCATCCAACGCTTCCCCCGGTGTTCTTCGGCGCTGTCCGTTCGGCCATGGCAGGTTTCAGGTGAAGAAGAAGCAGTTCTTTCGCAACTTCGGGGCCATCATGGCGTATGGCATTGTGGGCGTCTTCATCTCATTCGGAGTCATCTCAGCAGGTACCTCTGCCCTGCCTGCCTGCCACGCTTCTCCACCTTGAAAATGCCTCGTCTTGCCACTTTACTCTTCTCCTTTTGATTTCCTTGGTATAGCAGTTCTTTTTGCTCGAGTGTTTCGCAAGGGTATGCCTCGTTCCTCTGCGAACTCGTGGTGCTTAGATTCTCTCTGTCCCTTGCATCCGCTGCGTGCCTTGCAGGGTGCAGAAGCCTCTTTGATCTTCTGGGCCTCCCACCACAGCACAGCCGCGTGTATCTTGGTGAGGGGCTGCCCTTTCTCTTTCGCAGCACACCTGCAGTACAGCACCTCTGGCATTTCAGTGTTCTGAACGGGGATGTTTTGGCAGTAGACCAGCGAACATTACCAAGCTTTGAACCTACCACTCCAGCATGGAAGCAGGAAATAACGTCTGGTCACTCCGTGTGTACTGCTGCCAGGGAAGCCACTGTGATTATTTCATGTGAAGTCTATGTGTACCTCCATCCAGCCCTTTCCTAACCCCCTACTCCTCCCCCATTTCTACCACCCTCCCCCTTTTTTCACAACACCCCCATCATCTCGTCCCCCATGTGTGCTGCTGCAGCGCTTGGTGTGATCTTCTCTGCAACCGATTCTGTCTGCACGCTACAAGTGAGCTCCTCCTCCTGCTCTCTCTCAACTCATCCATTTCTTTCCTCCACGCTCACCCTCCCAACCTCCTTTTTATATTCCACTACACCCCGTCTCAAACCGTCCCACGCCCAAAACCCCTTCTCCATGCGTTCCTTCCTTCGCCATCTCTCTCATCACTCTCTCGCTTCTCTCCCGCCCCGCTCCCTTCCCTCTCCCCGCTGCCTTCCATTCCACGGCCATCAGGTGCTCCAGGGCGAGCAGCCGCTGGTAAACAGCCTGGTGTTTGGCGAAGGCGTGGCTTTTGAGGCGCCTCAAAACTCCCCTCCACCTTCTCCCCCCCTCCTCCGCTCCTTGCACGGCACGGTCATCAGGTGTTGGACCAGGGCGAGCAGCCACTGGTGTACAGCCTGGTGTTTGGGGAGGGCGTGGCTTTTGAGGCGCCTCAAAACTCCCCTCATGCCTCCCCCCCCTCCCCCGCACGGCACGGCCATCAGGTGTTGGACCAGGGCGAGCAGCCGCTGGTGTACAGCCTGGTGTTTGGCGAGGGTGTGGTGAACGACGCCACGTCCATTGTGCTCTTCCGCGCCGTGCAGAAGCTGCAGGACGACGCCCTCGACCTGCCTGCTGCTGCTGAGATTGCCTCTGACTTCCTCTACCTCTTCACCGCCTCCACTGCCCTCGGCATCGCCGTGCGTGCTCCCCTGCTCCCTGCCATGGGATGCTGCTGCTGCTGCTGCTGCTGCAGATGCTGATGCTGATGCAGATGCTGATGCTGATGCTGATGCTGATGCTGATGCAGATGCAGATGCAAAGGAAAGGCACATGAGGGGCTGGATTGACTGTCCGATTTCACATATTTAGCTTGTCACGTTCATGTCCACACGCTCACCCCCCCACCCTGCCCTTCCCACGCCACCCCCTCCATCTCATCCCTTCTGTGTCTCATTCGTCCTTCCTGCGACCCGACGTCATGTCCGCATCCGGTTCTTGCTTTCTAGCTTCCAACGCTTCAACCTCCCTGTCGCTGTGCGTTTCTTCCCATCCCATCTCACTGTGCGTGGCATGCCTCAGTTTGGATTGGCGTCAGCGTTCATAATCAGGAAGCTCTATTTCGTCGGGTATGATCATGATTCCATCATCCTTCTCGCAGCTTGCTGCACCACCCTTCTGCTCTCACTCCGCTCATCAAACATCATCCTTGCTTGCTTCACTTCTTTCGTGCCTCGCCGACCGGTCACCCACTGCCGAATCTCCTCTCTGGCACTCTCTTGCTGCTCCCTGTCACCTGTCTCGTCTGGGCCCCATATAGGCGAAAACTTCCCCCCCTCCGCTCCCCACCCCCCCTCCCTTCCCCACTCCCCATCTCCTCCTTCCCCATCACACGCTCACTCCCCTTCCTGCCACGCCCCCGGGCAGGCATGCAACGGACAGGGAGGTGGCGCTGATGGCGCTGATGGCGTACCTGTCGTACGTGCTGTCAGAGGTGCTGGAGCCGAGCAGCATCCCCATCACACCCGTACACTCTCCTTCCCACCATGCCACCCGGCAGGCATGCAACGGATAGGGAGGTGGCGCTGATGGCGCTGATGGCGTACCTGTCGTACGTGCTGTCAGAGGTGCTGGAGCTGAGCGGCATCCTCTCTGTGTTCTTCGCCGGCATTGTCATGAGCCACTACACGTGGCACAACGTCACTGAGAGCTCCCGAGTCACCACCAAGTGAGTGTGCGTGCGCCATGTTTTGAGGCGCCTCAAAAGTTGTCATGAGCCACTACACGTGGGTGGCACAACGTCACTGAGAGCTCCCAAGTCAAGTCACTACCAAGTGAGTGTGCGCCACGTGCCATGTGCCTGCTCCATGCTGCTGTGCTGAGGGCTGCTTGGGGATGGTTGGGGCTGGGGCAAGGGGTATTTGAGACTTTTCTATCTGCTCGCAATTATCCAGTTTACTGGCACCTCCTCGCCTCGCACTGCCCTTCCCCTCACTGCCGTTTCTCTCACTGCCCTGCTTTCTCACTAAACTGACGTGTCTGGTTTACATCCCCCCATTCAACCCATGCACCCCATCCACCGCCATGCATGGGGTGCATGTGAGCAGGCATGCGTTTGCAACGATGTCGTTCATAGCGGAGACGTTCATCTTCATCTACGTGGGCATGGACGCACTGGACGTAACCAAGTGGAACTCCGTCAACCACAGGTGCGCTCATGTCACATGGCACATGTGGCATGGTACCACAGGGCACTGCCGCATGCAAGGCGCAGTGGAAATGCAGATGTTCTGGGTCGCGAATCAATGTTTGTTATTGCTGGATTTTGTATTGCTTTCCTTCTCTTTCTTGTTTGGGTTGTTCTTTCATGTCTCTCCCTGCCTTTGTCTCCCAGGAATGCAGGAGTGCTGTTTGGCATCCTGCTTTCGCTCGTGCTGCTGGGGCGTGCTGCCTTTGTCTTCCCCCTCTCCTTCCTGCTCAACCTGCAGCGCAAGAACAACCGAGTGCTGCTCCCCCAACATCAGGTGACCCACCTTGCTGACTCTTGAGTCGACTCAAAAGTCACCTTGCTGCTCCCCCAACATCAGATGACCCACCCTGGGGCACTCCCACTGGTTCTCACCTTTTTCCCGCTGCTCCCACGAGCACGTACGTTATGCGCCACCCGTTCTTGCTGCATCGTACTTGCAGCATCCGTTGTTCTCCCTCGCCCTCTTCATGCTTCAAACTCGCCTCCAATTGCCTTTGTGCACTTACCCCACTTGTGTATCTATCTGCCCGTTTTCCTAGCTGCACACCATACCCTCGTCTCCGTCCCATCTCTATTCCTTACCGTGCCTTTCAGGTGGTCATCTGGTGGGCTGGTCTCATTCGCGGTGCTGTCTCCATCGCCCTCACCTACTCCGCAGTGCGTGTGTGATTGAGACCCATGTATAGCCAGTGAAATCTGTGAGGCTAGTGAAAAGCCTTTCCATGCAAATATATCTCATTCTTTCAACCTTTCTGTTTGTTTCCACTTGTGCCACCACTCGTGCATCTCGATTTTTGGCAAGACAATCACCATCTGTGTCAAGCTTGCCCCTCCACCCATCTCTCCCCCCTAAATCCTCCATCCCTCAGTTTCACTCATTTCAAGTCTCCTCTTTCCCCTTCTCTTTCCCCACCTTCCGTGCCCCTCCCATTCCCTTCCCCTCCCTCTCCCTCCTGTTCCTCTGTGCAGTTTCCAGACTATTCAGACCCGGATGTTGCAACCACAATTGCTGCCACCATTGCTCTCGTGCTCTTCTCCACAGTAGTGAGTGCATCTCTCATGCTCGCCTCCATCTCTCTCTCGCTCTCACCAGCACCTGCCATATCAGCTCTCGGAAGGTCTTTGTGAATATTCCATCCAGACATGTGCTGTAACGAAGCAAAGGCCTATCGTTGGTTGACCTCTCAGTTTTGACCCCTTTGAAAGGCTCCGGAAACTACCCCGCCCACTCCTTTCCTAACGCGTCCCCTTCTCCCCACACTGCTTCTTTCACTGATGTAAAGTCCCTCCCTACATTCCCCACCTCACACCGCCCACAGGTGTTTGGTTTGCTCACGAGCCCTCTCATAAACCACCTCCTCCCTCGCCCTCTCGACCGCTCCTCCAGCCTCGTCAGTGACGCACTGCCCTCGCCCAAGTACCTCTACTTCCCGCCTTCCCTGCCCCGCCGCTCCTCCTCCTCTTCCCTCTCCCTCGCCCTTGACATCCCGCCGTCGCCCCTCAGCTACGCCTCTGGTGTATCTGCGCCTCCCTGGCCCTATCGTTCGGCTGCACAGGGCGCCTCTCACTCCGCCCCTTCCTCATCCTCAGTTGCATTTGGCGCTGTTGCTTCTGCTCGTCCCTCTCGCGTGCTCCGCTTTGCCGATTCCCCCGTCCCCGATGCAGCAGCAGCAGCCGCAGCAGTCGCAGCAGCAGCTGCCGCAGCAGCGGCAGCAGCATCAGCGGGTGGGAGCTCCTCCTTTGCAGGTTTCAGTACAACAGCAACTGCAGCAGCAACAGCAGCAACAGCAGGAGCGAGCAGCAGTGTGGTTGCCCCTCCACCTGAACCAGCAGTGTCCTGCTTGCCTCCCAACGCCCTACCAGGGATCACCATGCCGAACCAGCGCTTCACATCTCGGCTGCTCTCGGCGAGAGAGAGTGACGTGCATGATCTCTGGCGCTGGTTCGATGACTCGTACATGCGGCCCATGTTCGGCGGCAGGGGCTTCGTCCGGCCCTTTGCCTCCACCGCTGCCACTGCAACTCCAGTTGTGCCAACGCCGCGAGCCATTGCTGCTGCCGCCGCTGCTGCCGCCTCTGGCGCTGCTGCTGGTGCTGCTGCGACGGCTGCCATGAGAGCAAATAGGATCCAATCAGGCGAGGGGCTGGCAGGCTTGCGAGTGAGTCTCACTGACAGGTTGCTAGCCGAGGGTGGGGAGGTGAGGGGTGTGGAGGAGTATATAGAGGAGGAACGGATGGTTTCGGGAGGTTTACTCGGGGATGTGTTGTGGTTCGGAGGGGAGTGGGAGGCACAGGGGGATGAGGCACAGGCACGGAGGTCCAGCAGTGGGTGGTGGAGTATATCGGAAGAGGAGGGGGGGAGGGAGTCGGCAGGGGAGCACGTCGGGGGCGGGCGGAAGGAGGAGGAAGGGGATGCGATTGAAGGGGAGGACTTGGCAGATTGTGATTCCGCCTGGCCTGCTCGCCTGCAATCGCCTCGACCCCATGCTTCCCCTCCTTTCCACTCACGGCCTTCCCCGGATCGTGGAACGTGAGGAGGAAGGTGATGCTGCTGGGTGCAGTTGCTGGTGCTGGTGCACAGTAGCCTGACTGGGCTTCCGGTGGCACTGCACTGACTGGTTACACATGTTGGGATGGGATTGTTGCCACTGGCCACGTTGGACTGTACTAACACATAATGCTGTTGTTATGTACAGATCTGTATAGTGAAGCTGGTTCGAAAGTATTGTGTTTCACGAGCTACACACACACACACACCATTGTTCTATCCATGTGTCAAACCAATTCATGTCTACCAAATCTGATCGGAGCCTCTCATCTCATTCAAGAAGCCGGGGGCTTCAACGCGCTACATCAAACGTCGCTTTTGGCACTGCGGCGAATCATACAGTACTGTATGTCACTGCGGCTCTGCACTGCATGAGAGTTGGCAGGCACATTCAGCCACACCACGCCAGCTCACATCAGCCATACCAGGGTAGGCTGGGCATTGGGCATAGTAGAGCAGCATCCACATATGAAACATGCAGCACATTACACACAGTAATCAAGGTACACCATAACATATCAGCGCTTTCAACAAGGGTTAGATGCACATGTAGGAGCGTTGATCCTACCGTCTTCCAATCATTTACGGTACCCAACGTTGCTTCGAATGGGACAATGCATGTCGAACCGCACACAGCACAGAACCTTCAGGCCCCCACCAAGCTGGTCAGCCCTAGCTCCACTTGTGCATGCTGTTGTGCAATCATGAAACTGTATCCCCACCGGCCTGCCTGCTGCACGATGCACATCGTTGCCTGGCGCGCACAACCCGCCGACCGTGACTGCCCTGCCGCACACTGCAGCACTGTAACCCCCCTACTTAGCAGCATACCAAACCTACTACCCCATCACACCACGCATTGCGACCCTTTCCCACCTTCCAATCCTAAACCCTTGCTGCACCCAAGGCCCCATGGCATCTCAACGCTCAGACTCCCTCTTTCCAATCCTAAACCCTAGGTCATACACCACAAGCGCTGGAGTTACACACAACAGGTGCACCAGGTAACAGCCTTCCAGCTTTTTATCGGCCTTCCTCACCATCAAAACATCCCCAACTCCTGCTCGTCCCCCTCAATCCGACCTCCTTGATCCTCCTCCCTCCTCCCTCCTCCCTCCTCCCTCCTCCCTCCTCCCTCCGCCCACCTCCCCCCATCACCACCCGCCCCCAATGTCCCAATCTGCATGCAGCCACATGGGCGCCGACGCCGTGGGATGCACATCAGGCACCACCCCGCCGAAGAAATCCCCAAAGTAGTCCGGAGGCTCGACAACGAATTTCCCAATGATGTCCCTCAGCGTCACCACGCCCTGCAGCTCGCCCACCTCGTCCGTCACATACACGCGGTGCACGCGCGCTGCCTGCAGCACCAACCAACCCATCACCTGCTCTCACCAACTCACCCTCTTCCCCCAAACTCCTTACCCCCTCCCCTTCCTCTTCCCTTCTCCCTTTTACCACCCGCCCCCAATATCCCAGTCCGCATGCAGCCACATGGGAGCGGACGCCGTGGGATGCACATCAGGCACCACCCCGCCGAAGAAATCCCCAAAGTAGTCTGGAGGCTCCACCACAAACTTCCCAATGATGTCCCTCAGCGTCACCACGCCCTGCAGCTCGCCCACCTCGTCTGTAACGTACACGCGGTGCACGCGCGCTGCCTGCAGCGCGTGCATCACGCGGCGCAGGGGCGTGTTGGCTCGGCAGCGCGTGGGCGGGATGGCTGCCGGGGAGATGAGGCCGGTTGAGGATCCGCGCCCCTTGGCTATCTCCAGAAACTGTGCCACTGTCAGCGACCTGGGGGAAGAAAGGGGAAATGGTGTGAGGTGTATTAGAAGGAACGAAATGGGCATGGTGAGAGAGAGATGGCTAGTGGTGGTCTTGCAGGTGGTGGGGTGGGTATGAGAAGGTACATGCTCCGTTCCGTCTCGTGCTAACGCACTGACCCCAAAGCTTGCACCACTTGTGCTTCCCCTCACTCCACTCCCTCTCCCCACCTCCCCCCCACCATCTCCCTTCCCCCATGCGAGCGAGCGAGCATGATCTGCAGTCGTGGAAGAGCTTGGAAGCAACGAGAGGCAGCTGGATGCCACGCCTCAACGAACCTTTCCCGCCCTTCTCACTCTCCCCACCCACATTCCCTCCCCCCTCCCCCACCCCTCACCCCTTTCTCTCATCCCACCCTCTCCCCCTCCCCACCCCTCCCCCCCTTTTCGACATACGGGCATGACCTGCAGTCGTCGAAGAGTTGAGGAGCAACGAGCAGCAGCTGGATGTCTCGCACGCTCATCGCTCCCCAGCTCTCCCCCTCTTCCTCCCATCCCACCCCTCTTCCCCACCCCTCCCTCTCCAGGTGCAAGCGTGATCCGCACCTGCAGTCGTGGAAGAGCTGGGGAGCGACGAGCAGCAGCTGGATATCTCTCACGCTGATGCTGCCCACCACCCTCCTCCGTCCTAATGCCACATCTTTCCTTTCCGATTTTCAAGTCATTCCTTAAACACGCCTCAACAAAACCTTCCCTCCCTTCTCTCCCCCTTTTCTCACTCTTCGCCCTTCCTCCTCCCCTTTCCCCCCTTCCCCCCTCAACCCTGCCCTTCTCCCATCCCACCCCCCCTCCCCCTCTCCCATCCCAACCCCCCCGGTAATCGAGCGAGCATGACCTGCAGTCGTGGAAGAGCTGGGGAGCGACGAGCAGCAGCTGGATGTCGCGCACGCTGATGCTGCCCACCACCTGCCGCGTGCCCTTCGCCACCACCGGCACGCCCCCCACCCCCGCTGCCAGCATGCGCCGAAACGGCTCCAGCACCGGTGCATCGTCCTCCACCTGATGGGGCGGGGCAGAGGGAGGGGGGAGAGGGAAGGAGGTCGGCTCTCAAGGTGCTTACAAAAACCCAACCCCAGCAGCCAGCAAGCAACGACACGGCTCCAGCACCGGCGCATCGTCCTCCACCTGGTTGGTGTTGTGGGGGGTGGGGGGGAAGGGGGAGAGAAGGGAGGTACGGACGGTTGATGAGGAGAATTTTGAGGCGCATAACAAAATAGCCCCCCCATGCCTGCCTGCCGCTAGCATGCGCCGAAACGGCTCCAACACCGGCGCATCGTCCTCCACTTGGTTGGTGCTGTGGGGAGGTGCAGGGAGGAGAGAGGTGAAGGGGTGTGTTAGGGGAAGAAGGGTGAGTTGGAGGCGATGACGGGAGGGATTGAGGGGTGGGAAGGGGTGAACAGTAGGGAGGTGAGGTTGGAGGAGAGGGAAAGGAGGGGGAAAGAGAGGAAAATGGAGTTTGCCCACAGAAGAAGGGGAGTGAGTGAGAATGTTGGGAAGCCAGGGAGACGATAAAGTCATGCAACTTTCATCCCAGCCCAGCCCAGCCCGGCCCATCCCACCCCACCCCACCCCACCCCACCCCACCCCACCCCATCCCACTGCAACTCACCACAACGACTTTATCCCCAGGCAAAGTAGGCAGGCCGAGGTCGCAAATGGGCCGGTCTGCAAGGCGGTCGAACCAGGGCAGCCCGTGGCAGTCAGCGAGCACCTCCACCACGCTGCTCTGCGTCACCAGGTTCAGCACCGCCGGCTGCCCCGCCTCCACCACTGGCACCGACCGCACGCGGTACTTGGAGACCAGGAGGAGGAGCGTTAGGAGCGAGTCGTCGGGGGTTACTGGGAGGAATGGCGCCCACCGGAAGGATCCGGCCACGTCTGAGACCTGGTAAAGGGAAAGTTGGGGAGTGGGTATTTTTTTTCATTCCAGTTATGAATCCGGTGGGATGTTGGGGGCATGAGGGGAGGGCGAGAAGTAGGATTTTGAGGCGACTAAAGGCACCTGGTGTGGGAGGGTTCGGCGGATGGGATAGGGGAGCGGTTGCAGTGGGGTGATGGTAAAAGGGGGTTCAGGGTTGAGGGTTGAAGGATGGGAACAGAAGGAGGGTGGGAGGATGGATGCGTACAGAGAGTTGACGGGACGCTGAGACCCACGCCTGGAACCAGGCACGTGGCGTAGGCACTGAAACTTTGACCTTCAGACCTGCTGCTCTTACCCTCCTTCCTCTTTCTGTGGTCGATACTCTCCCTCTTTCTGTGGATGAGTGGAAAGAGAGTGGAAGGGACGCTGAGACCCACGCCTGGAACCAGGCACGTGGCGTAGGCACTGAAACTTTGACCTTGAAACCTGCTGCTCGCAACCTCCTTCCTCTCCCCGTCTCTACTCTCCCCATTTCTCGACCCTTCTCCCCCCTCCTCCCCTGCCCCCCCTCCCCCACCCTTATTACCCACCTTGGTGTTCTGAAACTCGTCTGCTTTCAGCAGCAGCGAGAAAAAGTCTCCGCCCAAGCTGCCGGCAGGGGGAAGGCCCCGCTCGCCAATGCCGCTGCCCACTGCTGCTGCCACCGCCACTGCCTCCGCCGTCACTGCCGCCCCCTTTGCCCCCCCTTCCGTTTCTTCTGCTGTGCCCCCGCCTGCGTCGTCTCCCCTGCCCTCCCCCTTCTCTGCTCTTTCTCGGGCTTTCATCTGCGATGCCTGTGCGGCAGGGACGGGACGCCATGGGGGATGGGGGAGAAAAGTGGGGGAGGCGAGGGAGGGGGAAGGGCAGGGGGAAACCGGAGTGAATACGGGAGGGGATGTTAAGGGGGAGAAGTGAGGTAGGAGAAGGATGGAACGCAAGGGAGAGCCGAGTCGAGATATGAGGAGAGAATACAAGGAGAGAATGTGAGGAGAGAATACAAGGAGAGAACACATGCGGAAAACGGAGCACAGGAATGGGGAAAGGAGAGAAGGAGAAGTGGAAAGGAGAAGCGAGAGGAGGAATGGAAACCAGGAAAAGGAGTTTGGAAAGTAAAAAGGGGGGATGGGAGGGCAAGAAGAATGGATGGAAGGCAGGGAAGGGGCGAGGGAGGCCAATTCCCTTATAAGAGCACGCGGAAGAGCTGAGGCCTTTTTGAAATGGCTAGTCGCTTTTTGTGCTGTCTCCGAGCGTGTGTGTGTGATTTGTGTGTGTGTGTTGTATGCGTGTTTAACTTTCTTTAATTTGCACATGGCACGGTCGTAAGGATCGCGCTGGTATGTTTGCAAGTGTAGACATATCCACCCCAGCAACCACCCGAACCAGCACCCAGCAACCCCAACACCCGCCCGCCTAAATTCCCCGCCCCCCTTCCCTCCCCCTCTCCTTTCTCCCAAGTAATCATCTGCCAGACCCGACCCCGAAACCCTCCCCCCCTCCTCCTCCTCCTCCCCTCTCCCCCTTCCCCTTCCCCTTCCCCTTCCCCCTCCCGTCCCTCCCCCCTGCCCGTCCCAGCATTGACCCGACCGAGCACCCACCCCCTTCCCCCTGCCCGCCCCAGCACACTTACGCGGCCCAGCACCCAGAGCACGATGCCGGCGAAGTCGAGCAGGCCGAGGTAGCGGTCGATCCAGCTGCTGTCGGCGGGCGCGTCGACGTTGCGCACGGGCGCGGAGAGGATGCCGTGCCGCGACAGCAGGTGAATCGCGTCCGCCACGCTCGCGTCCGACGCCACCTCGATCACTGCGCTTCGCCACGTGGCGACGAGCGGGAAAGGAAAGCGGAGAAGGGAGCGGAGGGGGGGAGAGGGGGGAAAGGGGGACGAGGGGGAAGGGGGAAAGGGGGACGGGGGGGAAGGGGGAAAGGGGGGAAGGGGGGAAGTGAGGGAAGAAAGGGAAGTGGGGGGGGGGGGGAAGAGAGGGAAGAGGGAGAAAGTGGGAAAGGGAGAAAAGACGAGGAAGGGGGGGAAAGGGAGAAAACAGGGGGAGCAAGCAGGAGGGAGGAAAATGAGACGGAGAAAAATTGAACAGCAAAAAGGCAAGCCAACAGCTCACACTAACAATAGTATTAAAATAAATAAAAATCCTAATTATAAAACAAAATTTCAGCAACATTGCACCTTGTCCGGAAGCCACGGGAGGGAAGAGCGACACGGGAAGCTTCTCAAACGCCCAGTTCAGCGCCGCCTGCTCCGCGTCGCCGCTCTCTCCCGCCGCCGTCTTCCCCGCCGCGTCTTTAGCTCCGCCTTCCGCATTCTCCCGGCGTTTCTTCTCCTCCTCCTCCTCCCGCTGCTGCCACAGCTCCTGTATCCGGCTGCGCAGGCTGAAATGCCCGTCGCGCTGCCGACCGGGGGACGCCAGCAGCTCCGCCATGCTTGGGCCGGCGGGCGCGCCTAACAACGTCTTTAACGACGGGTCGCGTTTACGCGACTTTGTGCGTCGTGTTACGAAACGGGAAAGACGAGTGTGAAAGGTGGATGGAGGAAGAGAGGGAGAGAATGCGTGTTTTGGTGCGAGAAAGGAGCGCTTTCACTCCACGCTGGCTATATGATAACTTCGAGGCAACCGACGCACAGGAATTTGTTATTTGGCTAGACAACGAGCTCCGGCGATACTAACTAACGCACACCGCTGAACTAGTCCTAATTTATTCGTAATACGGAACGAAATTGACGTGCGGAAGATTGACGTTCTGCACTTTCGTTGATTCAATCAGTAACCGTTGGCCAAATGTGGAACTAATTAGGAAAACTAAAAAGCACGAACTCGAGCACAGCCAAGAAGCAAGATGGACGAAGGAATGGCGGGCAGCGCAAATGGCGGCAATCGAAGCATACGTGCAAGCCAATGGAGGCAAGGAGTTACTTGCAGCTAGGCCAGGAAATCTGCATTAGCTGGAGGAGAGTCAGCCAAACAGCGTGGAATGCTACGCTGGAATTGCTGAGGTGTCGTAACGTGAATGGAAAACTAGGTCTTCTAACATCAGCATGACGTGGTCCAGGGCATATCTGGGCTGTGTTCAGTCAGGGCTTCGGGCATTTCCAAAATCCAAGCAGCAATCCCCCACAGCCTATCTTGCTGTTGCCAAAACGTGCTCGATGTCAAGGCATGTGCTCGTCAGTCCATTTATGCTGATATATTTGATTGTGTAAAAGCTGTACTTCACATCCCTTTAAGACGTGTTAGTAATTTCTCTTTGTGGTGAAGTAGGAGGTCGTCCTCTAGATTTCAGTGTACGTATCATGGGTAGAAGGGACATAACTTATCTATATTCAGTTAAAATTGTGCGAAAATTTTGCATTATGGATACAGACTATCATCTTTGTCTGAAACTTCTAATAATAGGGTACTAATGTACAGTGCCGGGCTACAGTCTCTTTATCTATTCTATTTTCGCGATTGTCGTGCGGTTGTCGTCCAATCGTCGTTCACAGCTTGACTATACCGAGGTTGAGCTAGCAACCTCCATGGCATGGCATGGCATCCACCACACAGCCATGGCCCATGCCATGCCCACAACACACAACCCCAGGAAAGTGCATCTGACCTCCACCCTGTCCCCAACCGACCAATCGCGGCACTCCCTGTCAGGTGCAGTCCCAAGGTGGCCCATGCCAGAACTACCATCCCATCCAACCACTAACCACTGTCCGCTTCTTAGCTACTATTCTAAACTACTCAGGATCGGTCCATGGTGTGGTACTGTTTTGCCAGGGTAACCGATTAACGACGGCTGATTTGCAGCAAGCGAGAAGTCACTCTTGTCCGCGCTGAGGAGCCCTTTCCGACGCGCAGAGAACTCCAGGTAAGCCTTTAGGCAGAGATTGAAGTTCATCAGTCAATCATCCCTTCCACTTACCCACTGAATCTGCGAGTCCGAAAATTGCGAAATCACCTTTGCGAGAAATTTAGCCTCTGGATTCGAGCATTAGGAGTTCAGAGATGGGCTCAGGCACGCCGGCTGTATGATTTTTGCGATCCGAAGTGTCGTTTCGAAGGCGCAGTTAACAGCTGCACGGCTGAGCTGATTTTTGAGTCGACTTAGAGATCCGACCTGTCGTTGCGAGGACGCAGTCGCAGCTGCGTTTAAACCAGTGAGGCGGTTCGTGGGAGACGCATGCCGCGGCTTTCTCGTATGCTTGCTTCTATCCATCCATGTGCACGCCGATTGCTCTACATCTTTCACCAGATTACACCTTCGTCTTCACCATCTGTCTGTTTCCGTCCTCCATCCGTCGCTATCTGCCTTCCGTTCCTGCCTTCCGTATCTGTCGTCCGCACCTCCCTTCCGTACCTGTCTTCCTGCCTCCCGTACCTTCCCTCCTTGTCCTGGTCACTCTCTGCGTCTCAGGTTCAGCTTCACCGTCAAATTTTCCTCAAGAATCTTCACGGCTCCTCGAGTCCGCACTTACACGTTTCCCCCGCTTCCTACGCCTCTGGCTCTTCCCACGTCACCGCGGATTCAATCAAATCCATGGGACGAGGCCACCAGACGCATCACTCTTCCTCTTCCACCTCCCAGGCTCACTCCTCCTCCTCTCCTACCACCGAAACCACCACTCATCTCTCCCCGGCGGAGCAGGGAAAGCACCTTCCGCCTGCGGGGGAAACTCGCAACCAGTCGCACCAGCAAGCGTGCTCCGCGCAGCAGCCGTCGCAGCCGCAGGGGATGGCGTTTACGGGCGGTATTGGAAACGGAGTTGTTGCCGTCCCGCAAGGTTCTTCCACTCCCCATCCGCTGCCTCTCTCCGCGCCCTTCCATCCCACCACTGCTGCTGCTGCGGCTGCTGCATCCGAGGCAGCGAGTGACGTCAGAGCCGCGGAGACCCCGCATCACAACGGCGTGGCGGCGTGTGCGGCGGGCAAAGCGGTGACGGCGCAGCGAGCGCAGTCGAACAAACGAGCGGCCATCGCGCTCGAGGGGGACGGGGGAGGTGGGGAGTTCCTGCAAGGAACGCCCGCGTCCGCGACTCATGAGATGGGTCTTTCCGCCGATTGTGATTCCGCCACCGGCGCCACTGCTCCCCCAGCAGGTAGCGCCAGCGCTCATTCTGGGGAAGCGCTCGGCACACGAGCTGCGGAAGGGGGGGATGCGGGGAACTGGCGGGCACCAAGCGCAGGGGCAGCAGGGGCGCTCTTTCCCCTTGTTGCTCCGCTCTTCGCCCCACAAGCAGTCGCAGAAGCCAAGGCGGGAGCAACACCACCTAACTCCACTCTCGCCGGGATACCTGCAGCTGCAGCAGCTGCAATAGCAGCTTCTGCAAATGTCACCGCTGCTGCTGCCGCTGCCGCCGCTGCTGCTGCTGCGTCTATCCGTGCTACGTCTCTGCCTACGCATGCTCCGTGCTTTCCGTCCGTGTCGTCGTCGCTGCCCCTGGCAGCAGGCAACTGTGCATACCCATGCCCACTCGCCCCGGCCAGCCTCTTCCCCCTCCCTTCCCCCTCTCCCTCTCTCCCACTCGGGGCTTTTGGCTTTGGCGGTGCTCATGCAGGCTCGTGCGCAGCAAGCGCAGGCGCAAGCGCAGGCGCTGGTGCTGGCGCTGGCGCTGGCGCAAGCGCGGGTGCACTCGGCGCGGATGCCCCCATTTGGCCGGATATCAGCTCGCCTGCGTCCGCTTCCGCCCTTCCGCCTGCGCTTTCTCCTGCTGCCTCCGCGTCCCCTGCGTTCCCCCTGCTCCCGCACACCCACCCCCAGCAGCAGCAGCAGCAGCAGCAGCAGCAGCAGCAGCAGCAGCAGCAGCAGCAGCAGCAACAACAACAGCAGCAGCAACAGCAGCAACAACAGCAGCAGCAGCAGCACCCGCCTATCATCCGGGCTGCTAGGCCCCGCAAGGGAACGCGTTTTGTCACCCGTGCGGCTGCTGGTAGTGGCGCAGCTGCTGTGGGCAGCGGAATGGGAAGTGGGGGCGGCGGAGCAGGTGTTGGCGGAAGCGGAGGCAGTGCTGTGGGCAGTTCTGTGGGGAGTGCTGTGGGGAGTGCGTCAGGTAACCAGCTGGGGAGTGCTGTGGGGAGTGCTGTGGGGAGTGCGGCAGGCGCTGGTAACCAGCTGTCCCTCCCCTTTGCGCCTGTTCTCACAACGCCTGCTTCCGCTGCCGCTGCTGCCGCTGCTGCCGCTGCTGCTGCTGCTGCTGGTACTGGCTCCTCCGCTGCTGCTCCTTCTGCGCTTGCTGCAGCCCCGACAGCAGCAGCAGCAGCGGCGGCGGCGGCAGCAACAGCAGGCACAAGTGGTGCAGGTATGAGGCGCACTGCGCAGGGGTCTTTTGGACAAGACAAGGAGGGCGGTAGCGATGCCCTGGCAGGAGTTGGAGGCAGGGGAGCTGCAGGGAAGGGCGGAGGGCCGGCGGGGGGAGGGGGGGAGGAGGAGGAGGAGGAGTAGGAAGTGGAATATGCAAGTCAGCTCACTGTGGGGGTCATCACCACCATCACCACCACCACCACCACCATCCCCACCCTCACCAGCACCACCACCAGCACCAGCACAACCATGCACCAGCTGGTGCCAGGGAAGCGTCAGGCAACATTAAGGGAGAGAGTGACAGGCGGGGCGACGTGGGCAGCGGTGCAGGTGGGGAGGACGAGCGGGCGGCGGCGCGGGTGGAGGAGGTGGAAGAGGTATCAGAGGAAGAGGCGAACAGGGCGCTGAGCGAGGCGGTGAAGGTGGGGCAGTATGGGCCGCTGTTTGCTGCGCTGCGGCGGTGTGGGGGCAGTGCGAGCAGTGCTGTGCTGGACAGGTCGTGTGCGTGGCTCATGGGCAAGAAGAGAGCGCTCAAGGCCATTACCACCTCTGAAGCCTCGGCTATTTTCCATGTGAGGGCCAGCTGGCTTTTCCCGCTCGTTTGTTCTCGGCTCCTTTGCTTGTTCCGTTGATAGGTTTTCTGTGGCGGCATGTCCGTGTGGGTGGGCAAGCCTGCTTAGCTCAGAGGCCAGAGCGTCGCGGGCAAGCTGCTTTCTCTCTGGAGAGTGCATGTGGTTATTTATTTAGTGGTGACGCATGCATGGTAGCTTGAAGAGAGTTTAATGCGTTCATGTGTGTGCTTGCATTCGTGCATGTTCACTCTTGCGCGCACGTCTGTGTGACCTTTTGAGAGTGCATGTGGCTGCAACTCTGGCTGCCAAATGTTGTGCATGAATCATCTGTGTGCTATCTCTCCTGACCGTACTCTGTTCTTGTGTATGTATTTGTGTGGGTGTGTGCGCGTGTGTGCATGTGTGTGTGCATGTGTGCATGTGTGTGCATGTGTGTGCATGTGTGTGCATGTGTGTGTGTGTGTGTGTGTGTGTGTGTGTCTGTGTGTGTGTGTGTGTGTGTGCGTGCGTGCGTGCGTGCGTGTGTGTGTGTGTGTGCGTGTGTGCGTGTGTGTGTGTGTATGTGGATGTGTGTTTGTGTGTTTGTGTGCATGTGCGTTTGTGTGCGTGTCTGCATGCGTGTCTGCATGCGTGTCTGCGTGCATGCGTGCACGCATCAGGTGGTGGCGGCGCGCACATCGCCCATAATGGAGGATTTCAAGGACTGGCTCGCGTTCAAAGCAGAGCCAGCAGCCGTCGAGAAGCTCATGCACTCACGGGCCTCACAGGTGTGTCGTGCTGTGCTGTGCTGTGCTGTGCTGTGCTGCGCTGTGCTGTGCTGTGCTGTGCTGTGCTGCGCTGTGCTGTGCTGTGCCGTGCTGTGCTGTGCTGTGCTGTGCTGTGGCCCACTGTGCATGTGTGACATGCATATCCCGTGCTTGTGCCATTCCTCTTCCTACCATGCCTCTGTCATTCACGTCCCACGTACGCTCGTGCTGACTTATTCTGGGTTTCCTTTCGTCTCAGCCTTTCGCCATCACCCTATTCTCCACGAACTCTCAGCTCCAGTCCCACTGCCCTCCCTTTCACTTTCCCTCTCCCGCTCCCTCTCCTCCCTCTCTCTCCCTGTCCTTGTCCCTCTCCCTCTCCCTCTCCCTGCCCTTCCCCCGCTCATCCGTGCTGCCAACAGCGGGACACATGTCAGCTCGCCTCCTCGTCATCATCGTCATTATCATCCACGTCTCTGGCCCTTCAACCCGCGCCCTTCCCCTGCGCTACACCTACACGCCCTACCAATTCCACCTCCACACTGCCCTCTAACACCGGTAAGAGCCTCCCACCTGGGGGAGCAGGAGGAGGAGGGGGTGGAGGAGGGGGGGGAGGAGGGGGAGGAACATCAAATGCTTCAGGATCTCCTTCCCACCTCTGCCCCTCACCCGCTTCTAGCACTTGCACCACCACCACCACCGCCACCGGCACCAGCACCATCACCACGAGCAGCAGCAGCAGCAACGGCAGCAGCAGCAAAACCAGCACTGTGAGCGACGCACCAGCGTCCCTGCTCTCCCTATCAACGCCATCCCCGCCTCGCAAGGACCCAGTGTCTGAAGCCAAGGCGGCAGCGACAGCAGCACTGCAAGCAGCATTAGAGTCACGAGATATAGCCCGCATGGTGGAGGCTCTGAGATGCCACCGCAGCAAGGCTACTCCCAAGGCCGTGAGGGTTGTTCAGCAGGAGGTGAACCGGCTGTTATTTGGGGATGCGGGCGGGGGTGGCGGTGGGAGCAGGACGAGTGGTGCGGCTGCGGGAGGGGATGGGGGAGCGCGTGGGGGGGGAGCTGGTGCTGCTGGGACAGCAGGATCGGGCGCTGCTGGTGCTGCTGCTGCTGCTAGTGGTGGTGGTGGTGGTAATGCTGCTGGTGGTGGTGCTGGTGGTGGTGCTAGCGGGTTGTCAGGAGGTGCAGCCTCGTGTGTGGCACCAAGTGCACATGCACAGGCAGTCTCAGGAGGCCATGCATGCTGCAACAACCCCGCATGCGTGCACCGCTCCTTCCCCGCCCCTGCTAGCCCCTTCCCCAACCTCTCTCATGCCGCTGCCACAGCAGCTCCAGCCAACGCCGCGTCCCTGCAGCAAAGCGGTGGTGGAGGAGGGGTAGGGGGAGGTGTAGGGGGAGGGGGAGTGGGAGGGGCAGGGTCAGGGGGACACGGAGTCTTGCAAAAGGCTGGAGAAAGCAGAGGGCGGGGGAAAGGAGTTGTGGCTACGGGAGGGGAAGCAGCAGCGGGAGGAGGAGGAGACGCGGGAGGGACAGTGGCGGAACGAGGGGGGAAGATGGATGGCCCTTTTGCAGCTTCTGCTGGTGAGTGTGGTGGGCTTGGATGCATCGTGTATGCATTCACATGCATGGGTGTGCATGTACGGGCATGAGAGGAAAAAGCGTCTTCGCCATAGTGCCTCTTTCATTGCCATCTTTTATTCCAACCGCAGCCATCCCAACAACAGCCATGCCAATCCTTAACTTCGCAGCTCTCAGATTCAGCTTCCAGTTTCGTTTGAGGCTGTCCGTGCAACCTTGTCTTTCACTTGCACTAGGAAATGAATTCTTTGGAAGTTACACTATCTCAGGCTTCTCATGTTTCCTTCCTTCGGGGTTGTCCTTGCTTCCTTGTCTGGCGCTTGAACCAGGAACAGCAGCATTCGGAACTTCTGCAGCAACAGCTGCAGCTGCTGCCGCAGCAGCAACATCAGAAGCAGCAGCAGCAGCATCAGCGGCATCATCAGCGGCAGCACAGCAGCAGCAACAGCCTCGTCTAGTGTGCCCCTTTCCGTCGCCCACTCCAGGATCAAATGCTTCAGGTGCGAGGCTCATGCTTTCCAACTTGTAGCACCTTTTGCTCGATTCTCTGTTCTATCTGCTTTCTGCTTTCTGCTCTTTGTTCTCTGCTCTCTGCTCCATGCTTGTGCTTTGTACCGCATGATGTTCCCTTGGCCATACCCCTGCTCTCGTAGCCCACTCACATCCTGTGTTTGTCTCCCAACATTGCCAGCGGTGCCGCCTCAACCAACACCATCCACTCCATCCCCACCACCACCACCACCACCCACCACCACCACCACCACCACCACCACCACCACCACCACCACCACCACCACCACCACCACCATCATTTCCGCATGCGCCTACCTGTGCAGACATGCTGTGTGGGGTTGGAATCGGAATCGGCCTTGGGGTTGGCGTTGGCGTTGCAGCGGGGCACGGGCCTCGTCTCGGGCCTAAGGGGCGCCCCCGCACCTCCAAGCTGCTGCGCCGAAAGGTCAAGACCAGCAGCAGCAGCAGTATCAGCAACAGCACGAGCAACAGCACCAGCACGAGCAACAGCAACAGCAACAGCAACAGCAGCAGCAGCAGCGCTATTACGGGTGGCGCTCTCTCTTCGGGTGCTGACAGCAAGAGCAGTGGCAGCGGCAGTTACAGCAGTGACGGTGCTGCCTTTGGCAGCAGCAGCAGCAGCAGCAGCGGTGGTGGTGGTATTGGAGGTGTGGCAGCCGGTTCTTATGGTGCATACCCTGCTGCTGTGTCTTCAAGCGGACTGGGAGAAGGAGCCACAGTCTGGGGTGCAGCAAGTGGAACCGGGACAGTCGCTGGGACTCCTCCCCCTTCTTCTGGGATTGCATCAGGGCTGGTGACAGGCACTGCGACGGGAATTTCTGCTGCTGCTGCTGTTGCTGGTGCTGGTGCTACTGGTGGTGTTGATGGTGGTGGTGGAACGAGGGGAGCAGGTGGAGGGGTGGGTGGCGGTGGAGAGGTCGGTCAAGGAGCACCTGTCACTGTGTCGGGAGGGTGGCAGGATTCGGTTGCTAGTGGAAACGCCACTGCCACTGCTCAGCAGCAGCAGCTGCAGACCCGTCGTTTTGAGCAGCAATCTCAGCAGTCTAAGCCTGGAGACGGGCAGTGGATGCAGCAGCAGCAGCAGCAGCAGCAGCAGCAGCCTCCACAGCAGCAGCAGCAGCAGCAACAGCAGCAGCAGCAGCAGCCTCCACAGCAGCAGCAGCAGCAGCAACAGCAGCAGCAGGAGCAGCAGCAGCAGCGGCGTCGGCGGCGGTGCTGTGATGGCTGCTGCAGCTTCTCAGACAACTATGGTTCCATGGCGCCTGCTTTCCTGCCTCCTGATACCACCGCGTCACCCACCCTCAACCCTACTTCCACACCCAACCCCCCCTCCTCCACCACCACCACCCCCTCTTCGTCCTCCTCCTCTTTCGTTCTTCCTGTCTCCCTCTCCTCTCCTGCCCACGCTGCTTCCATGCCTTCTCCTACCACTGCCACGACTCCCACCACCACTTCAGCCACACACCGGCCTCTTCCCTCCTCCTCACCTTCAACCTCCATTCCCCTCTCCTCAAACCCAGTGGCTGACCCTAGCAAACGTTCAGCCACTAATGTCCATCCACAGCCACGGCAGCAACAGCAACAGCAGCAGCTTCAGCAGGAGATGTTGCAGAGGATGGGCGAGGGAGCCGGCAGAGGTGGCGCGGGTGGGGAGGAGGGTGGGGGGGGTGAGATGCGGGGAGTGGATTGGGAGGAGATAGGAGCGGCGTTGATTGAGGAGGAGGAGGTGGTGCTGCGCGCCAATGCTGCACTCAAAGAGGCTCAGGTGGGTGGGATGTCACGTGCTAGAAGTGGTGTTTTGAGCTGTCTCGAAAGCATGAGCCAATGCTGCAATCAAAAGAGACTCGGATGGCTGGATTACTCATGAGGTGCCTCAGAAGAGGCTCAGGGGAGCCTCAAAACTACACTTCTATCACGAGCAAATTCTGCACTGAAAGAGGCTCAGGTAGGATGCTCCATCCATTTCCTGTGTCTGCAGCTGCCCTGATATGTGTGGCTGCTTTGCTCTTGACTGTGCGTCTGTTGTCTCTACCTTGCTTTGTTCCCTTCATGCATGGTGCCCATATGCCCTGCACTCTACTGCACTGTATTCTGCAAGCAAACCACACTCCTTATCTACCTTAAACTCCCTGCTTTCCTCCCCGCCTCCTCTACCCTCGTCTCGTCCCCTTCCCTTCTACCATCCCCAAATCACCGCCGAGTGAACTCCCAGCGTCTGGGGACATGCGAGCCATGAGAAAAACCATGGCAGTCTATTTTAGAGGCGCCTTACTTACTCTTTGCTTCCACCTTCCCCCTCACCCTCACTGCACTGCGTTCCCTGCCATTCGTTTGGGGATGTGCAGGTTACGAGGAATGCTTTGGAAGATCTAATGATGCTCGAGCAGTCAACCTTCAAGGCGCTTTAAAAAAAAAAAAAAAAAAAAACTCTTTGTTACTACCTCCCGCTCGCCCCACTGCGCTCCCTCTCAGGCGTCTGGGGATCTGCAGGCCATGAGAAACGCGTTGGAAGATCCGATGAATGCTAGGGCAGTGGCAGCAGTGCGGCACTGCTTGGCACGTGCAGTGAAGAAGAAAGAGCAGAGGGCGCGGGGAAAGAAGGGCGCGTCGCAGTGCTGCTGCTGCTGCTGCTGCTGTTGGTTCAAATGCTGCTGCTGCGGGTGGTGCTGCTGCTGGTTCAGATGGTGCTGGTGGTGCTGGTAATGGTGGTACGGGCAGAGGGGTGGGGGATGGATCAGGGCGGAGGGGAGGACAGGAAGAGAGGAGTGAAGAGGGGGAGGAGGACGGTGACAAAAGTGGCCAGAATGAGGGAGCAACGCAAGGGAGGGATGCGGTTCTTGATCGTGGGGAGGAAAAGGCAGGAGTGAGTCGGCTGGCAGATGGGGAATCCAGTGACGTGCGCAAGGAGGAGAAGAACGAGAGTTCTAATGGCAGCAGGGAAGGCGAGGGGCAGGAAAGAAATGGAGCAGGGGCGAAGCCAAGTGACGGGAGCAAGCGTGGGAGCAAGGGCAGTAGTAATAGTACCACGGATCATGCTGCAGGGGCACTAAAGGAGCAGGAGCAGGAGCAGGAGGAGGAAAGCACAGAGGGAACGAGTGGGACCCAGGATGAGGGCAGGCAGAGCGATGCAAAGAAGAAGAGGAAGAAGAAGAAGAACAAGAATGGTGCTGCTGCTGTGACCGGTGCCGGGCCAACTGGATCAGCAGCAGCAGCAGCAGCAGCAGCAGCAGCAGCAGCAGCAGCAGCAGCAGCAGCAGCAGCAGCAGGAGCAGCAGCAGGAGCAGCAGCAGCAGCAGCAGCAGCAGGAGCAGCAGCAGGAGCAGCAGCAGCAGCATCGCATCAGCCCTCTGGCTCTGCTGCTTTAGCAGACCCACAAGCTACAGCTCCTCCTCCTGCTCTTTCCTCACTGCGAAGCCCTAGAGAGACCTCTTTTTCTTCCTCTCCGCCCACCCCCGCCTCTCCTCTTCCCTCTGTCCCTGAAACCCTCTCTCCGCCCGATCGTAATCTCCCATCAGGGCGTGCCGCTGCTGCTGCCCGCTCTGACCGGTCCCTTCCCGCTTCCTCCTCCTCCTCGCCTGCTCTCTCCCCGCCTCCTCCCAGTGGCACTGGAGCCTCAGCTGCTACTAACAGCTCCGACCACAGTAGCAGCAGCAGTAGCAGCAGCAGCGGCGGAGGGGGTAGCAGCAGAAGTACTAGCAGCAGTGGCGGCAGCAGCAGCGGCTCTGTAGGCGCAGGGGGGGGAGGAGGGGGAGGGGGTGGTGCAGGGGGGCCGTCTTGGAGTGATCGGGTGGCTGCTGGTTTAGCCAGGTCGAAGGAGGTTGGTGGTGCTTCTGCTGGGACCGTTGCAGGCAGTGTAGGAGGAAAGGGGAGTGGTGGCAGCAAACAGGGCGCAACGGCGATGGCAGCAGCAGGCAGTGGTCGGAACGGGCAGGTTTCTGTACATGCTTCCCACCCCCACCATCATTGGCACACGCAGCAACACCACCACCACCACCACCATCACCATCACCACCACCACCACCATCACCATCAGCATCAGCAGCAGCAGCAGCAGTTCGCCTCTGCTACCACTGCAGCACCGGCCTGGGGCATGGGGGGAGGAGAAGCAGGGATCCTGTCAAGCCGTGCTGGCTCAGCATCCCATGCCACTGCTACTGCTGCTGCCTCTGCCGCCGCCGCTGCTGCTGCTGTTGCTGCTGCTGGCGCCGCCACTGCTCCTGGCCGAGCATGGGTAGGCAAGTCGGCTGCAGCAATCGCTGCAGGCCGAGGGGGAGCAACAGCAGCAGGAGTGGGAGGAGGAGTTTCCAGCACAGGAGGGATGGGGCTCCGCGCTGCTGCTTCCGGCGCTTCTGCTTCTGCTGCTGCTGCTGCCGCGGTTTCTGCTGGGGTGGTGGGTGGTGGGTTCTGGTCAGTGGCTGACGTGGGAGGTGGAGGAGGTGGGGGAGGGTGGGAGGAGGACGATGACGACGAGGAGCTGTGTGTGATCTGCTTGGAGAGGGAGCGCACGACGGCGTATGAGCCGTGCGGGCATTCGGCGTTCTGCCTGGACTGCGCGCAGGCTAATTTGGAGGTGCATGGCGACTGCCCCATCTGCCGCACTCCGCTGCAAGGCATCTCCTCTGAGTCTGGCAGATAAAGTGGGAAGGGGAGTGACGATGGAAGCGGGGAGGGGAGCGTGGATTTGGGGGGGAGGGGAGTGGGGATAGTCAGGTGTTTGTGTGGAGTGCAGGGGGGGGAGGTGGTAGGAGAGGTTGCTGGGTGGATTGCCTTTGTTTGTTTCTTGGTATGAGTGGGAGCGATTGGGGATGCAGTGTGGGTTGGTGGATGCTTGGGTGTGTGCGGGATTTGTCTCAAACATTCATTATACATGGTTGTGATGGTACGGTAGGTTGTGCAGGGTACTTTGTCTGTGGGAGTTGGACGAGTCTTTGTCTACTGGAATCAGAATGTGTGCTCACAACATGTGCAGAATCAAGAAGCACCGTGGTTTTTTTCTTCTACTAGCATGTCTAGGTTGACCTCCAAGCAGTTTGGTGGATAACCATGGGCTTGCTACCCTCACCCGACTGGAGCACAGGGCACAGCAAACATGAGGACAGATTATCTCGACCAGAAAACTTTCCGCTACTACCACAATTCAAGTGCTCCCAGCTTGATCGATCCAGTCATCCCTACTCCTGCACTACTTTTTTGCTTTGCATTTCTAGTGCAGGCATGGCTGACTGCAACAAAGATCCAAGGTCCTACCATAGACGACGGAACAATTCAAAACTGCTAGTGGTACCTCCATATCCATTCAAGGGTGTTAGTGTGGGCACAGGCACCATGGCTAGTGGAAGCAACGGAGGTGGGTGGGTGGCGCCCACAACCACACAGCCCAACCAATGATGGCATTTCATAGAAGAGCCTAAAAGAATCCACTACCGCACCGTGTCTGCCTATGCAAAGGGCCAAGGGAGGACACATGCGTCATTGCCGGCAGACACAATGGTGGAGGCATCCAAAAGGCGAGCGCGAGGTGCCAGTGATTGCCGAGGCAACTGGTAAGAAATTAAATCCCTTGTGACTTGTCTATGCAAGGGACCAGAGGCGGACACAGGCGTCGCCGCCAGCAGAGACAATGGTGGCGGCATCCACAAAGGCGAGCGCGGAGACGCCGCCCACGTGCGCATTCTTGAGCGTGACGCGGTCCGAGGGCGGCTTGCTGACGTCGTAGACTAGGATGGACATGTCGAGGGAGGCTGTGGCCACGTGGGTGGAGTCCGGGGACCATGCGATCGCGCTGATGCGCGCCGTGTGGTACACCATGTTGCGCATCTTCACCTGGCGAGGTGGGAGGGAAGGGAGAGGAGACAGGGAGGGGATGGCGGCTTGGTGACATCGTAGACTAGGATGGACATGTCGAGGGATGCTGTGGCCACGTGGGTGGAGTTTGGCGTCATGTGATTGCGCTGATGCGCGCCGTGTGGTACACCATGTTGCGCATCTTCACCTGGCGAGGTGGGGGAGAAGGGAGAGTGGGCAGGAAGGGGTGAAAGAGTGGAAGAAAGAGACGGGAGGAGCAATGATGATGGTGCTGATGCGCGCCGTGTGGTACACCATGTTGCACATACTCACCTAACGTGGTGGGAGAGAAGGGAGAGAGCGAACGGGGTTAAGAGTAGAGGGCGGGCAAGCGGGCGGACGGGCCGATGGGCGGACGGGCGGAGGGGCAGACGGGCAGGCATGCAGGCAGGGAGGGAAATGACTCACCTCTCGCGTGGCAGCATCCCACACGACAGCCTCCCTGTTCTGATCCCCAGTGGCCAGCATGGACCCATCAGGCGAGTAGCGCACAGCCGTGATTGGCCCCCGGTGCCTCTCCAGCTTCGCCAGCTCCTCCAGCGTATCCCCATTCACACTGAACACTCTCACCACCCCATCCTCCCCTCCCACCGCCGCCTCCTTGCCGTCGGGGGAGAGAGCAGCAGCGGTGGCTGTGAAGGTGGGAGTGATGGAGGAGAGGAGCTTGGAGGAGCGGAGGAGGGTGAGTCCCGAGGCGGTGGTGAGGAGGGCGAGGTCTGGGTCGTGAGCTGCGATGCTGATGTCCTTGGGGTGCGCTCCCAATGCCACTGATGGGGTCTCGGGGAGCGGTGTGAGGTCTGGGAGGCTCAGCAGCCGCACCTGGAGGTTTGGGAGGGGAGAGGAGGGAAGGAGGGAGGGAGAGAGAGGGGAAGAGAGAGGGGGAGGGAGGAAAAGAAGAGAGGGAAAGCGTGGAGGAGGAGAAGGCGTTGGTGAGCTGATGTGGATTCGAGGAGAGAGCAGTGCAGAGAACAGGGGAAAGAGCGGAGGGGGAGGAGGAGGTACTGGAACGGAGAAAGGTCAAAGCACAAAGGGTGGCAAGGACAAGGGCGGATGGGCAAGCGACAGAAGGTAAACGGATAGAGGGGCAACATATAAAGAAGCAAGAGAGAGTTGCAACGGAGAGAAAGGTAAGGGAGGGACAGAGGCAAGGGAGGGACAGAGGCAAGGGAGAGACAGAGGCAAGCGAGAGACAGAGGCAAGGGAGAGAGAGAGGCAAGGGAGGGACAGAGGCAAGGGAGAGACAGAGGCAAGCGAGAGACAGAGGCAAGGGAGAGACAGAGGCAAGGGAGAGACAGAGGCAAGGGAGAGACAGACGCAAGGGAGAGACAGAGGCAAGGGAGAGACAGACGCAAGGGAGAGACAGAGGGAAGAGTAGGAGGGGCAAGGGAGGGAGGGGCAAGGGAGAGAGAGGGCACTGACAGTATCATCATTGCATGCAAGGAAGAGCGTGCTGCCTGCTGCCGCCATGGCCGCCACACCTCCCGCAACAACACCCCCAGCAGCAGCCGGAGCAGCACCACCAGCAGCAGCAGGTGCCTCCATGCGACCAAGCGAGCCGGTCTCGATGTTCCAGCGCACCACAGTGCCATCGTAGCTGCCTGTGACGATCTCTGTGAGTGCGCCCGCATCTGACCCTCCTCCCGGGGAGAAGAGCGCGAGTGCGGTGATGGGCTTGCAGTGGCCCACGAGCGTGCGCAGCGGCGCGGAGGGGGATGAGGGTGAGAGGAAGTGGATGTCCCCGTTGAGGGCGACGGTTATGAGGTGCTCTCCCACCCACGCACACCCCACCTGGGATGAGGAAGGGGGGGGAAAGACAGATAGGGGAGGAAGCGTAGACTTTGAGGCGCCACAAAAGACAAGTTTGAGCTTTGAGGCGCCTCAAACGACGCCGGGAGTGACGGATATGAGGTGCACCTTTTTGTTGTAGGTTGCTTTTGAGAATTCTCAGAAGTTACAACCATAAGGTGCTCGACCACCCACGCACACCCCACTTGGGAAGAGCGGAGGGGAAGTAAGGATGGGGAAAGGTAGACAGGTGGAGAAATGCGAAGAGGGATGTAAGGAGAGAGGGAAAGGGATAACCGCCACGACAGCGTGTAGGGGAACGGGACGAGGGGACAAGGGGAGAAAGGCAGGGCCGACAGTGGCTGTGAATTGACTCAAAACGCAGAGCATCCTATGGCCCTCTCCCACTCACCCACCTGCATGTTGTCTAGCGAGGAGCCCAGGGGGAAGGTGGTGGCGACGGTAGCAGTGCTGCCATCTGCTGCCACGTCCCACACCTTGGCTGTCTTGTCCGCTGACACTGTCAGCAGCTGCGGGCGTTTCGCGAAAGAGAGGGGGAAAGAGGGAGAGGGGAAAGGCACGTTAACACGGGAAGGGCAGGAGAGAGGTGTGTGGGCGAGGGGATGGCAGTGAGTGAGAGGAAGATGGGGACGAATAGCAGTGAGTGAGAGGACGATGGGGACGAATAGCAGTGAGTGAGAGGACGATGGGGACGAATAGCAGTGAGTGAGAGGACGATGGGGACGAATAGCAGTGAGAGTCGGACGAGAATGGTGAAGGGGGCGAGAGGAAGAGGAATGGGAAGGGGGGATATAGGCTGGAAGGAGGGGGGGGAATGGAGAGAAGGATGAGGGATGAAAGAAAGGCAGCAGACGATGGGCACGGAGGAGGAGGAGAGCGGAGGCATGGGAGAGGGCAACCAGCAAATAAACACACGAATGTTTCGCTCAAAGCACGAAGCATCTTGCTCCTCTGCCTCTTTATACCCCTTTTCCCCTTGCCACCTGCCCTTCCCCTTCCCTTCCCGCGTAACTCTCCCCCTACCTTCCCCCTTCTCTTCCCCCTTCCTTGCTCGTTCCCCTCCCTTCTAACCCTCCCCGTGGCCCATCCCCTGTCTTCAACCAACCATTCCAATCCACCCTAAGCCACCTTTAACCCACCCATACTCCAGGCCCCTCCCCTCCCACTGCAATTGACCCACCTGCTTGCCGTCAGGGCTCCAAGCAGCGGCGTACACGCTCCCCGTGTGCGCGTCGTCCGTGCTAAAGGTGCCGCGCTTCTCGCCTGTCTTGCCGTCATACAGCTGCCCCTGGCGGTCCGATGACACGGACACCAGCAGCGCGCCGTCCGGGGAGAAGCGCACGCAGTTCACATAGTTGCCGTGCTCCCTGGGGGGAGGGGGGAGGGGGGAGAGAGGCGGGAGGGAAGGGGCGCGCATGGCAGGCGCGCAGGTAGAGGGGGGGGGAGGGAGTGGCGCGGGGGAGGAGGGGGGAGAAGTAGCGGAGCGGGGGGTAGGGGGGACAGGGAGGGGGAAGGGGGCGAGGGTGGAAGGGTGGGAGGGGGAAGCGCGGGGGTAGCGGGAAACACAAGGGCAGGGGGGGTCGGAAAAGCGAAGGTTGGAAGGAAAAGACGGGGGGAGCAAGGAAAAGGAAAAGCAGTGGTTGGAGAGGAGGGGATGGGAGAAAGTAGAGAAAGGGGAGAGAAGGGATGCAGAGAGAACGTGTGAGAGAAAGACGAGAGGCACTTTGGAAAACTCTCGCGAGTGGACCGGCTGGCCATGGACTGGCCACCCACGAGGCAAGCCACCATGCACAGCACACATCCGCCCGTGTTCAATTCAAATACCTGCTAAGTTCTGAGTCGTCTCACAATTCTCACCCGCAGTGGCACTGTTGGACATGGGATGGTCACCCACCCGCGGTGCACCATGCACAGCACATCCAACCCAACCTTGTGCAAGTCCTGCAGTGGCCAAGCTACTCCGTGTCTCGTCTCGTCCAAACCAAACGTTTTTTTACCACCACCCACACGCACGCACGCCCGCCATGCACCACCACCAGCGCCATCCCCGCTAACACCATCCCTCATTCACCTTACTCTCTCAACTCTTATTTTCTCTAACCCTATCCCCATTCGTTTCCCGTTTTCTTCCCCCCCTTTCCCGTTCCCAGCGTCTTCCCCCACTTATCTCGCTTCCCCCTTCCCCACCTCCCCCACTCGCCCATTCCCCCAGCTCGCGCACTTATTGGAGGACTTGTAGCGGAAGGGCGGGCCCTCATAGTAGTTGACCGCGAAGTCCTCTCCGCACGTGAACGCGCGGAACGGGCGGGCGGGGCGGAACGCGCAGCTCAGCACGCGCTTGGAGTGGCCCTCGAAATCTCCCAGATTTCCGCCAGAATCCCAGCTGCGCGGGCGGTGGGGAAGAGGGAGGAAGGGGTGGGGGGAAGGGGGGGGGGAAGGAAGGGGGAAAAGGGGAAGGGGGAACAGGCGGGAGGAGCGCGACGGAAGGGAGTGGGACGATGTTTGAGAATGAGAATGGCAATTCTCAAACGTCGCTCACTAGGACACCGTTGGATTGGAACGATACGGGACAACCTGATGGCCCACAGGCAGAGTTGCCCTGAAGGGCGAGTTGTGAGGCGCCTGAAAACGCAGATGGTCCATAGGGGTGTATCTCTGAATGCCCACAGGTCGGCCAGCGTGGAAATACAAATACGAATACAAATACAAATACGTGCTGTCTGTCCCTCAGGATGGCTAGCTAGCTACCTGACTGGGCCTATCCCTGTCGAAACGGAGAAGAGCGGGTTGGGTTGCGGTTGCTGTTGGGGAATTCGGCGAGATGACCGGGTTGGATTGGCGAGCGCGATGGAGGAATACGGGTGAATTTGGGATGAGGTACGCGGTGATTTTTTAGGCGACTCACTAACCGTGAGACGAAATACGCGTCGCCTGCACGGGCTAGCCGCGAATGGCATGAGCATGGCATGATGCGGCATGACATCGCATGATAGGACACAAACATTACTCACTGACATCTCAATGACATCTCAATGACATCTCAATGACATCTCAATGACATCTCACTGACATCTCAATGACATCTCACTGACATCTCAATGACATCTCACTGACATCTCAATGACATCTCACTGACATCTCAATGACATCTCACTGACATTTCAATGACAGGTCACTGACAGCTCACTGACAGCCGACTGACATACGACTGACAGCCGACTGCCACGGAAAAATATGGATTGCGTTATACCACAGGCATCAGCGTGGGGAAAAAGCATCCGATCCGATGCGATCCGATGCGATCCACTCACGTGAACGCGCGCACGTAGGTGGGCTTGCCGTCGCCGCACACCAGAATCCTCTGGCCGTCCGGCGACCACTGCAGATCGTCGATCGGCCCGTTGAGAGCCTTGATTTCGTACTTGAGCCGCCGCTCGCCGTTCCGTCCCCACACGCGCACCGTTCCGCTCACATCGGCGGATGCCACCCACTCCCCGTTGGGCGAAATGCGCGCGACGGTCGTCGGATAGGAGTGCTCGGAGTAGATCGAGCAGTCGTTCGGGTCCTTAAGCGATCGAATGACGACGGACTTGCCGGAGCAGTAGGTGATCACCTGGGTCGCGTCGTGCGACCCGATCAGCAGCCCTCGCCCGCGCTGCGTCGTCGGATGCGCCGGGAATGTGCGACTGGGAGTCGCATCCATCACGGCGACCAGCAGCAGCAGTAGGAGGAGCGGATTCAGGTGGATGGGGCTACTGGAAAGGAAAGCAGGTGGGAGAAATGTGAAGGGGAATCTAGCAGGAAGGGAATTCGGGTGAGAGAAAATTGGAAGGTAGTCGTGAATGCGGGGATGGGGGGGATGGGCAGTTGGGTGCCCCAGGTTCTAGAAGAATTCGGCAATCCCGATGGTCGAGCATCCACCAGGTTGTGTTCGGTTGGAAGAACTTTGGGAGTTGGATGGATGGGTGGGGAGGGATGGCGGAGGGCGGGGCTGCAGCGCCCTAGGCTGGCGAGGTTGGTTGGCGGGTCCAGCAGGAAAGGGGGGACGATTCAGGGGGACGAAGTGGATATGCTCTTTGTAGAAGACTCGATAGGGCCAACAATAAACAAGCCCTTACAATCAGGTGCGACTAAGAAAGTATTATGCACACGAAATATGCCACACCACAGCAAGTAGAATGCAAATGGAACGAATAGCTCTACCGTAATATGTTATACTTTCAAATCTCCGTGCCACGTGAAAATGAGAAAATAACAACTGAAAACAACCATGGCCATTGCTTGCTGATGACACGTTAGAACCGGAATATAAAATAGTGAACCCCGTCCCAGCTTGAAAGGGCCTTTCGGAGTGGGTTTGCAAAGCACTGTTTCAAACAAATCGTGTGTGCAGATCGAACCCATTTGATTGGCTCCCGCTAAAAACGAAAAATTTGCGCCTTGCACAAGGAGTCGCCCTCAACATGATGCACCCGCACGACGGCTGCACGGCGATCGTTGCGATCGTTGGGCCCAACTACAACTTCAAGCTGGACCTGGGTTCCACTACTACATTCCACTCTAGTCTCTAGTTTAGCCAAGCTTAGAATAGCTGAAAACGAAGGCAATTTTGCCTAGGCAACTACCGTTTTTATAGATTTATTCCTCAGCCTTCTATTCGTGGCTTAATGGCGAGGGATCTTACGCGACTCGTAGCGATACTTGCCCTGAGATTATTCGGTTGAACGCGCTCGCCGCCGAAACGCCCTTTCGTCGCTCAGCTCATCACCTTCACATTCGCGAGGGATTGCCCTCGCGGCGGCCTTATTCCGTCTCCCCCGCTCATCACCCACCTCTTCGCATTCTCGCTGGTTGCTCAACATTCATTCTCTCGTCGCGGTACCCGTTTTTCCCATTTTGTCCCATCGCTTACGCGCCCTCCCCTCCTGTCCTGTCGCCCTCTCTCTTGCCCCTCCCTTCCCGTCGCGCTCTCTCTATCCGCGCCCTTCCAGTCCCCTCCCTTCCCATCGCGCTCTCTCTGTCCGCTCCCTTCCCGTCGCCCTCTCTCTCGCCCCTCCCATCCCGTCGTGCTCTCTCTCTCCGCGCCCTTCCCGTCGGCCTCTCTCCCGTCGCCCACTCTCCCGTCGCCCTCGCTCGCTCACGTCGCCCTCGCTCGCTCACGTCGCCCTCGATCTCTCCCGTCGCCCTCGCTCTCTCACGTCGCCCTCGCTCGCTCACGTCGCCCTCGATCTCTCCCGTCGCCCTCGCTCTCTCACGTCGCCCTCGCTCGCTCACGTCGCCCTCGATCTCTCCCGTCGCCCTCGCTCTCTCCCGTCGCCCTCGCCCTCTCCCCTCCCTTTCCGTCGCCCTCGGTCTCTCCCCTCCCTATCCGCCGCCCTCGCTCTCCCCCCTCCCTTTCTGTCGCCCTCGTTCTCTCCCCTCCCTTGGCATCGCCCTCGTTCTCTCCTCTCCCTTTCCGTAGTCCTTGCTATCTCCCCTAGCATTCCGCGGATTTTATTCACGCATCTCTCCTCTCGCGTCCTCGTTTCTATTGCGCTATTTCTCTCTTTTCGAGACACCTTGAAAGTCTCTGTTATTCGCCTCTTGTTTTTCACATGTTATTGCCGCCCTAGCAGGCCCATGTCAAGGCCTTTGCTTTGCGTGAGTTGGACTTTGCTTTGCACGAGTTGGACATCCTTCACGATGTGAATTTTGGCGCTGATGAATGTTATTGTGATTCGCACGTCGCAAACTTTCAAGCGACGCATTTGCACATGCTCGCGATGATTTTGTTTGAGTAGAAGTTTGGAGACTCGATCAGTGTCATATGGGGCTGGAAAAAAAATACACAACAGTACTTCAACTTTCAAGTGGACCCAACTAGAAGGGGGGGGTCACTATTTTAGCTGCTGGCTTTAGGATGGTAGGATATTGGAATAAGACACATTCGTAAAATGATGTACAGGCATGGATAATGAAGAATTGGAGCAGTGACGACAAATTGTTGGCATGCAATAGCTAATTGAAACTGTGTGGCTTGATTACGGCAACAGATGGTATCATATCACATTTCGGGCGCTACTGTACAATGAAAGCACCTGGCATCCCCCTCAATACTAAAATTGTCTGCTCGCCACGAGTAGCAGTACAGCCGACCCGCATAGTCACTCTTGAAATGCCGTTGCAGATTTGAGTTGTCACCCGTATCATGGCATGGCATGGCATGTGATGGATGGCACGGTACGGCATGCGATGGATGGCACAGCATGGCATGTCACGGCATGGCATGATCAGTGACGCATGGGCCACACTCGAGCAAGTGGAAGAGAAGACTGCAAGAATAATGGCGCATTAGGTGGCAGCAGGTGTGGCTCGGAGGGGGTTTGGTGGAGGCGTGAAAGCCACTGGCAGGCGACTATGACGTCTGATGCCACGCCTGTGATGCTCACTGTCACGCCCACCACCAGCATGCTCCACACTGCCACTCTCTCCGCACACGACAAGGTTAGCCCTGGCGTTCTGTAGCGATGTAGGGCAGACGGGGGATGTGGAGGGGGAGGAGGTAGGGAGATTGGCACAAGGAGAAAAATCAGGCGGGGTTGAGAGGGGATGGGGATGGGTATGGGGAGGAGAAGAGGATTGGACGAGTGCAGACAGAAGGGCTCTATTGTGAGTTGAAAGCAGCATGAGGACGAGCAAGGGCAAGGGTTGGAAGGAAGATACAGGAGCAGGGCGAGCAGGCTTTTGCGGGCCAAATCTGACAGGAGGGCGAGCAGGGCAGGGAATGTGAAGCCGATGGAAACAGCGACAATGGCGCCGAGCAGCGAGAAGAGAGCGTAGATGTCCGGCACGAGCACGTCACACGCGAGGATGAAGCCCATGGTGGCGGCCGTGAGCCAGAAGAAGATACAATACAGGAGCAGAGTGACGGCAGACAAGAGCACAAGCGCGAGCAGGCTCACAGACTCACAGAGGCGGTCAGAAGCAGGCTTTTGAAAGTGGAGGCAAGCAAAACTCACAGCAAAGCGAGGAGCGCGGGGAAGGTGAAGCCGATGGAGACAGCGACAATAGCCCCGAGAAGAGAGAAGAGAGCGTAGATGTCCGGCACGAGCACGCCGCACGCGAGGATGAAGCCCATGGTGGCGGCCGTGAGCCAGAAGAAGCGGCGCTGCGAGCGCCACAGCGGCAGGCGCGCTCTGGGGAAGAGCAGGATGTCGGCGGTGAGACGCAGGGGGAAGTGCACGATGGGGAAGACGAGGAGGAGATGGATGACGTAGCCCACTCGCACTATGTCGTCCATGGCCTGGAGGAGAGAAGGGGGGAATGATGGTCTTCAACCTCTTCCACTCTTCCACTCTTCCAACATTTACATCTGGAGCAATGGTCATCCATCCATCAATGCTCCCTCCTTTCCAACCCTTTTTCCCACCCCCATCCCCCCTTTTTCGTACCCTTCCTCTTCCCCTCCACCCTTCACTCCCCCCCAACTCCTCCCAGCCCTTACCTGGCTGAGCCCCAGGTCCTGGTCGTAGTTAGCAAGGACGTCAGCAGCGGTGTTGTCCCCGAACAGCAGGTAGGCAAAGGCTCCTGACGACCAGCACTTTCCCTCCACTCCCCCACCATCTCCCTCTCCCTTCCCAGCCCTTACCTGGCTGAGCCCCAGGTCCTGGTCATAGTTAGCAAGAACATCAGCAGCGGTGTTGTCCCCGAACAGCAGGTAGGCAAAGAGCGCCGTGGCGCCATACAGCGCCGTGCAGATCATCTGCGCCAGCCCTGCTGCGCGCTCCATGGTGGGCCCGGGCGCCACACAGGAAGGCGAGTCCTTGAGCTCACGGTAGATGGGCTGGACTGCCATGGGGGAAAGGGGATGGGAGGGGGGGGGGGAGAAGGCAGAGGGAGTATGGGGGTAGAGGTGGAAGGTGGGTAGACGGGGATGGGGGATTGCGCCAGCCCCCCTGCATGTTCCGTTGCGGTGGCAGGTGAAGCCTGAAGGCGCTGGTCATGACGGGCACGACGGTGAATATGCTTGTTTCACTTATGAGACATGTCAATATTGGCGAGGGGAGAGGGGTGAGGTGAGAGGGGTGCGGGGTGAAGGGGGAAAAACGGAAACAGCACTGACCATTGTAGTGGCAGATGAAGGCGTTGGTCATGACAGGCACGACGGTGGGTTGTGTTGGGGGGTGGGGGAAGGGGGAGGGAGGAAAAGGCAAGGCAAGGCAAGGCAAGGCAGGCAGCTGACCATTGTAGTGGCAGATGAAGGCGTTGGTCATGACAGGCACGACGGTGAAGATGAGTAGCACGGCCTGCCATGACGACACGTCCGGTACCATGCGCAGCGGCGGCACGCGCCCCTGCACCACTCGCACCACCGCTGCTGCTGCTGTGAAGAGCACAAAGAGGACAGCGAGGCCCACTGACAGTGCTGACGTGGCCATGAGGGAGTCTGGTGGCGGGGAGACGCAGGCGGGCGCAGTACGGTGAGGGGTTAGTAGTTTTGAGTTGAGTGGTCACCACAATAACCACCACCACACACAGTGAAGACCACCACATGCGCTCATCACGACCACAAACACTCATTCATCACACCACACACACACACTAACCACCACCAACCCACCAGCACCAGCACCACGCCACACGGACCTATGCGGCGGAGCAGCACGAGGGGCAGCAGCACGAGGGTGGTGACAGCGAGCAGCACCACGGCCCTGCCATTCCACCACGTGGGCCCCCCCGCCAGCTCCTCCAGCAACCCCACGTGGTGCGCCATGCCGCCTGCTTCTGACGTGCCTGATAGCACGTCCGCTGTGGAGGGGGAGAGGGAGAGGATGGGAAGAATGGGAAGAAAGGGAGGGGGAGAAGGGGGGGGGGGTGAGTGTAGTGCTGGGTAAACTGGGCGGGAGTGAAAGCAATGGGATAGGAGAGAGAGGAAGAGACGAATGGCGTGCTGGTCGGAGGTAAATGAAGGGAGGACGGAGGTGAGGGGAGGGAATGGGAGGGGAATGGGGAAAACGAGGAAAGAAGGGGCGCACGCACTCACGCATGCTTCTGCGCACACGCGCGTGCACACCAACACCCACACCCACACCCACACCCACACCCACACCCACACCCACACCCACACCCACACCCACACCCACGGCCAAACCCACACCCAAGCACACACCCCACCTCCTCCCCTCCCCACTCTCACACACACACACACACACACACATGCACACACACACACACATGCACACACACACACACACATGCACACACACACACACACACACAGACACACAGACACACACACACACACACACACACACACAGACACACACACACACACACACACACAGACACACACACACACACACACACACACACACACACACACACACACACACACACACGCACGCACGCACCCCAAGACACACACGCACGCACCCGTGATGATGAGATACGCAATGAGCGAGCCCAGCGCCTGCAGCATGACCATGACCATCACTATACCTCACCATTACCATCGCCATGACCATGAATTCGCACAGCACGCTTCGAGCAGCCTCAAACTTACGCACACTCACGCCACAAACGCACTTGCGCATGCACGCACGTACCGGAGATGATGAGGTAGACGATGAGCGAGCCGAGCGCCTGCAGCATGACAAACACCTCGCACAGCACGCGCCCGCGCTCGCCAAAGCGCGTGCCCATGAGGTGGCCGTACGACGGCGAGTTGGTGGCGGCCGCGAGGCGCACTATGATGAGCAACGCGCTGTGCGTGAGAGCGCCCATGAACGCGATCAGGAGCAGGCCTAGGGGAAGACCCAACACCTGATGCAGGGAGTGGCGGGCGGAGAGGGTGCGGGGATTTTTGAGACGCCACGTCTCAAAGGCCGCCAGGCGCACTATGATGAGCACCGCGCTCTGCGTGAGCGCGCCCATGAACGCGATCAACAGCAGCCCCAGCGGCAGGCCCAGCACCTGATGCGGGGGGCGGGAGGGGAGGGGGGCGGGGAGTCGGGGGAGTGGTAGGGGAAGTGGGAGCGGGGGTGGTAGGGGAAGAGGGAGGGGGCCTGGAGAGAGTGTCAGCGGGGTGTGGGGAAATGAGAAAGAGAGGGGGAGAGCTATGATGAGCACAACGACGTGGGTGAATGATCGCATGAGCATTCACCAACATGCCATGCGCAGAGGCAAGAGCGCAACCCATGCGCGCACGAACAATATCACACATAAACAATGGCGTTGGTTTTTTTTTTTTTTTTTTTTTTTTTTTGGGGGGGGGGGGGGTTGAGGGGGGCGGTCAAGACAGGCAGCGTTCAAAACATTGTGCACGGTATCACCACATCGCACCTTGACAGTAGCGGGTAGCGCCATGATGCCCGCGCCCACGCTCGTCGTCGCCAGATTGAACACCGCGCTCCACATACTTCCGCCCCCACCGCCGTGCCCTCCGCTCAGCATCGCGACCTCTTCCGCCCTGCCTCCGCCGCTTCCGCCCTTCCCCCCTTTCCCTCCTGTTGCAGCGCCGAGTCCCGCGAGGTTCCCCGTGGATCGGCGCAGAACCACCACGTCATCCAAGATATCCTCGCCGTCGCTCGCGCCGTTCATGACGGCGTCATTCGCGGTGGCTACTCGGTCGCCCGCGGGTTCAGCAACCGCATTTTCCAAAGATTTGTGAAGAAGAGGGGCTGTTAACGAATCCATGGCGCCAGTTGGTGGAGGAGAGGGGGAGGAGGAGGAGGCCGGCAGAAGGGCAAGAGCAAGTAATGGGAGGCACGAGGGAACGATACGGTTTATTTTTTCGCGTAGAAGTGCTACCAATCAATAATGACACAGTCCTCGTCTAAAAAATACGTGGGGACGATATAGACGAGGAGATATGGCTTTGCAAAATTGCGAGAATACGGATCGCTACTCAGGACCCAACAAACAGAATGTGTATTGGAAGTAAGCTAGCGTTCCAACCAAGATAAGCCTTCGAGCCGCGGCCTCGGTAGTACCATAGACGAAATGATCGGCTGAAATTTGAAAACTGCACAACGACCAGTTCCTACGAATATTCACTGTGTCCCTTTACTGCGAATCCGAACATAGGACTTTCCTTGATCACAACTCGTTAAAGCGTTGCACTCGTTCAAGTACGGTCTAGCGAGATGCAGAAACATCTAAAACGGCCGAATAATATTTCTTAACGGTATGCTAATAAAACTACACACCAAGTTAGGCTGGAAATGAAGCGTGATGGTTTACAAATTTTTGCTTCGGTTTCGCATGAAGAAAAAGCAAACCGGCGATCGTCGTTACGGGTAAATCATACTTCGACGAGCGTGGTTACCAAATTGGTTTCCCAGGCTCCGGCGGAAACTGCTATCCACTTTTTTGCCACCTCCCCAAACACAGCGAGCCACTCGTTACCTACCAAGGGGATACGAGGCGCGCTAATTGGTTGATGTGTGTTGCCCTGGGGCTGATGTGGCGCCACTCTGAAACGCCCCGAGTGTGACGCGACTGACGAGTCTGGCGCTACCACGTGGTACACGTCAAAAGCCCTGAAGTGCTTTTCAGCCCTGTCAAAAGCCTTGGGAACCTATTTGTGGATCACAGGAACGACCGACAACCTCAAGGTTGTTTCGGAGCACTGTACAAGACAAATGTTGGACTCGGCGCGCATACTGAAGCAAGCGCTGATGGCGCCAAAAAATGCGGACAGAATTGCAAGTCACTGGGGATTGTTAGTTGGGGGGATCCAGATTCCAGAATCCAGGCTCCATGTTGATCCCTCACCGCACTGTGCCCGCGCTTATCGTCTCTGAAACTCACTGAACCAGCTTCTACCCCCATGCAAAACACCTTCGCACAATCTCATGACCGTCGTTTCATATTCCTTTCCACAATCCACTCTTCAAAATCTAGGTGTGCAACAACATGATTAGGCAAACATCAGAAACACATAAGTTAGCCGTAACCCTACCTGCAAAAACAAAATTGTTAACAAGGTCACAATAAATCCTCTACTGCACTCTCTTTACTGTCAACCGATCAAAACTCCAACAGCCCACAGCGCCAGCAGCACCATGACAACCAGCATCAGAAAAGCAGCTATCAACTTCACGACCTGTGCCGTCCTCTCCTCACGCTTCAGGCTCGCTGGCAACGGCAGCGCCTTGAGGAACGCCGAGGACAGACCCGTCAGCCGCTGCGAGTTGAGCTGCCCGGCCATTTCCTTGGCAGTGACCGAGTCATCCATAATCATCGCTTCAATCTGAGCAATGGCATCCGCATCCACTCCCGAACGGCCCTTGCGCGCTAATGAACCTGCACCCTGGCCCTTCTTGCCTTGCTTGCCTGCATCCACGCTGGAGCTGCGACGCAACGCCCCCCCTCGCTTTGTCAACCGACCGTTTCGACCAGCAGCAGACGAAGCAGTCGGGGTGGTGACTGATGCAGCACCAGCAGGAGAAGGAGAAGGCAACACGCCATTTTCAGTCCCTAGCTTCTGGTCAGAAGGCACCGTCACTTCAGGCTTGGAAGGGGGAGCAGCAGCAGCAGCAGCAGCAGCAGTCTCTGGCAGAGTCCTTGTTGCAGCAGCTGTTGCAGCTTCAGTGGCTGCTGTGGCTGCATCCGCAGCAGCTGTTGCAGTGGCAGTGGCAGCAGCAGCAGCTGAGGCGCCATTGGGCGATGGCAGGGCCTTGGCGGCCGCCTTGCGCCGCCCAGACTGCAAGAGAAAGAGGGTGCGCCATGGGATGAAATGGGAAACCGACACGGAAAATTGCAGATTGAAGGAGGCCGACTTTTGAGTCGACTCAAAAGAGGGTGCGCCATGGGATGAAATGGGAAACGGACACGGAAAATTGCAGATTGAAGGAGGCCGACTTTTGAGTCGACTCAAAAGAGGGTGCGCCATGGGATGAAATGGGAAACCGACACGGAAAATTGCAGATTGAAGGAGGCCGACTTTTGAGTCGACTCAAAAGAGGGTGCGCCATGGGATGAAATGGGAAACCGACACGGAAAATTGCAGATTGAAGGAGGCCGACTTTTGAGTCGACTCAAAAGAGGGTGCGCCATGGGATGAAATGGGAAACCGACACGGAAAATTGCAGATTGAAGGAGGCCGACTTTTGAGTCGACTCAAAAGAGGGTGCGCCATGGGATGAAATGGGAAACGGACACGGAAAATTGCAGATTGAAGGAGGCCGACTTTTGAGTCGACTCAAAAGAGGGTGCGCCATGGGATGAAATGGGAAACCGACACGGAAAATTGCAGATTGAAGGAGGCCGACTTTTGAGTCGACTCAAAAGAGGGTGCGCCATGGGATGAAATGGGAAACCGACACGGAAAATTGCAGATTGAAGGAGGCCGACTTTTGAGTCGACTCAAAAGAGGGTGCGCCATGGGATGAAATGGGAAACCGACACGGAAAATTGCAGATTGAAGGAGGCCGACTTTTGAGTCGACTCAAAAGAGGGTGCGCCATGGGATGAAATGGGAAACCGACACGGAAAATTGCAGATTGAAGGAGGCCGACTTTTGAGTCGACTCAAAAGAGGGTGCGCCATGGGATGAAATGGGAAACCGACACGGAAAATTGCAGATTGAAGGAGGCCGACTTTTGAGTCGACTCAAAAGAGGGTGCGCCATGGGATGAAATGGGAAACCGACACGGAAAATTGCAGATTGAAGGAGGCCGACTTTTGAGTCGACTCAAAAGAGGGTGCGCCATGGGATGAAATGGGAAACTGACACGGAAGATTGCAGATTGAAGGAGGCCAGAGATGAGCAAAACGGGAGTGTTGTGTTGGGGAGTCAGAGAGTGGTGAGGGGGCAGGGGAAAGGGAAGCGACATATCATACAGCTCAACACTCAGGACACATTCCACAGCCATTAGCCTACCTTGCCCCGCTTCTGCTCCTCCCCTGCATCTCCGGCTGCTTCCACACCAGCAGGCTCTCCTGCTGAACCCTTATCTCCAGATCCCTCTGACGCAACTCCCCCCTTGCCCTCCTCCGCGTCTGCCTTGGCAGGTGCTGCCTCTGCTGCGCCTGGTGCAGGCTGAGACTGCTTGGCCGCAGCAGATGCACGCAGCTGCTTCAGGTCCTTCTGTTGACAGGAAAGGGGGGGATGGAACGGGGGGGATGGTGTGGGGAGAATGGAGTGTGGGAGGAAGGGGGGGGGGGGGGGGGGTTGAATGCGGAGGAGGAAATGGTGGTGACGTGAGACAAGCGGGATGTGATGCGTTTAGGGTGGGACTGCACAGCATATCAGGGGGCACTGCAACTACATGTTGACAGGGGGGCAGGGGCATTACGACCAAGGCAGCAATTATTCGATACAAGTTGCAAAAGAATGGAATAATTAATCACAGAAGAAGAGAAGAAGGGTAGAAACAAAATCCAGAGCGGTAAACCACAGGGAAATGAATATTGGTGGATTGAGAGCGAGGAGAACAAGGAATGAGGTCGTGTTGGAGACCTGGAGGGACGCGTTGAGGGAGCGAAGGCGAGCAAGCTCCGCCTCTAGATTCTTGAGCTTAGCTGCCTCCTGCTCCTGCTATTCCACACACACACACACAGATACCACACAAACACACGTGCACACAATGGCATACACGCACAATGGCATGCACACACATGAGATACAGATGGTGCTCCCAAGTGAGGGAGAGGGAGCGGAAGCAGGAAGTGATATGCATGGTATTCTAGAGGTCTTTGGCAGAAAACAATCACATGCGCAGCATCGCCCTACAGAAACACTGTTTTCAAGGCAATCATCAGCGCTTTTGGCAGAATCAGTTGGGAGGTGGCAGCACGTACAGCAGAGGCGAGCTGCGCCTTTGCTCCACCGAGCTCCTTCTGCACTGACGCCAGCAGCTGCTCCTTGGCTGCCACCTGTGGGGGACACGTGTGGGAGAGGAGAGGTAGGGCGAGGCGAGGCACAGAGGGCGGAGGAACAGCAGGGAACATCAGTGTACACACACACACGCGCAGCAGCCATTCACACATGCACAGACGAATGCACGCACGGATGATCAAGGCAGCAGGCAACAGACACTGGACTGTGACTGACAAAAGGGATCTCACAGCCAGAAAGCACAATGCCCCACTCGCGACTCCCCACTCGCCCTCAAAAGGAAACACTGCTACAAGCACGCAACCATGCTTCCTCTAAAATAATCAACCATTTCGTATCTCCATTGCCCTGCCCAAAACCCTTCCCAACCCATTCACCACACCGCATGCACCACTGGTCCACCGCCCCATGCCCACCCACCCACCTGCTGCTTGTGCTTGCTCTGGGCGTCCTGCAGCCGCGCCTCAGCCTCATTGAGCTTCACACGCAGTCGCCTGCTCTCATCCGCGCGTGCCCTCAGCGCCGCAAGCTGCCCCTCCAGTGCAACCTCCCTCGCCGACTTGCCCTTCCCACCACCCCCTCCTGCCGCCCCTCCGCCTGCTGCTGCTGCAGCGGCAGCAACGCTGGCTGCTGTTGGCGCGGAGGCAGCAGGGGAGGCTGCAGCTGCTGCCGCAGCTGCTTCTGCTTGCCTCTGCTGCTCCTGCTCCTGCAGCTTTGCCATGGCTGCTTGCAGGTCCGAGAGTTGGTTTGCAAGCAGAGAGTTTTCTTGCATCAGATTGTGAATCTGGGGGAGGGGAGAGAGAGAGGGGAAGGAACGAATGCGTCACACACCCGCCCCCAAGTGTTGCAGCAAGGCGCGTGAGCACTTGTCTACCAGAATGTGTGGCAGTGGCAGCCGCATGACAGTAGCATGGCGCGTCAACAAGAAGACGCAAATGGAAGTACGACAGCCAGGCCATTGGCCATCAAACAAGTAGGAAAACCACAATCCAGAACAAGGTTGGAAAGAAGAAGCAGCAGAAAAATAAGAACACAAGAAAGGACAGCGAAGCTGCAATGCTTCTTCTAGCCGAACACTGAGCACACACACACGCACCTGGGCCTGAAGCTGCTGCACCTCCCCCATGTGCTGCGTCTGCATCTCCTGCACCTGCCCCTCCACCTGCGCCTGCATCTGCGCCTGCATCTGCCGCGCCATCTGCTCCTCCTGCACCTGCGCGCGCAGCTGCCCCTTCTCCGCGTCCCCCGCCTCCACCTGCGCCACCAGCACCGCGTTCTCCCTCTCCCGCTGCTCCAGAAGCCCCTTCAGCTCCCCCAGCCACGCCTCCAGCCGCCCCACCTCTTCCTCCCGCCCCGCCACCTGCGCGCTCAGCCCCTCAACCTGCTGCTGCGCCACCGCCGCCTTCCCTTCCGCCTCCTCCAGGCTCCGCGCGGCGGCTTCCGCCCTGCTCTCGCTCTCCAGCGCGTGCACCCGCTGCTGCTCCAGCGCCTCCGCCAGCTGCGCCGCCCTGGCCTGCGCCTCCGCCAGCTCATGCCCTTGCCGCACGCACTGGCTCTCAAGCTCCTGACGCCTACACTCCAGCGCCTTAACCCTCTCCTCAGCTTCGGATCCCTTCTGCGCCTCGTGCAGCCGCTGCTGCTCCTCCTCGCGCCACCTCAGCTCCCGCTGCTCCATCTCCTCCGCGCGCCGCTTGAGCGCCTCCGCTTCCGCCTGCAGCTGCGCCACTTCCTCCTCCAGCCCCGCGATTCTCCGCCTGCTGCTCTCCGCGTCCTTGCTCGCTGCCTTGTCCTTCTCGCTCGCCTGCTCCGCCCATTTGCTCTCTGCTGCGGCCTTCTCTCGCCGGGCAGCGTCCAATTCTGCCTGCACGCGCTGCATCTGCTCCGCCACAGCTGCCGCCTGTTGCTTACCCTTCTTCACCTCCTCTTCCACTTGCTTCCACTTGGTCTCAGCTTTCTTCCACTCCACCTCACGCAACGTCAGTGCTGCCAATTCGCCCCTCAGCTTCTCTCCCTCCTCCCTCAGTTTCTTCTCTTCAGCCCTCAGTTTATTCTCTTCAACCCTCAGCCTCTCCCCTTCCTCTATGAGTTTCTTCTCCTCACCCTTCAACCTCTCCGCTTCCGCCCTCAGCGCGCCAGCCTCACCCGACAGCCGCCCCACCTCCTCCTCCAACTCAGCAATCCTCGATTTCTTCGCCTCATCCTCCTTCCTCCTCTCCTCCTCCCGCCTCTTCTCCTCCTCCTGCTTCTCCCGCGCGCCCTGCAGCGACTCTGCAGCAGTCACCGCCGCAGTCCCCTCGTCCTCCCCGCCCACCCACTCTCCCCCCCCTTCTCCCCACGAGCTCGCGGAAACCAGCGCCGACGTCCCCTCGCCCTCACCGCTCACCCCATTACCCGCGGCAGCGGCGGCAGCCGCCTTTCTAAGCTTCATCCCCGCGGGCCCCGATGCGGCCCCCATCGCCGCCGCCACGCGCGCGTCCGCCCGCGCCCTCTCCTCCTCCAGCTCCCGCTGGAGCGCATCAATCTTCCCCTCTAGCTCCGCGCGCAGCGCAGCCAGTTGCTCCTCCGCCATCTTCTGCGCGGCGGCTTCCGCCTCCGCGGAAAGCCGCGTTTCTGTTTCCACCAAATCCGCCCAGGTGCCCGACCCCATCCGCCCGCTCGGCTCCTCGCTTTCCCCAACGCCCGGCACATATGACGCGGGGAACTTCTTCGCTAGCTTCCGCTCAAAGACCTTTCCGCCCATTCCTCCCAGCCCCGCCAGGTCCGCGGAAGCGGTTTTCATCTCGCTCGAAGCGGCGTCCGCGGTGGCTGCGCCCGCGCCGGAGGCGCCGGTTGCTTCTCCGCCCACCAGCCCGCTCGCGCGGCCTTCCGCGCACTCCTGCGCGAGCTTCATGGCGACTTCCGCGCTAAACTTGGCGGTTTCCGCCGCTTTTTCCGCCTCCACCGCGCGTTCCATGAGCAGGCGGTTCTCCTCCCGCAGCGCCGCCAGCTCCTCCTTTGCGCGCACGGCGTCGTCTTCCGCCAACGCGCGCGCAATTGCATCTCCCGATTCCGCAGCCACCACCGCCTTCACCTCCTCCTCCTGCTCGCCCTTCCCCCCGCCGGTTCCGCCGCCAGGGGTGGCGGGGGACTCCGGTTGCGCGTCAAAGGCGGAGGCGCCCGCGAACTCCATCAGCGCCAAGCGCTTGGCGCTGGATTCGGGGAGCGGAACCGCGCGCTCTATCCGCACATTCAGGCGCACCAAGGGGAACCTGCCCATTGGCGCGGGAGAAGCCGGGAAGAGGGGGGGAGGGAAGGGAGGGGGGTTGAGAAGGATTGGAAAGAAGAACGATGAAAGAGGTGAGAATGCGGGTGGATGGGAAGGAATGGGAGGTGAGACCTGGAGATAAGCTCCTTCACAAGGGGTTTCTATGAAGGGGTAAAGGAGGTGGGGCTATCCAAAAGAGGAGAGCGGAGAGGAAGGATCGCGATGGGTACTCGTCGAAACGACGAAACAGAGAGAGCGAGAGCGGCTCTGGTGGCACAGGGGTTAGACTTTGGGCGAGGTCTTAAGCGAAAAGAGCGACACCATACTCACTGACGGTTGGTGAGCGAGAAGAGCGGAGTGGGCGGCGCTGCCGCCGCCCCAGGAGCAGCCTTGGCTGGTGACGCCTGCACGGTGCGAGACACCTGCGACGGTTCCACCTGCCAGTGCTCCCACTGCGGCCCGCGAGCAGGCAGCAGAGCGAATGGAGGGCGGAGGGAATCGAGTCAGATCGCGTGAAAACGCGAAACGCGAAGCGAGCAAGATCGCGTAAGGGGGAACGGGTTGAAGGAGACCAGAGACCGTGAAGCATGCGCGCAAATGCTGCACGACAGACGCGGACAGCCGCAGATACACGCGGACAAACGCGGACAAATGCGGACAGACGAGGACAGACGAGGACAGACGCGGACAGACGCACCGTCTTGAAATTGTAATTCCCTGCGCGCATCTTGAGGTCCTTACCCGCTTGCATGATCTGCAGGGTGGAATGGAACGACGTTGCAACGGGAGGAGAGCGGGGAAGAGCCAATGGGAGGGCGCGACTGATGATAGCAGCAGCAGGTTAGGAAATATACGGAAGGGGAGAATGGGAAGGGAACGAAGACAAACGGGAGTAGGGCTTTGGCCTAGTGGTCACTGCGTCACTGCAGATCAGCTGATTGCTTAAGACCAGTGGTACTCTCTATAGAGTTGCTGCTTTCACGTACAATCCTCCTCCTCAACCTCCGTGAATTGCGCTCACCTTGCCTTCCGCAGAAACAGAGCGGAAGCCGAAGTAGCGCTTGCAATCGGACTGAAGAACCACCAGCATGGCTTCAGGAGGGTACGAACTGCAGCAGAGAGAGGCACACGCATGGTGCAGCGATGCTCAACGATGCTTAACAATGCTCAACGGCGTTCAATGGAATTCAAGTGAATGTTTAACAATGTCAACGATGTTGAACGGAGCTTAGCGGTGTTCAACGGTGTTCAACGATGCAGTGTGGTCGGGGTCAGAGTCAAAGGAACACAATCTGCCAAGGACCTAGAGCACATCAGCTCATTCTTTCCGATGCAAGTTCATGAGCTTTTTAGAAGCCTCAACGAGAATGCCACATGCCAATGGTGGTGGCGATGGTGACGCTGTCTCTTAATGCGAGTCGTGTCTTCTAGTGCAAGTCCTGACTACTAATCTGGACCAGTTTGGTTGACGATGTGTCATGCAGAAGAACCGACCTGTCCGCGTGTGCAGCATCATCGGAGGAGAACAGAATCTCGCGACCGTTCGCCGAGGGACGCATGCGATACAGGCGACCATCAGGCGTCGCAAGGACGACCAGATCGCCCACCTGAATGTGGTGAGGGTGGTTGAAACGGAGGAGAGCGGACAGTGGGCAGGGTATGGACCGTATTGGACCGTGGAAAGCTTGATTTATAAGAAGCGCGGGACAAACACACACACACATGCGTCCAGAATTCGATTCAGAGGATCCTAAAAGAACTGAAACCGGGAGAGCAGATTCAGGAAATTCGCACAGGGACGGGAGGCTACCTTTATGCTGTCCAAAGTAGTCCCCATTCTTGCACCTCTCCAGGGATAGGCTCCGTACGATTGTTGAACAAGGCTGTCAAGAGACCAGACACTGAGTAGGGTCCCTAAAGATGGAGCAGGGAATTTGCTGGAAAATACTCTACGTTGATTCGAGGCTGGTCAGCTTTAGCATGTGGTGGGTGGTGAGTGAGTGACCTGAGTGTGACTGGATCAACAGGCCCTACCGAACGCACCAGGAGCGAACAGCAGAGAGAACAGAACAGACTCGAGACGAGGAGAGCACACACATCACACGATTCACTTCACACGAATCACGGCACGGTTCAAAGATGGTTGGATCACAACTGTACCGTGACTCACGTCACATCAATCTCCGCACCGCACATCACCGCTCCTCTTCGTCACCTCCCCCCCTCCCGAACCTCGAATATGGTTGGGTGGGAGGAAGGGAGGGAGGGAGGGAGGGAGCTGTGGAGGAGCTTCACTACTGCAACTGTGCCCGTCTCCGCGAACCTGGGTGACGTGACGGGGAATCCGCAGGGCCCGAACAATGAGAACAGTGATTGGTGCAACCGACCGGCTCGTCCGGGTGAGCCATGCCTGTCAGCTATGATGGGTTCGGAGCTGGGGAAGGTTCCAAATGTGCTTCAGAACGCATTTCGGACTTCCTAACAAGTGACTTCCTAACAAGTTGGTTAGTCCCTGAGCCAATGACAGTGGAGGCAGCAGCCCTGTGATTGGGGAACCACGGTCGTAGAACAGTCGCAAAACCGTCGCTTGTTAGGAAGTTGGTTGTTTGGAAGTGCCCGAAATGCGACCTCAGTTGTTTTTGGGTGTCACAATTGGTTCGTGATTTCCGAGGCTGCAAGTGTCAGAGGTTATCCGCCTCGGATAAACCAGAGCAAGCGATCCGAGTCAGCAGGCCCAGCTTTACACCAGGTCCTCTCCAAGAGCAATTCAAATCAACAGCAAGGACAATGTACAGTTTATCTTCATAAGCAGCTGTTCAGATTCTGCTCTGGTGTTGAAATTCCCTTGATATACCTTCAGCAATGAAATTCCAGAAGGATGATGACGGAAGCTAAAAGAATGTGCTAATATTGAGAACCTTGAGTATTTGCACAAATCTACTCTACGTCACTAACAACAAGTCAATGAAGCTTACGACGAGGCCCACAATCAGCAGCTGTCCCATGCAAACTTCCGCTCAAAGTACCCCCCTATGTCCCCACCTCATTCATCCTTCCTTTCGTTCCAACTACACTTTGCACCGTAATATAATCATCACAATGTGTACCAGGGGCGCTCCTCTGCCATAGCCACAGTCATGCCCTCCAGGTCCTTGCTCAGGTGCACCTGGCACCCGAGCCTGCTGCTGCGTGTCACCTGCCCATCAGTTGACACCTGCCGCAGCCGATCCTCCTCTGCCTGCGACCGTGGTGGCAGCTTGTCCAGCCACTCCTGTGCTATCGACACTGCAAATGGGTGCATGCATGCGGTTCATGAGAAGGGGGCGGGGGTGTGGGAGGGAAGGAAGTATGGGGCCCGGGGGTGGGGGTGTGTGGGCGAAGGAGGGGGATGGGGGGGGAACAAGGAGGGGAGAGAGAGATTTGAAGGCAATGGGTGAAAGAGTACCCATAACAAGAGAAGATAACACAAGAGGTGAGACCATAGATGGCAATGCTCAAATCCAGAATAAAAACACGGGACAGAGGAATGAGAAGCGGCGGCTATAGGGATGCGGGTTTCTTTAACATAGCAGCCGTCACTGGCGCGGTGGCATACCCTACCTATTCTGTACAAGTGGGCATTCCTAGCGGAACTGCTGCTTGCTATCGCCTAACCGTCTGATCCCTTAAGCGACCAACTCCCTGATCGCCTGTGCGCCCGTGCGCCTGTGCGCCCGTGCGTCTATGCCCGTGCGCCTATGCGCCTGTACGCCTGATGCGCGCACACGCACCTTGGCAGTTGCCGTTGCACGAATCCAGCTCCTCCAGCTGGTGCCGCTCCGCGCTCTCGACCTTGGAGCGGATCAGCGCGGACAGCAGCGTGCGCCCCGCGAGCCCCGTCACCGCGTGGCGGTGCCCGTCCGCGTCGATCGCGGTGAAGTGCACCGCGCGATCCGCCACGGTCGGCGTGGACGAGCCGGGCGCGACTGATGGAGACGGAGCGACGGAGGATGCGGGTCGGCGAGGGACGGTGAGAGCGGAGTCGAGGAGCGGGAGAAGACGCGGAACGGCGCGATGCGCGGTGCTGGTTGTTCGCTGAGCCGCGCGGAGAAGCAGCGCCATTGCGACTTTGCTGTGTGGAGGCGGGGGCGAGGCGGGACGGATGCGCGCGGAAGGCGGAAATGCTGCGAGAATACGGTGTAGGCGGGCGGCGGAGGAGATGGGCGGGAGATGGAGCAGACTGGTGGGGAAGCGCGAAGCTGAAGGCAGCGAAAGGCACTTTTCTCTCTGTTCGCTTGCTGCTCGTTGTACAGGCCCTCGTTAGCGAAAAGCAACGTCATAAAATGCAAAGGGTGAACTCGAGGACGCGTAATAGTCTGAATAAGAGTAGATACTTTAAGAATACTGTATAATCTATCTATCCTATCACAGCCTCAGCTACCTGATTATAAGCACATCCATATGGTGCTTCTTGTCTAAGAATAATTCTATAAATAAGAACGAACTACTAGTGGTTGTGAGGCTTCTGTAGCTAAACCGCCTTCCTCCACCCCGTCATGACTCGTGCTACGTCAGGGGCCCCGAGTCTGTTACCATTCGAAGTGCTCCCACCACCATGTCTCACAACCCGCCAGCCAAGCCATGCCCAGACACATACGGTACCCTTGCAAGTTCCACACACACCCACCTACGCACCCACGCAACGCTTCCCCAACAGTATAGCAGAGCAGGTCACTCAGATGCTCCATCAATAGCATAAAGGCTCCAGTCCAGTCCGGCGCTCCAGCTGCCAACAAAAGATCTTGCTCGCACTTCCAGGCCCACCAACCTGTCTCACGCTGCGGCGCTGCGTCGAGAGGAGAGCTGAGGAGCCAATGCTGGGGAGGGAAGCAGAGTTTTAGGATGCTTGCGGTGTGCTGTAACCTGCCAATTCTGGGGTTTCTTTCTTGCAGTGGTGGGTGGAGCAAATCTGGGTGTGATGGCGCTCATGTTCACTGCAGGGAACCACCACACCATGTACACCACAGGGCAACAGGGAAGAGCAGAAGGGAAGACGAAGGTTAGCAGGAAAGGGTAGGGGGGAGGTGGGGGTGTGGTTCGATATTGACAAGGCAGTCAGGTGGAGACAGACAGGAGAATACAGCAACAGAGCACCCAGAGACAGCAAGAACAGACAGCAACTTCCATCCCAAGTTATTCCTTCTTTACCCCCATCCCTGATTTACCCATTAGCCTCCATCTTCAAATCCCCTATTTACCTCCATTTCCGATTCCCCCATGAGCCTGCATTTCCAAACAATCCACCCAAAAGCCCTCATGGGCCTGTGACCTCTCTCCATCCCCCCCTCTCTCGTTCCTCGCTCGATAACCCATCACCCCCTCTTTCCCCCCCCCCCCGTCCTCCCTCCCACCCAATCCCAACGGCAAAGCTCACAATTGCTGATGTGCCTTCCATGTTCTGACTAGACTCTGGCGCTCCTGCTCCCCCTGCTGCCGAAGCAGCCCCAGCAGTAGCAGCAGCAGATGCAGCAGACCCAGAGGCAGTGGCAGCAGCAGCGGCAGCAGCAGCAGCAGCAGCCAGGGAGTTGGAGAGCGAGGCCTGCAGAGACAGGTCCTGCAACCCACCACTCATCCTCGCCAAGAGCATATCCATTAACATCTCGCCGTCCTCATCCAGCCCTTCAAACTGCGACGCGCCCAGCGGGCCAATCACCTCCTGCCCTTCCCCTCCCTCCACTCCTCCCCTCATCCCCCCATCCACATGCACGGAACCCCCTTCCGGTACCACCTCCTCCTTTACATTGCCTCCTGCTCCCGCTGCCCCTCCTTCCGCCCTGCCCTCTCCCCCCTGGCTGCTGGTCGAACGAGCAGCACCATCGGCAGCACCGCCGCCACTCAAGCCACTCCCCGTGTGCCCCTCCTTGGGCCCCTGCTGCCGGAAATACTGCGCCAGCAAGTCGTGGTTACCACCAGCACCATCCTTCCCCGCTCCTGCATCACTCCCATCTCCTCCTGCCCCTCCTGCTCCTTCCCCCATGCCTGCTTTCAGCAGCCCTTCATCCTTCCACCCTGAACCGTTCCCTCCTGCACTGGACATCTCACCACTCCCCCGGCCGCCCTCCAGCCGCATGCCTCCTGCTCCCCGTGCCGCCGTGCCAGATCCTCCTGCGGCGAGCGTTGCTGCGGCAATGGCAGTGGCTGCTGCCGCTGCTGCTGCCGCCTCTGCTTCATCATCGTCCATGTCCTGATGGGGTGGGAGGAGGGAGGGAGGGACGAGGGAGTGGGTAAGGGTCAAGGGATGGGGTGAGGGAGGAGGGAGGAGAGAGAGAGGAGGGAGGGAGGAGGGAGGGAGGGAGGAGCAAAGGAGTGAGGAAGAAGGGGGTAAGCAGTAGTAAGGAAATCACGGAGAAAGTGGATACAAAGATTGATGAAGTTTATGGGGCAATGGCAGGAAGGGAGAGGAAAGTAGTGTGTGGGAGGGGGGGGGGGGTGGGAAGGAGTTAGTAACGAGTGAAGTGAAAGAGGGGTGGAAGGGAGGAGGGGAAGGTGACCTCAAATGCGGAGGGGTCGGCAAGCGAAGCGAGGTTGCCATAGTCCATGGCTGCTAGCTTGCTGGAGAGCAGCTGCAGAGAGAGGCAGGGAAGCAGGGCACACACCACACCACAGCACAGCACACACGATGATGGCAAGGGGGGCAGGGAAGGAGGGGCGAGGATGGCAAAGAACGAGCGAGGGAAAAAGAACAGAAGGGCGGGCTCAGAGGTAACGAAATGGGGAGCGGAAACAGTGGCTTTGATACAGGAGGCGGCAGCTGCATAGGAATGATACATGTGCTGTAGTACAGCCAGTCACCTCTGCAGCTAGACCTTGTACACGCCTGTGCACCCCTATACAACTTGTTACACCCTTCTGTAACCCTGTGCTCCATCGCTGTGCACCCCTACTCACCCAAGCACAACTTTGAACATCCCTGAGCATTGTGCACCCGAGTGCACCACTGTGCGTGCAACCTGCTCCAACTCCTCCTCGCTTCCCCCCTGTGAGCGAGCGCGACTCACCTCGACCTGCAGCTGCAGCGAGCGCACGTAGTTTATGATCTCGTCCAGCATCACTGCCTTGCCTGTCACCTGCTCTCCTCAGTGGCCAGGGGGGAGGAGAGGGCGAGAGGAGAGGGGAGAGGGGAGAGGGGAGAGAGGAGAGGGGAATGGGGGAGTGGAGAGGAGGGGAAGGCAGGAACGGTTGTGAGTCGCCTCAAAGCTGCAGCTGCAGCGAGCGCACGTAGTTTATGATCTCGTCCAGCATCACTGCATTGCCCGTCACCTGCTCTCCTCACAGTGGTTGGGGAAGAGGGAGGAGAGAGTGGAGAGGAGGGGAGGGCAGGAGAGCATGTGCAGTAGGGGTTTCACATGGGGGTGCGGGGAAGGAAAGAGAGGTGCAGGATTTACAGGAAGCGCTCTTGAAACAGGAGCATGTAGGTTATGCAGTGCATGAGCCTTGTTCTGCTCTCTTTCTTTTCCTTGAAAGAACGGATGAATTCACAAACCGAGGAGTTTGGTGGTTGTGCAAGGTGTATCGGGGGTGATAGGACTTTTGAGTTTCTGAGGCTTCATGCTCACGAGGCATGGAGAAATGAGGGAAGGATGAAGAGGGTATGGTGTTGGGGGCAGTGATGAGGGTAGTGGTGTGTGTAGTGGTGGGGAGCGTGGTGGGGGGTGTGGTGGAGGGCGTGGTGGGTTCACCTTGGCACAGCTGGGAACGAGCGCCTGCAGCACCTTCATGCGGTCGCTGATCTTCTCCCTCCGCATCTGAACACACACGCACATGCACATGCACATGCACATGCACGAGCACATGCACACATGCACATGCACATGAACACGTGCGCATGCACATGCACATCCACAGTGTCACATCCACCCACGCACAAACACACCCACCCCCCACCCCCCCCCCCCCACACACACACCCACCCACCCCCGTCCCCCTCCCCCTCACACACAAATCCACCCGCCCCTACCCCTCCCCCCCACACACATGCACACCATACACACACATATGGATGCATGGTGTGGGGGCGAGAGGGGGGACGCACACGCACACATGAACCAAGGATGGCAAATAAAACGGCAGAGCAACAGCAGGAGAGAAAAGAGGAAAAACAAAAATCCCCATGAGCACACCCTTGCATGCAAAGAACCATTTCACCAATAGATACCATACCACATGACAGCACCAAGCCTGACGTGCCTCAGCAGACTGTTACAGGCAACAGGCTCTCTTTAAAAAAAAAAGCCGCTCACTCACTCACTCACCCTTTCTGCAATACTGTGGCTGTCCGTTGCTTGTCCCCTCCTCGCCCGTACATGCACCACCTCCCTCTCCTCCCCCCACCCTTCGTCACCAAATCCCTCTCCCCCACCCTTCCCCGCACCCCCACTGCGCCCTCCCCCTAAATGCGTCCTCGCCCCCGCACTGAGACTGCCCTGCCCCCGCAGTATGGCCTCCCTACCCACTTGCTCCCCCTCCGCCATGTCTACCTCCTTCCCCCCTGCGTCTCCCTCCCCTGAAGTGTGGCTTCCAGGAATCTGCAGAGGGAAGGTAAACGGAGGGAGAAAGGGGCGAGAAAGGGGATGGCAGGAACAGGGGAATGGGAGGATGAAGGGGGGAGGAATAAGGGCGTTCTGGGATTCTCAACTGCTAACATGAATTAGCAACAGAATGATCAGGACGCTTACAATACCAGACGCTCTAAAAACCCTATCCCCACCCCTCTCCCAACTGCCCCACCCCACCCCCTACCCTTCCCCTGTGCCCCACCATCCACGTTTCGTGCCTGCCCCACAATCCCCACTTTCCCCCCTGCCCACCTGCTCCCCACGCCACGCCTCACCCTTCTCCAATGCCCCGCCCGCCCCACCTTTTCCCCTTGGCCCACCCGCCTCGCCCCAACCCTTTCCCTTTTGCCCCGCCTGCCCCACCTTTTCCCCCTGACCCCGCCGACCCACCTTTCCCCCCTGCCCCGGCCGTCCCACCTTTCCCCCGAGCCCCATATGCGCCATGACATCAGACGCAGTGGCGGGCAGGCGGCGCCTCTTGCGGTTGAGCAGCGCCTGCAGCATGTCCGCCTCCCCGGGAGGCATCTCTGCAGGGAGAATGGGAAAGCGGAGTGGGAGCACAGCAGCGATGGGGACAATAAGGCGGTAACAAGGTGACGCAGAACTTGAGCTCTCGCTTGCGGTTGAGCAGCGCCTGCAGCATGTCCGCTTCCCCGGGAGGCATCTCTGCAGGGAGAATGGGAAAGCGGCGAGGGAGGGAACGGAGAAGCAAGGGAAGAGCAGTGAGGGGGGCAAGAAGGCGATCAAGAGGCGCCTCAGAAACCGCCTCTTGCGGTTGAGCAGCGCCTGCAGCATGTCCGCCTCCCCGGGAGGCATCTCTGCGGGGAAAGGTGGGGCGAGGGAGCGGAGCAGCCAGCACAGAGTAGCGTAGGGGACAAGAGGGCGTTAATGAGGCGCCACAGAACTCAAACTCTCTCTTGCGGTTGAGCTGCGCCTGCAGCATGTCCGCCTCCCCTGGAGGCATCTCTGCGGGGAGAAGGGTGGAAGAAGTGGAGCAGGCAGAAGAGTGGCGAGCGGGCTACATGACAGGCACGCCAACAAAGACGAATGGGGTTGAATACAGAGGTGGAGGGAGACGATGCGCAAGAAGGAGAGAGAACGAGGGAAAATGTGCGAGAGAAAGAATGAGAGGAGGGAGGGAGAGGGAGGGAAGAGGGAGGGAAGGAGGGTGGGAGGGAGGGAGGGAGACAGCACGAGGACCCACCAGCCATGGCAGCAGCAAGACCTTGCTTCAAGGGCGGGCAGCTACTGGTTCTCGACAGCTGGTTGTGCTGCAGCGCTCGCCCCCCGACCTTCTTCCTCTGCTGCTGCTGGTGCGGATCCAACTGCGCCCCAGCGCTGTTTTCCTCCCCCACGCTCACTAACGAGCTTGCCCCGCTGCTCGACTGCCCCCCACTCGTGGCACTAGCCCCGCCTCCCCCTCCCCCACCTGCACCCCCCCCCAGGGCCTTCCACAGCATAGCTCGCCTCTCCACCTCTCTCCCTCCACTGGACGTCCGCTGCAGTGACGACACCTGCGCGCCAAGCCCCATGCGCCCCCCCCCGCCCCCCGCCAGCCCCGCCATTCCGCCTGACCCGCCCCCCACGCCCCATTGCGGGTAGCCCTGCAGGTGCTGCGCGGCGCCCTTACCCCCTGCAAGTGCTGCGATGGCTGCTGACGTGGCAGCCGTGGAAAGACCGCCAGACCCGCCTCCAGGGGGAGTGGGGGGAGGCCACCCTCCCCCTCCCCCTCCCCCTCCCCCACCGCCACCACCAGCAGCAGCAACAGCAGCGGCAGCAGCAGCAGCAGCAGCAGCAGAGGTGCTGCCCATGCTGGCAGCGCCGGCCGCAGCAAGGGCTGCTGCGGCCGCATTAGGGTTTCCTTGCGCGGATGACTCCACTGCCAGGCACATCTGCTCTAGCTCCGTGAGGTTGCCCAGGGGGGGTGCGCTGGACGTGCGAGCTAGCGTGTTGGCCAGGTCACGCGCATTCATTCCCAGCGCACTTAAATTATACCCCGGAATGCCACCCACTCCCATGCTGCTCCCCATGCCCCCTCCTGCTCCTGTACCTGATGCAGCAGCAGCTGCCGCAGCAGCGGCGGCGGCATGGGCAAGAGCAGCAGCGCGTGTGGGGGAGAGCTGGGGAAGAGGGCGGGGAGGCGCGCCCCCGCCCATATACCCCGATTTACTCCCACCCCCAGCGGAGATCATAGGGACGTCCGCTCCCCCATCGAGCCCCCCTTCCCCTTCCGCAATCATTCCCCAGGTCTGCCCTAATCCTCCCCCAGCGCCTGCAGCGGCGGTGTGAGCGACTGCAGCAGCAGCCAGTTGGGAGCCTAGAGCGGCGTTGAGGGATGTGGTGCGGCGGCGCGCGAGGGGGGAGAGGGGCGAGGGCGAAGCGCGTGTGCGACAGAGGCGCGCAAAGAAAGGAGAGTCTGCAAATGTCGGTCCTGTTGTTTGATTGAGAGGGGAGTGGGACGTATGGAGGTGAGAAGCAAAGTGGAGAGAGCGAGGGGAGGTGGGGGGTGGAAGGGATGGTTGTGGCAGAGAGGGAGAGAGGGGGGGGGGTAGGAGGATAGGCGGAGGTTGATGCTGTGAAGATGGAAGTGTAAGTGAAAGTGACTTGCGTTACATGGAGAATACAGCTTGGATCACATGCTACGCTCACTTAGCCAACACGCGGAGCAAAAGTAACAAAAAAGAATAGCCTGCAATGCAAAAGAAGCTCGACAGGAACTTGTTGCGATGCACATACACACTCACACACACGCCCACGCACACACACACATACGCACCTGCGGCGCCATGCCCTCTCGCCGCCCCCATGTTGTTGCTCCCCATCATGCCCATCTGCCCACTATCCATCATAGCCGAATAATCCGCACCTCCCATCATACCACTCTCGTCATACCCTCCCCCCAACATCCCGCCCATGCCCCCATTCATCCCCATTCCTCCCCCTCCACCACCCATCGCGCCTCCCATTCCCCCAGCCATTCCCCCATACACATCCCCGGCCATTCCCCCATACACATCCCCGCCCAGCCCTCCGCCCATTCCTCCACCCAAACCAGTCGCCCCCATTCTCCCCGCCATAAGCCTCGCAAGCGACCCTCCGCCTCCCATTTCCGCTTCCCCTTCCGCCCGTTCCGCCTCCTCTACTGCAGCCAGCGCAGCCGCCGCGCCCGGCCCCAAAAGCTGCAGCTGCGCGACGTCAAGGCTCCGCGTTCGGCGGGGCCCCATGCTTCCGCCTCCGCCCTCCAAACCAGCCGCCGCTGCTGCCGCCGCTGCTGCTGCTGCCGCCGCGCCTCCTAGCGCCATAGGGTTCATTCCGGACGGCCCTTGCTGTGCTGGGCTGTTGTAGCCACGATTCATCTGTCGCTGCATCGCTGAAACTGCCGCCGGCTGCTGGTCGCCGTCAGCCTTTCACAGTCCTCCTCCTACTCACTCGCTCACCGTACGCCACACCTTCCAGACCAGACAGCCGTCTCCAGCTCTTCACAAACCTACTCCAGCCTCCCTCCTGCCGTTTCCCACAGAACTAACTCCCTCCGTTCATCTTTACCTTGTTTGCAACCTAACAAACCTCCCAAATATACTAACAGGCCTACCCTCCTCCTTCGCAGGCCGTACTTAATCGTACTCTAACCTCTGCAGTCACGGTCTTACACGAATCTGCTGCTCGTGACCGCATCGCTGGGGACGTTGAGAAAGGTCCAAGCGACCAACCAAACCCTAGCTGACACCATCCATGCGTGGCAGAGCGAATGCGTGCGACGCAGGGTGCCGTATGATTTGCCTGCGTCGACGGCCAGCGGCGGCAGAAACCCGCGCCTCGGCTTGCAGAAAATTTTCAACAAAAAAAAAAGGGAACCGCCTGATGTGAGACAACGGGCGAAGCAGGAAAGAAGGAAAGGCAGGGAAGGTAGGAAGAGAGGAATGGCTGAGCGAGCGAGCGGTCTCACGGTTCCGCCTTACAGAATAGGTTTCCACAAACACGGTCCGGCAACCAGAAAGTTCCAGTAACCAGACGAGTCCAGTAACAATGGGTATGGTTCTGGTAACCGGATAGATCCAGTAAAAATTGGTCCTTTAACCAGATGGTACAGCGATAAGAGAGATGATCAGAAGATGCGTGCTACATCAGCGCCCTGACTACGTCGTTCTGTCAAGGATTGAGCGTCGTGAATGCACTGAGAATAATAAATATAAAAATAGAAGTGGACTGACGGCGTGTACTGCAAGGATAAATGGCGGAAAGGACGCACACGTAGACCAAGCGGACCGCGTAATGATATATGGTTCTATGACGCTGAGTGGGAGCGAAAAATGGTGTAAGTTTGGAAAAAAAAAAGGCGATACTGTGGGGAGGTGCAGGCGGGACAGAACAAGCGATTGAAAGGGTAATATTCATTTCCGTCGATTTTTTTAAATAAACGGAAAAAACGTTCGTAAAGACGAACCTGGAGCGATGTCGTAGCTTGGGTTGGCAAGCAAACAGCAAGTCCCGTCAAGTGCCGAGATGCTGAACAGCTAGGAGCAGAATAATTTATCAACATCAAGTTGGAAAGAGGGCGGGAAGCCGATGGGAATGTCTGCAGGAGATGGCAATCTCGAGGGTGACGGAGAAGACTGAAGGTCAACTTGACCGCACTAAAATCTACAAAACCGCGTCAAACTCCGAGAAACAGTGACCCTCAGGGCGAGCAAGTCTGTTTTCCCACGTCCCCCTGGGGCTGGAAAATCCCTCAGGACGAATCATCTGGGCGTCCGATGGAACTGTAGAGCAGGTGGGGATGACACTGGCCAGGCCAAGTCACGATGATGATACATGAGATAATTCCAGGTGACCGTTAGAGGCAGCACGCGCTAACGTTGCACAATTCTTGGCACACAAGGTACAACTACTGTACAAATACATTTATAGGTAGCACATTACATGTTAATCAAAGTACTATCTTGCATATTTGAGCGAAGGAAAAATTGCCAACGCACTCGCAACACAACCTACAGGTTCTAATAGCCAAGAATGCCAATTGTTATGTGTCGCAGACGTTACAAACCTTTCAGCACACTGAAACCCCAACAGACGGCTTCAAGAATCTTCAAAGCACTTCACGCCTTCAACAAAGCACCGGTATTTCAGTTCATGCCGTTTCAACTGTGCATCAGCGCCCAGAACACAACGTCAAGGCAATTTCTAGTTACGGTGGAACAGAAGAGGACACAGATGGCGGATGGAGAAATAGGATAGGTTGAGCACAACGTTACAAGCTAGAAATGGCACAATATGCATCGCATCCCAGCTTATTGTCCTTGGCACACACTCACCAGCGTACAGCAGGAGCCGCAATGATGCTAGCGCAGTGCTAGCTGGCGTGCTGTCAGGTGGGGGTGGTAGGCGAGAGGAGCTTGCGCCACACATCCAATCTCCACAGGCCCTGTGAACATCCCAGTGATGGCGGGTGCAACGGGGAGGAAGGCTGGGAGGTTGTCGGCACGAGCAGGGATTTTGGAGCGCTGTAATGTAACACACGCCATCCAAGACTACGGTTTGCATGAAAGCCTCCCAAGTCTGGCGCGCCCGCACACACACACGCACGCGCGCGCGCGCGCGCGCGCACACACACTCACACGAACAACTGCAACCAAGTCTCACCTTCTTCTCATCCTGTCCCTGACCCTGTCCCTGCGAGTCATCCCCATGCACCTCCCCCTGGCTGTGCCCCTGACTAAGCCCCTGGCTCAGCCTCCTGTTATGCCTCTGCCCCCTCCTGGGCATAAGAGGCCCACTCAGACGCCTCCCCCTGTACTGCCCACTCACCCCCTCGCCCTCCTTCCCCTTCTCCTCCTCCCCCCCGTCCTTGCTCCGTGCGCTGCTGGCAGCAGTCGCAGACACACTCCTAGGCCACTGCAACGCCGCTGCAGACGCTCGGCCAATGGCTGATGGGGGCGAGGGGGAGGGCCCAGGGGAGGGGGAAGGCATAGCAGCGTAGGACCTCTGCTGCTGCTTCTGCTGCTGCTGCTGTTGCTGCTGCTGCTTCTCCGCCGGTTTCCCCGATGCTTCAGCTGCTTCCTCCCACTCATCCCCTTCCTCGATCGAACTCACAACTCGACCAACCCGGTCACCCTCCCCCGCAGCCGTCCCTTCCTCCTGGCTTTCCGCACCCCTGTTCCGCTCCTGCACCTGTTTACCAAGCAGCTGCTGCTGACGACGGTTCACCATCTCTCGGATCCCCGGAAGGGTTTCTGCTAGTTGCTCCACCATCCGCTCTTCCTCCTCGCTTAGCCTCGATCTTGCTGCCAGCCGCTGCAGCAACCGAGCAGGATCCATGCTGCTCATGTCCAGCCTCTCTCCTGCTCTCTCTCCCGCTCTCTCGCCTGTTGCGTCTGCCCCTGAAGCGCCACTTATCCCACTGCTGTCAAGCTGAGCCGTGGCAACAGATGGGGTGGGGGCGGATGAGGGGGAGGCAAGGGCGGCGGCGGCAGCGGAGGGGGATGGCACGCTGGATGTGGATCGGCTGGTGGGGAAACGGTAGCGCGCAGAGATGGAGGAGATGGGGCGGGGGTTGCTGGTTGGAGTGGGAGCAGAGGGAGCAGTTGCGGCAGGCGCAGACGGACTGATGGGCTCAACAGCAGCAGCAGAAGAAGGAGCGGTGGAAGCAGAGGAAGCAGCGGAAGCAGCAGCAGAGGCTGCAGCAGTGGTGCGTGCTTGAGCGTTTTCCTCAGAACTTGGGGACATGGGAGGTGAGGGAACAGCACCAACTGCTGCCGCAGCTGCGGCTGCAGCGGCAGTGACAGAAGCTGCCGCAACAGGCGAGGTATCAACGCGCAGTGCAGCGAAGGGTGTGCAGGAGGGGCGTGCAGGGGAACGGGAGTTGGAGAGGGAGTGGGAGTGGGAGTGAGAAGAGGAGTGGGAGGCAGCAGAGGTGGATCGGCTGATGGGGAAGAAGCGGCGAGCTGATGACAACGCAAAGGCAGGAGATGAGGCGGATGGTGGGGCAGACGGTGAAAGAGGCGGTGCAGCAGACGCCAGGGCGGAAGGCAGCGTAGGGGTTGACGATGGGGAAGACAAGGCCATGTGCAGATGTGCATGTGCGGGCGAGGGTGACGACGTGCTGTGGCGAGCGTGTGGCGTGTGCAGCAGCGGAAGGGTGAAGCGTCGCAAGATGCTACCAGAGCGGGAGGAGGAAGGGGTTGTGGGAGGAGAGGCAGTGACTTGCTGTGTGGGTTGAGCTTGTGGGGATGTGAGAGGGGCAGGAGGTGGTGTTGAGGGGTTGGGAGGAGCGGATGGGGAAGGAGAGGGCGCGGCATGAGGGGTGATGGGATCAATGACGAGAGATGGGCGAGCCTGGGAAATGGGGACGCCTGTTGGAATGTGCGACTCAACTGTGCTTTGTTGCAAGCTGCTGCCTGCTTCCGCTGCTGCTGCTGTTGCTTCTCCCTGTGCTCCTCCTCCTCCTCCTGCTCCTCCTCCTCCTCCTGCTGCTGCTGCTGCTCCTGCTGCTGCTTCCTCTACTGCCCCTGCTGTTATCCTAGCAGTATCGCCTTTTCCTTCCGTCTGTTGCCCTGTCCCTGAGTCTCCGTGTCCTTCCCTGCTCGCACCACCCACAGGCTGCGGTGCTTCCACGCCTGCAGCAGCACCAGCAGCCCCAGTGGCAGCATTTGTACTGGCAGGTGACAAGCTGGCATGTGGGTAGGCAGCAGAAGGAGCAACACTGTGCGGAGCAAGAGCAGCAGACGCAGGAGCAACAGGAGGAGCAGAAGCAAGAGGAGCAGTAGCAGCAGCAGAGGGAGGAGGGGGAGGAGAAGAGGGAGCAGGTGCGTGTGGTGTTGGTGACAATGCCTGTGGCATCCCTACCCCACCCCCTGCCCCCTTTACACCACCTCCCCTCGTCCCTTCACCCTCTCGCCCTCTCCCCCCCACACCTAACCACCTCGCCCCATCGCCCCTGTTCTCTCCCACGCCCATCTCCCGCCCCCACCTTCGGCCTGCACCCATGCGTTCCAGGGGGGCGTACGCAGCAGAGGGCTCAAGGGGAGGCTGCGCCGTAGAGGGTTCGTGGGAGGGGCGCGCAGCAGAGGGTTCGAGGGAGGGGCGCGCAGCAGGGGGCTCGGAAGAGGGGCGCGCAGCAGGGGGTTCGGAGGAAGGGAGCACAGGGGGCTCAGGGAAGGGGCGCGCAAAAGGGGGCTCGGGGGAGGGGAGCGCAGCAGGGGGTGCAGTGGAAGCGGGGGGGGCACAAGTGGTGCCAGCGGACGGAGCAGAAGGGACCAGCGCGAGGGCAGCGGAAGAAAGAGGTGGGGGCGCGGACAGAGGGGGAGAAGGGGGCGAGGGCGGATGGGAGAGGAGAGGAGGGATGGAGGGGCGGTGAGAGGGTGTGGCGAGAGGAACAGGAGGCTGAGAGGGAGGCGGTGATATGAGTTGAGGATCAAGCACGGTGGTTGTATGGGTGGGTGGGGGTATGTTAGTGCTAGGCGGGGTGTGGTTGGGGTTGATGGTTGGTGCAGCAGAGGAGGGGAGAGACGGAGTGTCCGTGACACGTGGACGGGTCACCGAAGTGATGGCACTGAGCTGTGCTTCGAACTGCGGAGGGGGGTTGCAAGGGGGGGAGGTAAGGGAGGAAATGAGACTTTCGAGACGCCTCAAAAGAGTCCGTGACACGTGGACGGGTCACCGAAGTAACAGCACTGAGCTGTGCTTCGAACTGCGGAGGGGGTTGCAAGGGGGGAGAGGTGGAGGAGGAAATGAGAGGGAGTCACTGGCACAAAGACCGAGGGGAGAAACGGGGAGAAGGAAGAGAATGGAGAGAAAGGGGGAATGGCAAAACAGCACGTTCTCAGCCCAAACCACATCACCTCTCACCTGCCTACCTACCTACCTACCTACCTACCTACCTACTTACCTACCTACCTCGTATCCACTTTCGTCCATCACAATAAAACCCCCTCCCTCTATCCCTCTCCCTCCCGCACCTCTCGCCCTCTCCTCACCTCATCGATCTCCTCAAACTCTCGCTCCATCTCCTCCATCGAAAACGCGCTACCCGCCACTGCTCGTCCCGCTGCGCCGCCTCCGCGCTGCCTCTCCCGCCCGTGCTCCGCCGCCCCCGCCCTCCCCATCTCCGCCGCCCGCGCTTCCGCGGCGCTCGTGGCAACAGGCGCGGATGCGGAGGAGGCGGAGGAGGAGGCGGAGAGCGAGCGCGGCGGCGGCGCCTTGCGCTCCTCAGAGTAGCGCGAAAACGACGCGGAGTACTTGTACCCGCGCTGCTGATGCTCCCCCGCCCCCGCCCCCGACCCCGTCCCCCCTGCGCCGCTAGCGGAAGCAGCAGCAGCGGCGGCGGCGGAGCCCGCGGCCGCAGCACTGGCGGGGGAGCCCGCGCCACTAGAGCTCGCGCTGATGGCGCCGCTCGCGCTGGCGCTCACGCTGGCGCTGGCGCTGGTGGTGATTGTGGTGATGGCGGCAGTGGCGACGGCGGCGTGTTTGACGGTAGTGATGAGGGAGCGGAGAGCCACGCGCGGACTGATGGGCGGCGCGTGCTTGGAGCCCTGCTGCTGCTCGTCGCGGTTCCACCCCTCGTTCCACGCCGGCACGCCCTGGCGATAAGATACTCACACACCACGAATCCCCGCGCGCGAGGCCCCACGCGCACGCGCGCATCCCCATACGCCCCAGAGAAAAGGCAAAGCGAGATGAGGAGGGGGGAAGGGGAAAGGGAAGAGCGTGCGCGGGTGTGGGGTTGAGGGGGAGGAGGGGGGGAAACGGAGGAAGGGGATAGAAAGAGCACGAAGTAGCGACTGGTGTAACAGATGTCATGGGACTTATCATTCGACATGGTCACTACGTGCGATAAAAAACCACGCCACGCCCTCCCATGCCGTCTCGCACGCAACGCACCTCGCTGCCCTTGCTCAGCTTGTCCCGCCGTATATTCGTCACCACGTACCGCCGCCGCCCGTTAAGGCTCTCACTCCGCCCATCCCCAAGGACCTGCGCCGTGCCGATCACAGAGCGGACGCTGTTCCGCGCTTCGCTGCTCGCGCGCGCGTGCACAGCGCCGACCGCCCTTCCCCCGCTTTGCGAGCTGCCGACTTCTTCGTCGACGGCCGCGGATGTTGCGTCCGCCGCCGCACCCGGTATAAGTGCGCGCGGGGACTGCTGCGGGAAGTGGGGCGCCCTCGCGGGGTCCGGAAGAACTGACCGCTCGAACTTCCCGACGCCCGCTAACTGTTGCGCTTGCAGCTGCTGCTGCTGCTGCTGCTGTTGCGCTGGCAGCTGCTGCTGTTGCTGTTGTTGATGTTGTGACTGTTCCAGCTGTCGCTGAAGCGATGCGCGTCCGTGCGGCAGCTCGTCCTGTTCCCGCGGCTTCAATCGTGGCTGCGATTGCTGCTGTAACAGTTGCTGCAACTGCTGCTGCGCTTCCTGCTGTGATTTCCGCTGCGATTGTTGCTGCGACAGTTGCACCTGCTCCGATTGGATAGCGACCGTGGCGCCATTCGCCATAGCAGCCAGCTGACCGTCGCAAAGGTTAACGGCAAGGACTTTGTCATTGTCATTGTAGTTCTCATTGCCATGCTTGTGTTCATGCTCATGTTCATGCCCGCGAATGACCGTCGCCGCTTCGCTAAACTCCTTAGCCCACGCTTTCCAGTCGCCCACGCTGCTCAGCACCAACTGCCGCTCCCAATCTCGCGGCGGCTGCGGATGCGGTTGCGGCTGAGGGAGCGGCTGCGGTTGGGGCTGCGGTTGTGGATATGGAAAAGGATACTGCTGCAGTTGCTCCGCGTGCGCCATAGCAAGGAAATTTTGGTCAATTTCCGCCTTTTAAACCTAGTCACGACACGATTGATAGGATGGCTGTGGAAGTCTCTTAAGTTACCCCAGTACAATGCCAGGATCTTGCGATGACCGATAAATACTGCAGCAAAAATACGATAAATGCAGAAATGCAAGCTGGACTAACAAGCGAAGGAGCTTCGAGAAATGTGCCAGACCTTTCCGTTGCCTGGAAGGAGGATGGAGCCACTTTGCAGCAAGGCAGGAAGACCAAGACAAGTTGACAGGAGGAGCAAAACCAAGAGAATGCCGAGCGCGTTTCCGTTCGTTTGGAAGCGGTTCAGGCTGATTGGTTGGTTGTTTCCTTGTCTCTCTGAACTAAACGTCATTCTCGCCGAATACCCGCGGACCGAACAAAACCGTAGTACAACGTACGGTACTGACCAACAAACAGCCTGTGCTTCTCCGCCCCCTGCACTCAAGTTCCTGCCTTCCATCCTCCTGCGGTGACTGTGGCCCATCCCTTTTCTCGGAACCTCCGCCGCCGGTTGAAAAGGCGCGACCTCCCCAAACAGTAAATTCTCGCTTCAGAGAATAGTGCTTTTACTAACAGACATGAAGTCTCACCTTACAGAGAGATTGTTGGGATATTGAATCTCACATGCCTTGCTGGTCCCATATTTTACTGAATTCAGCATGCAAAACATCCCATATGTCGATATGTAAACTAGTAGCCCGAATACTCTGTGCTAAATACATATCAGAAGTCTAGTACGGTTGGAACCCTTGAAGTTAAGCTGTCTAACACATTTCAAAACAAAACATTCGTACATGTGGCTTGGGACAATACTCATTATAAACAAGCAGCTATAAACAAGCATGTAAAACACCACCAATCCACCATGTGTGCCTGGCAAAATCAGTTCAAATTGACGACGACGTTGTGCGCTTGACGGAAGTGCCGCTGTTCGAGCCAGATGTCTGGGTGCAAATGGGCTCACATACACCAGTTCTCTCCGTTACATGTCCGCTACTGCACTCAGCAGCGTATCCAGGAGCGTGATCAGACGTGCGTGCAGACGTGTCTCCAGGAGTGTGACCCGTGGAGGAGGGCACTTTAACGCATCGGTGCATGAGCAGGTTCACGTCTGTCTCGTCCAATATCTCCTCCTGCAACAACTCCTCTATTACATCCTCCATCGTTATTATCCCCACCACCACCTCCTCTCCCTCCTCCTCTTCCCCTTCTTCCTCCTCCTCCTCCTCCTCTTGCCAACCTCCTGGCTGTGCACGCCTAGCCTCCTCCCCCCTCCCCTCAGCCTCCACATCTACTGTCTGCCCAACGGGTCCCTCCCCACCACCTATAAGACTCCTCTCCTCCCCTACCCCTGCTCGCACTTCCTCAGCCTCTTCGCCCCTAAACCCCAACCCATTGCCGTCACTCCCCGTAACAGCGTTACCAGCTCCATTCCCCTCTCCACCATCTTTCCTCCTCCGCCGCTTCCTCCCCACACCAGCAGCTGCTTCGAGCTGAGAAACATCAACTGCCATGTCGGCAGCCGCAACACTACTGCGGAACACACCTTTCCTCCCTCCCGAACCAGCCATCGGACGACTGCCCTGCCTTTGATGCACATCGAGCAGCAACCTTTTGCCATCCCTCTGCTGCCTGGCTGTAAGGGCAGCGGAAACAGAGGCAGCAGTCAACTGTTGCGCACGGATCGTGGGCCCTGATAGCCCTTCTGCATGGCCCCTCGGAACTGCTAAGTCACTGGTGGAAATCCCTGGGGCTAGTGCTACTGCTGGTTGGGACGGTGCAGCCGAAACTGGATCCCATGGCATTCCGGTGCAGAGCAACGGCTCGAGAGATTGCCTCCTGGTTGGCTCGTTTGTGGTACAGCAGCTGTCATTGGCAGTGGCACCCTCGTCAACGCCCTTTCCAGTAACACTCAGAAGGTTGGTTGCCTCGTGATGTGAACGTGATATGCCACCCCTGGGGGCAGCAGCAGCAGCAGCCGCAGCAGCAGCAGCGGTAGCAGCAGCAGCACTGGCGGAAGCACTAGCAGTATTAGTTGCCGCAAAACGGGAGAGAAGGAAGGCGGAAGGAGGGGAGGCGAAGGGGGAGAAGTCGGGCGTGTTGGTCACACAGGTGCTGCTGGCACTAGTGATGGGACTCCCAGCGCTGACGGTCGTAGCAGTAGTGCTGGTAACACCACCAAGAGGGACCGTAACAGTCGTTGAAGTGGCGCGGGTACTGCCACTCGCAGTGATGGTGGCGATGGTGCCAGAGGTGGTGGTAGCGACTGTTGTTGTGGTAGCAGCAGCGGAGGGGTTGGCATGGGAGTGAGTGCGAGCGGGAGCAACGACAGCGGCCATGTGCGAGTGGCCTCGCTGGAACTCGTTGAGCATGTCGTATAGGGGCAGGGAGGCTTGCACTCTGGTGGGTCGTTGGGCAAGGAAGGGGGGTGGAAGGGAGGTGGGAAGTGGGCAGGGAAGGGGTGAAGAAGTGGGGAGTAGATCGCACAAAGGGGAGCAGGGGGGAAAGAGGGGTCACCATGGGGCAGAGGAAAGAGAGGTGAATAGATTGACTTTGTGATGGGTGGCTCATCAGGTAATACAAGAGAGGGGGACTGCAGGCAAGTATGACCAAGGACTTGTTAGTTGCATTGATTGGGAATAGAATCGGTAGCGATACCTTGGAATTCGGCGAATCGGGACTTTGCGAATCGGAGTGGCGTCCTCTGGGTGGAGCGATATGAGATTCTTCACCTAAGACCACACACACGCATGGATGCACGCAGAGACACACACATGCATACACAGAATGTATGCACACATACAGGCAGGCACATGCATTGAAACTCGTGCCAATGCACACATCCACACGCACATTCACAGAGAGGAGTAGCATGATTAAGAGTTACAGAAATTGCACAACCCATGATGCTACCAGACCTTCTCTCGCCATTGTTTACTGCCCAATCACATGCTCACCCCACCAACCCCAACCAAATCAGCCTTTTCTTGTCCTCACCAAAGCCCCCCCATCTCTCAAAACCCACCCAACCCTGTCTTTTAATGCAATATTCTAGAACGTACGAGCAGCAATCCGATTATGTTGTTAGGAGAGCCGTGGTACACGGGCACCCGGCTGTGGCCTCTCTTCATCAGCTGCTGCATCGTCTCCCTGCTTGCATGAGCCAACATGAGTTCAGATGACAAAAACGAAACACACACCCATGCCATGCACATGCGGCAGATGCACACGCACACAAACATACACACACGCGCACTCGCGCGCACACACACACACACAAGAGTGTTGGGGATAAGTACCAAGCGCATATTCGCAGTGCATGTACCAGACCAACAAATGACATGCTGACAGTGATGGTTCTACGCATACAGTTATTGGTGTTGAGGGACAGATTATCTATAGCACTGACGATCTCATGATGCATGATGCATTGAAAACGCACAGGTCGAGCTTGGTGTCGACGCTGAGCGAGAAGGCGTGGTGGATGGGCGTCATGGCGTCGGCCACCGTCTTCCCTGCGAGCTCCAGCGCACCACTAATGATCGTAGTCTCGTCCACTGTCAAGTCACCGCCCCTGCCCTCCTGCCACATGCGGAACACCAAGCATAAGCAGAGAACGCAGGAAGGTACAGTGGGAAATCAGGAATGGGAGACGAGAAAGAAAGGGGTTGAGAGGGCCCTGTGTGTGCCATGCGTGGTGATGTGCTTGCACGTGATTACCAATAGCAGCGGTGGCATCCACCCACACACCCACCCACGTCTCCACCCACCCACCATCTTTGCGTGCATGTTGACAAAGGCCTTGAGCTCTGCGCGGCGGTACAGCGGCTCGTTGCTCGCTCCCAGCACGAGGTCCAGTAGCTGCGTTACGGGATCATGGAGTAACGACGAAGACAAGGTAAAGTACAGAGACGAGAAGGAAAGGAAAAATGGACGGTAAACCATATGCACGGAAGGTTCATGTGACGAAAGCTTTGGGACGAGAAGCGTGCGTACAGAGTTCAGGGTGGAGGGGATGGGGAGATGAACGGAGTGGCAGAAGTGTGGAGTGTGAATTGGATGAGAATGACTTAACCGGGCGTGCAGGGTGCGGCCTGTAGGGAGTGGATAAGTGAGTCACCATGACATGAAACTCACCTTGCTGATGGGGAGGGCGATGGGGTAGAAGAGCAGCACGAGAATCTTGACAAGAGGGGCCAGAGTAGCTCCTATTGCCAGCCCATAGCGCGAGCACACGGCTTGAGGAATAATCTGCGCAGCACCATGCACACGCAAAGACGGCCCGGTGCACGGAGGCATCAAACTGTCAACTCCCAGGCGGAAGAACTGGCACAAAAACAGGAGGTATCATGACCTCATGATATTGTACAGAAACTGCAGGCATCGAAACTCAGGGCTGCAAGGAACACGGAGCACGGACCTCGCCAAAGAGCAGGATGAGAGTGACCGAGAGAAGAATGGCGGCCCATGAAGGCACGAGCGCGTCCAAGAATATTGGAAGGGCCTGGCGGCGGCGTGCACACGTATGGCGGAAACCAGAAACCGTGGGGAGAAAGAGGTTGGGGGGTGTAGGGGGTTGTTGAGAGGTTACAGAGAACGTGGGTGCTGCCTGTGTGGTAATTCAGCAAGTTGAGACGTCGAGGAAAACAAAGTTTGGCCTACAACAAGATAATTCCCGACGTTGAGAGCGTGGATCTACTGACCTCCATGGCAAGAGCATTCCCGATGAGGAGAGTGCACAGCAGCAGATGTGGCTTCTTCATCACCGGGAGTATTCTAGCTGGAAAAGGAAACACGTTCAAATTCAGCTGAAATTAGAACCAACGGTCATCAGTCGGCGGGAAACGCTGGACAGTCTCTGTGCAATCATTATGCTGTACTAGCGAAAAGTGAAAAACAGCGATCATTCTACTGGCAGACGAGAGGAAGGTATAATCCCGACGCCAAAAAACTTCCAGCTGAAGTCGCACCTGCGTGCTTCTTGTCCAATTCCGACCCGCTTTGCTGCAGGACCTCTAGGTCTACCAGGCCGAGCGACATGAGGCCTAGCGTCAGACCAGACATGAGTCCAGAGAACGTGACGAGGCCAAGAATTAGGACTATGTACAGCCAGAAATGCCCGCCACAGCATTCCACGTGCATCTCCATCGCCAATCCCAAGAAGCCACCTAAGCTGTTCTACTCGTAACTCTCCCTGTTCAAATCCGACTTGCCAACTGCTGGAAAGTGAAGCAGATGAATCTCGTCACTTCTGAACTTAATTCAGTTGAGCCCTGGACTGTCAGTTCTGTGTGGGTGGTGAAAGGCCTTTTCTGCTAGTAAGCACCTCGAGCACCAAGCAGCGGCGATGGCAAGGGATGACAAGGTGCAGACAGGTGGGAGGAGGAGAGGAGAGACGCGTCGAGAATGCCGTAAAGCCTTCGGAATTCGGGAATCGCGGGTGGATTGCGGTTTGGAATGGAATGGCTTGGGTTCAACTTCCAGGGTCCACGTCCTACACTGGTATTTGCGTGTCCGTGTGCCGCTTCGCTAACGAATTGGGAATGGATTCTGTAAACTGCAACCGTGTCGCGGCCCAAAATGACGGAAAGTTCACATCACATTGACGGCTCACGCCAGCACCAGCTCGGTCTGCCGTAGTGCGGCGCGCAGTGACGCTTTGTTGAGTCGACACGAAAAATGGTCCCTTCCTTTTCTGCAGTTGAGTGAAAAACACGTCACTCGCTTTACATTACATGTGTCACCTTCGCGACATTGCATTACATGTGTGTGTATAGTTACAGGTTGATCTCGTAAAGAGTACAGAACCCCAACATGTCCGCGTTATCAAAGAAACACGTCTTGAACAACAGGTCTGAAATCTTAGATGTTTACAATGGAGCATCTGAACTTGTACAATCACTTTCTTGCGAATAACTCATCGCATCTGCATTAAGTTTGAAATTATATCAGGCCGCGATATAGAACATTTCTCCAAATCGTTTTCTTGTACATATAGGACATTATTGAGGCAACATCTTACTCTTATGAGTTATTGGTGATTGTTCAAAGGTAGGTTTGACAAGTTTTGACAACATAACTACAGTGTACTTTTTTCCTACGCAGCAGCAGTCTGAGTGGGCTGCCTCCGAGCAACACCAAGACGCAACCACGGTTCCAGCCTGCAACTTCTGGTGAACAGCGTGGCTGAGCGACGTTTTGATTGGTTTGTAGACGAGGCCGTGTCCCATGTACGCCCAATCGCGGGCAGTTTGTGTTGCTGGACACACATCATGCTGACCTGGCGGTTCTTTCTGCATGTCAAGGGGGAATGACACTGGGCCAGGACGTCGCCATCTCCTAGCAACGAGCACATTTGCCCCCGTGCGACGAAAAGTGCGTGCGACGAAAAGTGTTGTCGCTGGCAAGGCAGAACCACAAGCAACCTCCACTTTCAACCTTACCCCTTATGCTTGTCCTCCCTGTCCTTATGCTTGTCTGCCCCTAGCTTTATAGCTGTTTTGCTTGTTTCTTGTTCACTCGTGGTGGCTGCATAAACTGACAATAGTACATAATTGCAAGCGGAGAGAGCATCCTGATTGCCTCGCAGAAGCGTGTTCGAGTGCGTTTCCTGGTGGTGCGCCATGGCGTCCTGTTCCGCTGTACTGTTTGCTCTGGTTGCAGCGGGATGCCTTTTCACGGTACGCGTTACCGCGATGTTTTATCAGTCGTGTTTCCAGGACGCAATTTGGGCCTCGACTCTCCTGAATCTTAAACGGTTTCGTGCGTTGCTAAATCTTTTTGAACCGTGCGTGACAGGTCGCGCTGTCAAGGCCGTCAGGCTTCGAGGCTGAGGAGGCAAATGGCCTGCCTGGCAGCATCTTCAAGGTCCGATCCTTGTCCCATCATCTCCTCTGCGTATCGAACCCGCCGATTATGCTCAAACGCTTTTCCTCTCTTCAGTTCTTATGGTCGTCCTGTCAGTTTCCGATCCGTTTGCGAAGGGGCATTTCGTGCCCATCCCTATTGGATCTGCAGGCTCATCTGGTAGACAGCGTGAACAAGAACCCTCGCGCCACATGGAAAGCAGGCTACAACGAGCGAGTGCATCGCCTTTCTGTAGGTTCCACTTAGTACCACCCTCCTGCATCCTAAATTCTGAATCGTTTTTTTTTTTTTTCCGATCCTCTGGCGTTAGGCGGAACATCGTTTCACTCCTCCCCTATATTTTGCTGTTTGTTGCCATCTCTCATTCTGGTGAACTTAACCAGAAGTCCGCACTCAAATCGCTGGTCGGCACTTACCGCCATCCACCAGTCAACGCTCTTCCCCGCAAGGAGCTGTCTCCCGCTGCGATGAACATCGAGCTGCCGAAGCACTTCGACGCGCGCAAGCACTGGTCGCACTGCCCCTCCATCTCTTTCGTTCGCGGTACGTGCCTGCTGTGACATGAATTAGACGTGGACGTGCAGTTCTTCTCAAGCACTGAATTCTCCTCAAATCTCTGTTCCTAGCGTATGGTCGTTTTTTCCTGTCACCTCCGTCTGACCACCAAGCTTTATTTCTTTTGTCGTGCTCTCCCCTCCTCCCTGTATGCATGCGCTTTTCATGCTGAATTGCTGGATCTGCACTGGTCGTTCCTGGATTGCTGTTGCCGTTCTTTTGACCTGGCCGCCGATACGCCTCAGACCAGGTGAGGGCAAGAGTTGGGGTTATTGAAACTATGTAGTGGCGGAACTCATTTGGAAATTGAATGCGGGCGCACTATTTTGCGTAGTAACTTCGCTGCCTGTCTAAGCTACAGCGACACCGTTATGTTTTTTGTGTTTCCAGGGCCACTGCGGTTCCTGCTGGGCTTTTGGTGCAGTTGAGGCGCTGAGCGACCGTTTCTGCGTGACCTTTAAGGAGGTCAGTAGCCAGCTGTGTTCCTTGTTGGTTATCTTCTAACCCTGCCGTCGATTTTTTGGACCTTCCACAGCTAAAACGTCACCCGGCTACCAGGCCCCTGGTACTCCGCTACCCCTATTTGTGCGTTTTAGTCGGCGAACTATGCCACATGCATTTGTGTCTCACCACCTCACCGTCTTCTACCATTACATGGTTCCACTTATCATTCCCTCGAGCAGACTGTGCAGCTGTCCACCAACGATCTGCTCTCGTGCTGCTCCACCTGTGGCGATGGGTGCAACGGCGGGTGGCCGTACCTTGCGTGGGAGTTCTTTACCAAGCAGGGCGTCGTCACTGAGCAGGTGCGAGGATGGAAGGAGAATGATCAAGGAAAGGGACTTGTGGTGGGGTTTCAGTGTATTTGGTGGGGTTTCATGCCTGCAGTAGTTGAAGGCAGGCGCCTCAACACGCTGTGTTTCATTTGGTTAATTTTCATCGTTCTTTGTTCATGTCGCATGCCCCCCTGTTCCTGCTGCCAGTGCGAGCCCTACTTTGATCAGCAGGGGTGCAAGCATCCGGGGTGCGAGCCGCTGATGCCCACGCCTGTATGCAAGCTGAAGTGCGAGGATGGGGAGAACTGGCGCAGCAGCAAGCACTACGCCTCTGAGGCTTACTTGGTGGGGCGTTCTGTGGAAGCCATGATGACAGAGCTGCTGCTGCATGGACCCTTTGAGGTTGACTTTGACGTTTATGAGGTGAGGGAGAGCCTTTCAGTACCTTCATGGCATCCATGTTCACGTGAGCCGTTTGGCATTGCATTGCGTTTGTTCTGTGAACTTGGCTTCACGTTGTTTGATGAAATTCTAAACTTGCAGGATTTCGCGTACTACAAGAGTGGGGTGTATTCTCACCTGGTTGGGGATATGGTGGGGGGCCATGCAGTCAAGCTTGTGGGCTGGGGCACCACTGATGATGGTGTTGACTACTGGGTATGTTTAGCATCTTTGCGGTCATTTCCAGTCTTCACTTCTGCTTTCACTTGCTTTCACTTCTTCGTGTTGTAGCTTGAGATTCTGTGGTGCATGGCTTACGTGGAAATGCTTCACTTGGTCGTTTATTGTGCAGATCATTGCCAACTCGTGGAACCGAAGCTGGGGCGAGGTTAGTGTTGGACCTTGCAGTATTTGTTTTGCTGATTTCAGTCCTTTGGTAGAGCTAGCTTGTGTTGCCTGGCGTGTTGCCACCTAATATTGCAAGTGTTCTTGGCTTTCTGTCCCATGTCCCCAACATCCGTGCTGGCCCTGCTCTCAGGATGGTTTTTTTCCGCATCCGTCGAGGCACCAACGAGTGTGGCATCGAGGAAGATCCGGTTGCAGGTACCCCTTCCAGGACTCCAGCTCCGTCCCCTGGGGGACTGTTGGAGGGTATCGCCACAGAGTAGGTTGCCCAGCGCCCATGTGTAATAGTGCAGATCTTGACCCAGTGGAATGTGTGATGTATTTGTTTGTGGATGGATTGTAACTGCACGTTACGAGAATGCTTTCCCTTCTAGCTTCTGCTTGTGAAATGGGACTTTGTTACTTGGAAGGAACTTCCCTTGGCGGATGTTAATGGAATGAAGGGTATATCTGAGAATGGATGGGCAAGGTGATAAGAATGGAATTCGGAAGAATCAGGAGAAATATTTATTCCAATGGCCTCTATATTTGTTTACCAGGAAAATCCTAGTGCAGCATTACAAACGTGATTGTTCAAACAGGCAGCGTGGCGCAGTCAGTTGTACTATCGAAGCCATCTCCTCGTTTTGGGAAGTGAGGGTAGGACAGGACAGCCGCCGTCGTCCGTGTCGCGTAGATCTACCCTCCTCGGTCCGTTCACACGTCCCCTTCCCCTTCCGCCAGGAAGTTGCAGACAGTTGTTCGGACCGCGACGACTTACGTGACTCGTCTGGTACAGTGCACCCGGCAGGTCCGATTGCGTGCACCACCGCCCGATCTTGAATATCGGACGGTCATCAGAACGTCTCGCACGCACCCTTCCCGTCATTGTTCCCTCCCCATCTCAATCCACCCAACCGCGCCCCTTTAGACCGTAACTCTACATCTCTCAAACTAACCCAACCCAGCCAAACGCAATCACAACCAAAACTAAACTGGAGCCACTCCAGCACAGCAACTTCTCACGGTGATCTCCTCCTTCCCCCCCCCCAACCATATCATGCTGTGCTGTGCTGGCATGACACCAAAACTCTCTATAACGAGCCTGCATTTTGTCCCCCCATGTCTCCTGCTTCTATCTGCTCTTGCGGGTTTGTCCGACTGCTCTTGGCGTCCTGAGATTATGGAGCTAGTCGTGCACTTCACGGGTATAGGTAATTGTCATACTAGAATATAGAATACAGAAGCGATTATGACGCAGGTTGAGGGCGCGCATAAAAGCGCGACGGGGGGTGCTTCGAAACTGGGATTATTTTCACTCATCCGAATGCCTACTAGTTTCCGTCGAAGCGTAGACAGCTCCAACTCCAAACTCAATATCGACCCATGCGCGCAACACGCCGACGCAAGCAGTTGGCGCTCGAGTGAACGAAGATCCGTAGCAGTACCAGACGAAGAGTTACGAGCGCTTTCAACTGCCGACTCGGATTGTGGTCTTGCTGCGCAGCACGAGAGAACATCATCTTATTGCTCCGTCGAATACCAAGAACCCACGCGGCAGGCTCGTACTGACTCGCAACAGCCTTCGCGGTGCCAGCGGTTTGAGCGGAGTGCGCGGAGTGAACGGTACGAGCTTACGCAGTTCTCCCAACTGCCAGCCGAGCGAGTAATGCAGCCGCCGCAACGAAGCCCATCCGCCCATGCGCCTTTGAACGAGGTGCCGCGTCCACTGACCGCAGTTGAGACTTCTTCTCGTATTGCGTACAATCTTCTCTCTCCGGATACCGTCGAGCCACAGAGATTGGCTCCTTACACGTCACCCCCGCCTCTAACGGCCAACTCCCGCTTCTCCGCCTCCCCCGGCCCTTGCTTGCCGGAAGAAGGGTTTGGGTCCAGCTATGGAGGCGCGGGCGGAGAGGACAGCGGAAGGGTTGTGTGGGGAGACGACGAATTCGCGCGGGATGGGGCGCTCACTGGCCGCACTTCCGCCGCCACCGCTGCCGCCGCCGCCGTCGCCGCAGGGAGTGGGGTAGCGCGAGAGGATAATTGGAGTGCGAAAGATTCTTTAGATCGCTATCCTTGGGAGGAGTGGGAGCAGCACTGTCAGGACTTGCCCTGCGAAAGGCTGCGAGCTGTGACGTCAAGCAGTAGCAGCTGTCGCAGCAGCAGCCGCAGCAGCAGCAGCGGCAGCAGCAGCGGCAGCGGCAGCGGCAGCGGCAGCGGCAGCAGCAGCGGCAGCGGCAGCGGCAGCGGCAGCGGCAGCGGTACTGCCACCAGCACCACCACCACCCGCAGCCGCCGCAGCAACAGCAGTGAAACGGCGTCGCGGAGAAAAGCCGTGAGAGATGTATCCGATACCGAGTCGTCGGCTGCTAGCGCTATCTCATCGCGCCGTGCCGTCACTCGTACCACCAGTAGCACTGAAGGGCCGTACGAAGGCGACGCGGGCATGATTCGGTCGCGCCGCGTGGCCGCGACCGTGTCCGATGGGTCGGCAGAATCCTTCAAGTCTGCAGCATTCGACGAGGAGGCATCTGGCGGCGAGTCCGCGCCGTCACTTAGACTGCAGCAGCAGCGCCTCGCTGCTGAAGCAGCACACTCAGGGTATGACAGGGTCTCCGTATTTCCCGAGGTAAACGCCGCGCCCTCCCCCCGCATCCCGCCGCTCTCGACGCTCGCCCGCTTCCCCTCCGTCTCCGAAACCCAATCGTCTTCCGCGCAAAGCCCCGACCGCCGCTCACACGCCTCCGCGCGCGTAGACGTAGGCGCAGACGTGCGCTCTCCGCGCAATCCAGCGCAGTCCCGGTTTCCCCCATCCGCGCAGCCCCAACACGGGCAGTGGCGGCCCCCGCTCCCAGCCGCTGTTCACCCTGTTTCGCTCCGTCATACGCTGCCGCCGGTTGCTTCTACTGCGACGGGTGCTGCTGCTGCTGCTACGAGGAGCGACGGGAGCATGGCATGGCGTGCGATGGAGTTGGAGCGGGCGGGAACGGATGAAAGGACAGCAGCATGGGAAGTGGTCGCACCTGCGGTAAATCCTGAAATGGCAGCAGCGGACAGAAGACCCGGTGTGCGAGCAGGATATGAGCTGGTTTTTGAGAATTCTCAAAATCCAGCAGCGGACAGAAGACCTGGTGTGCGAGCAGGATATGGTGATGGTGGCTATGGTGGTGGGGGAGATGGGGAGGATGGGGAGTGCGAGGCCCTAGATTGCTCCTTCGCAGCATGGGAGGGGCCACAGGCAGTGAAGCAGATCGCACCCGACAAGGGAAGTGTTGCTGCTCATGCTGGTGCTGCTTCTTCTGGCGTCTCTGCTCCTTCCCGTCCTCCCCGTCCTCCTCCCCATACGGAGAACCCGTTAACTACCAACAGCAGCAGCGGCAGCAGTGGCGGCAGTGGCGGCAGCGGCAGCAGCGGCAGTGGCAGCAATGGCGGCACGTTCCCCATTGGTCCCTCCTTCGCCTTCAATCCCCAGCCTGTGTGCCAGCCGCGGTATCCCCACCCTGACCTTCCCACCCCAAGCACGCTCCCCATTCCAGGGCACGCGTGGGAGGAGAGTGAGAGTGAGGGCCTAGCGGAGGACGAGGACGAGGACGAGCCTTCTTCCTTCTCTTTCCAACCTGTTGCTGCCACCACCAGCGCTGTCCCCGCTGCTACTCCTGGCGGCTACTGCTGCTGCTGCTGCTGCTACTGCTGTTGTTGTTGCTACTGCTGCTGCTCCTGGCACCAGTGGAAAGGCTGCAGTAGCTGAACGTGAAATACCAGGGAGAGGCAGCGATGGCCAGGCAATATCAGTGGAAGAGAGGGGCTCGAGGGGAAGAGTCGCAGTAGGAGGGAAGTTTGCTGGCCGGGAACTGTCACCGTTCCGCTCCTCGTTTGCTGGCAGGGAGACATCGCCGTTTTACCCTTCTTCTCCTCCTGCCACCCGTCCGCCCGCTTCCCCCCGTGCTTCTGGCCTCCGACCGTCCTCGCCTCTGCATCGCTACCCTTCGTTCCCTTTGTGCCAACACTCAGAACTGGGCCTCAACCAGGAGCAGTGGCAGCAGCAGCAGATTCAGCAGCAGCAGATTCAGCAGCAGCTACAGCAGCAGCAGCAGCAGCAGCAGCAGCAGCAGCAGCAGCAGCAGCAGCAGCAGCAGCAGCAGCAGCAGCAGCAGCAGCAGCAGCAGCAGCAGCAGCAGCAGCAGCAGCAGCAGCAGCAGCAGCAGCAGCAGCAGCAGCAGCAGCAGCAGCAGCAGCAGCAGCAGCAGCAGCAGCAGCAGCAGCAGCAGCAGCAGCAGCAGCAGCAGCAGCAGCAGCAGCAGCAGCAGCAGCAGCAGCAGCAGCAGCAGCAGCAGCAGCAGCAGCAGCAGCAGCAGCAGCAGCAGCAGCAGCAGCAGCAGCAGCAGCAGCAGCAGCAGCAGCAGCAGCAGCAGCAGCAGCAGCAGCAGCAGCAGCAGCAGCAGCAGCAGCAGCAGCAGCAGCAGCAGCAGCAGCAGCAGCAGGATCAGCAGCGGTTGCTGCATCGCTATCCATCTTCTTCCATGACCCTTCTTGTTCCCTCGTCCCCCCGGCCTCGCCACTCGCAGCCAGAGTCCCTGCACCAGAGAAACATCACCCGCACCATCAGCAGCAGCGGCAGCATCAGCAGCAGCGGCAGGATGGGCAGCATGGGCAGCATCAGCGGCAGTGGCAACATCAGCAACGGTGGCAGCATCAGCGGCAGTGGCAGCATCAGCGGCATTGGCAGCAGCTTTCTCGACGAGAATGGCCTCTGCAACGGAGCGTGCTTACTGTACAACAATAAAATGGGAAGCGACCACGTTTGTGCTTTCAGCGGTGCCAGTACCACCACCACCACCACCACCACTACCAGGCCGGACAAGGGCGGTTGTTTCAGCGGCACTACCTGTTTCAGCGCAACTACCAGGCAGGAGAACCTGAGTAGTGCGAGCAGTGTGAGCAGCATGGGGGGTTGGAGCACCAACAGCAGCGCCAGCAGCACCATCAGCCGTAGCAGTTACAGCAGCGGCGGGTACAGCAGCGGAGGTTGGAGTGGGCGCATGAGTGGAGGCAGTCAGAGCAGTGGTAAGTGGGGTGAAGGGCACGCCTCGGGGCTTCCGTTGGGGCAGAGTTGCTCAGCGTATGAGTATAGCGCCCGATCGGAGTCTATGAGAATCGCTTCCCTCATTGCTGCGGCTGCTATGGGCGCTGGTAACAATCAATCTTCTCCGCGCACTCATTTGGCAGGGTGCTGCGGCTGCTATGGGCGCTGGTAACAATCAATCTTCTCCGCGCACTCAATTGGCAGGGCTGAGGAAGTGAGGCTGAACAATTGTTTTTATCGCTGTGTGTACTCTAAAAATGGTATGTTAGTGATAACAATCTTTGATGAAATTGGTGTTACAAGCAAAATTACATATAATTACATAATAATTGTTCCATTCCTCACATCCTGCTGTAGTCGTTAAATGTGAAAAAATGATTCAACCTAATATTGAGCTGTAGACATCCACTATGGAGTACAGAACAGCAATTTCTACAAAGCATGGTAACTACAGTGTGCATATATTTCTACCAACCCTTGGACACCCCCACTCACCCTCAGTATACACACAACACAGAACATCTCAACTCAATCACATACCGTCCGTAGCACCCGCAAAACCTACTCCACCCATCCATCCTCAGCACTCGGCTAACACAGAGGCCTGGATTTGGGCAGCGGCAGCTCCCCCTTACCCCCGTCTTCCACCCCCACCTTCTCCTCCCCAGCCCCCCCCTCACCCTTCCCCTCCCTCTCTCCCACCCTCTCCCCCTCCCTTTCCACCTCCCTGTCCCTCGCGCGTGCCTTGTCCTCATGGGCCTTCATACGCGCCACAGTCTCTTTGATGTCTCGCACGAGCCACTCTGCTAGCTCGCGAGAAAAGTCCTCTCGCACGCACACTCGCAGCACCGTCACATCCTGGACGTGGAAGAGGGCGATGCAAAGTTGGTGAGTAAAGGAGCTAGCAGAGTGAGCGAGACGAGCAAGGGAAACACGGAGGCAGGGACGAGACAATCGGGGTGAGGAGAACGAAAGAGGCGAGAGCACGGACGGCCATAGGTAGATTGTGATGGAAGAGGAGGCATTGTACACAAATGGAGGGGGAAAGACACGAATGCCCAAAACACATGCACGCACACTTAGCAAACTTCACCCCATGCAAAATCTCATCCCCATTCTTCTCCCCGTGCCATATTCCCCTACCATCCCCATTTCCCCCCCCCCCCTGCCCCACAGCGCACATGCATGTTAGGCGGCATCTGGTAGGAAGGCAGGATCCACCCGTGCCTCCTCAGGTCGTCAGTCAGCTCTCTCTCCGACAGATGTGCGTATGGGCTGCATGGTCAGGCACGGAGGGTACAACACAGAGGAGCACAATGGAGCGCAGAGGAGTCTAATTTGGAGGCGCCTCAAACTTTCCCCCCCGTGCCTCCTCAGGTCGTCAGTCAGGTCCCTCTCCGACAGGTGCACGGCATACGGGCTGCTGCGCGGCCAGAGCAGAAGGGTACAACACAAGATGGCATGCAGGAGGAAAGGAAACAAGACTCGAACTTCCGAATGAGGATGCCGGGTGATAAGTACATAGGAACTACCTACCCCCCCTCCCCCCCCCCCCCCCCCCCCCCCCCCCCCCTCCCTACCCATCCCAACAGCCAACCCTTCTAGCGTACGTACGAGTGCGGTCTGACGCGAAACGAGACGAGTGGAATGCCCATGTTGGCATCGGATATTATCCGGAACTTTTGAGTCGACTCAAAAGTCAGCTCGGTACAATGTGGAGCATGCCCGTTGCCTCCAGCTGCTCCGCCAGCGAATCCGCCACCTCGGCGCGATTCTCCATTTCTGAGACTAGTCTCGAAAAAGCGTACGTACGAGTGGGGCTTGAAGCGGAAGGCGACGAGGGGGATGCCCATGTTGGCAGCGGACACAATGTGGAACCACATCGGTTCAGGATGCGTAGGCACCCCCTCCCCCCCCTCCTACCCCTCCAACACGTACGAGCTTGGTTTGAAGCGGAAGGCGACGAGGGGGATGCCCATGTTGGCATCGGATACAATGTGGAACATGCCCGTTGCCTCCAGCTGCTCCCGCAGAGAATCCGCCACCTCGGCACAGTTCTCCATCACCCGCCGGTATCCCTGCACAACCGGTGATCAATAGTGTTTTTAGGGGGGATCGGATCGGTCAAGAGTAAGTCCCCACTGGCTGCTCTCACAGCGAGACCGCCAGCTCTGCACTGTTCTCCATCACCCGCCGGTATCCCTGCACATGGTTTTTTTTCAGGGCGAGTTGGGCAGGAAGAGTTGCTGGTCGGTAGTCCCCCTCTAGCAGCTCTTGACGAGAGTCCTCCTGTCTTTGCAGCCCTCTGCCAGTTGTGCTCTCCAAGGCTCTTGTAATGGAGCCTTGGAGATCCCCCCACCCACCTTGTCGGGGAATTGTGAAGCACTGGAAAGGAAACTCAAGGAAGCAGCTATCTCTTTGACTGTTGCCTGATAGCTTGGCACAAGGGGGTCCAGAGATGACAGGTTGGTCAAACGAGAATGCATGCGCAGAATGCATGAGCGCAGGCGAGAAGGGTTGGTGGTGCGATACCTTGAAGCCGAGGCGAAGGAACTGGTAGTACTGCCCGACTATCTGCGCCGCTCCTGACTCACGCGGCGTGGCGTGGCGTGGCGTGGGTTGACGGGTTGACGTGTTGTTGGCATGGATGGTGCGTGAGTGCGAGAAACACAGAGAACGGGCGAAAACACACGGATGAGGGGTTGATGAGCCAGGAAAAGCAACAGGGCTGTCCCTTCTGTTGCTGATCCAGCATTAAGGACTTGTTCACTCTTCTCCCCTCCCCTCACCACTGCCTCTCACACATCTACAACCGCCGTCACCCACCTACAATTCCCCCACCCCTCCTCACCCCCCCCCCCCACACCATAACACCCCCAACGCCCCAAGCAGCACCTCGCGAGAAGTTGAGCGTGAAGGTGGGCTGGTCCTCCCCCAGGTAGTCATGGTGCCAGACAATGCATCACCCATATACACCCCCCACGCCCACCTTCCTCCCCCCGATCCCCATCCCCATCCCCACCCCCACCCCCACCACCCACCACCCACCACCCACCACCCAACCCCACCCCACCCCCACGCCCTGAACCAGCACCTCGCGAGAAGTTGAGCGTGAAGGTGGGCTGGTCCTCGCCCAGGTAGTCCACGTGGTAAATCAGCTCCTGCGGCAGGCAGCGCTCATTTCTGAACAGCAGCCACGCGATGCCCGGGTACGTGAGCCCGTACTTGTGCCCGCTCGCACTGATGGACAGGACGGAGGGCAGGCGGAAGTCCCAGGCCAGGGAGGGGTAGAGGAACGGGGCCACGAAGCCGCCGCTCGCTGCGTCCACGTGGATGGGAACCTGCCAGCTGGAACAGGGGGAAGGGAAAGGGGAGGGAGGGGGAGGGGGGGACTTTTGTGACGCATCAGAAGGCAAAGCTGACGCTAGCCAGCTGAAGGGGGAATGGGGCGATGGAAAGAGGCGACAAGGGGAAGAGTGGGAGAGAGGGGGGGGATCAGGGGTGCAATAGTTGAAAGGGTTGGGAGTGCCTCCGGAGTAGGGGAAGCAGGGGAGGAGAGGAAAACTTGTCACAAATTGTATAACGTGACTTTTCCTCATGTCGCAGGTTGTCATTCATGTCACAAACGTGAATTTTCACGAGTGACTCATGATTACCCACTTCGCCTTCCCCACTCTCCACCCACCCGTGAAGCAGATCCAGCGCCCACAGCCCCTCGTCCAGCCCCTTCACGTCCTCAAAGTGCCCGTGTAGGTGCGGCCCAGAATAGGCACCACGCCAATGGTCCGCTCATCCCCCATCCCCACCCTCCACCCACCCGTGTGGCAAATCCAGAGCCCGGAGCCCCTCGTCAAGTCCAGGCGCAGGTCGAACAACCCAGCACCACCCAGCACTCACCCGTGTGGCAAATCCAGAGCCCGGAGCCCCTCGTCAAGTCCAGGCGCAGGTCGAACAACCCAGCACCACCCAGCACCACCCAGCACTCACCCGTGTGGCAAATCCAGAGCCCGGAGCCCCTCGTCCAGCCCCTTGACATCCTCAAAGTGCCCCGTGTAGGTGCTCCCCAGAATGGGCACCACGCCAATGGTCCTCTCGTCGCACAGCTTCACCGCCTCGTCCACCCGCAGGCAGGGGCACTCGGGTGTGACGGGCACCATGCGCAGGTCCACGTCAAAGTAATTGGCGAATTTTTCGACTACCACATGTGTGTTGGCACCCACCACCAGGTTGGGGCTGTCGGTTGTGAGGCCCTTGTCTTTGCGAAACTTTGCCCACCGCCGCTTCATTGCCAGGCCTGAGGGTGCGGAGAGGGGAGAAGGGGAGGAGGAGGGGGAGACGTGGGAAAGGGGAGAGAGGAGGGGAGGCGGAGGGACAGTGAAGCGGCGCACGAGTACCGAAGCAGCAGAGGGCGAGGTGGAGAGATGAAGGAGCGCGGTGGCACACCTGCAAGGCTTGGAAGGGGCAGGGAACAACAAACAAGCACGCAGCATCACACATGGCATGGCATCCCACCAACCCACCACCCCTCTCTCCTCCCCCGTCCTCCTCCCCCTCCCTCTTCCCCACCCCAACACAAAATGCATCCCACGGCACCGCATGGAACCGCACGGCATGGCGAATCACCTGCGAGCATGATGGCCTCGCTGCTGCCGATGGTGGCCGTGCCCACGGCCGTCTGCCCCTCGGTCAGCGGCGCGTGATACAGCCTCGCCAGCATGTTCAAACACAGCTCCTGCCACCCGGCAGGCCAGGGGGAAGGGCGAGGGGAGAGGGAGGGGAAAAAGGGGGAAGAGATGTGGTGCAAGAGACACAGCAGTGGGGAGGGGAAAGGTAGGAGAGGGGGAGAGGAAGACAGCAAGGATGGACGATGTCAACCCGCAATCGTGCCGCAAATCAGGGCCCCCTCCCCCACCTCCCCACCCCCCGTCGTCTACCCCTTCCCCCCCCCCTGTTCCAGCCCTTGCAACCCTACCCCTCTTCCCGACCTCTCCCCTCCCTCTTCCCTTTTCCCCCCTCGCCCCCCATCCCTTAGGCACATGGATGTGAGCGCAGGCGGGGTACTCGGCGAGGTCGATGGCGTTCTTGTTGAGCGAGGCAGTCAACCCAAAGATGATCCCTCAATACCCCCGCCCTCCTCGCCCCCTCCCCCTCTCCCCTTCCCGCCCTCAACCTGCTCCCCCCCCCCACCCTCCCACCTGGATGTGCGCGCAGGCGGGGTACTCGGCGAGATCAATAGCATTCTTGTTGAGCGAGGCGGTCATGAGGCGCTCGGCGTCGGGCTCCATCCACGTCGTCACGAACGACGCCAGGTTGAGGCGTGGCTTGCCGTCCATCTCCAGCATGTCCGCCACGATCTGATACGCCACCTCGCGCGGCATCTCGTCCGAGGGGAACACGTGCCTGGCGGGGGAAGGGGGGGGCGGGGGAAGGGGGGCGTGGGGAGGTGGGGGAAGAGGGGAAAAGCGCGGAAAGTAGCGAAAAGGCAGGATAATCTGAATCCTTATTGGTGGTTCGACTTCGTGAGGCATGAGAGAAATTCATGTGCGCGTGCGCGAGCGAGAGCAAGAGCGAGGGCGAGAGCGGCCCCGGTTCAAGGTTTAAGAGTACCGTTTGACGGGTTGCTGCATGTAACGGTTGGCGAAGACGGGCTCCAGCACCGCGTCCTCCTTGTTGCCATCCTCCGACGTCGTGCGCGACAGCACCATGATGGCGACAAGGACGCACGCGGCGACGAAACGCGACAATGACGATCACGATTCTGCTAACGGTGACGACGACGGACGTCGGACGGAGCCGGTTTGTTCGACGCGAATCGGAGGGAGAGTAGCAACGTGGAGGGCACTCGCTCGAAGCAGGCAGGTATCTCAGAAACACGCACTAAGGCTGCTCGCTTTCAGGGGGCGCCTTTTAATTCGACTCTGGAGCAGATACCTCAAAAGGTATCTCAGAAGCAACTGCCATACAGAGACGCGCTCGCTATCAGGGGTTGCGATCCACGGAGGGTATGGCAGGTCTGTGTGCGCGAGGGGACTCCCCTTCTCGGAGAAGGGCGAGGCGCGCAAGGCCGAGATGAGATGGCGGAGCGCGCGGAGAGACAAAAATTTGCGGTGCGTAGAGTAGCGAGAGAGGCCATGACTTCCTTGCATGGCACCCCGCACATGTCCCGATGTTGTAAGGGATGAAGCGGGCTCATTCTAGTGACGCGACGACCAACAAACACGTTAACGTTTTGTAGTCTGCCCGGCGTGACTTCCTCCCGGCAGACAAGGAGGCGCCGCGTGGCGGCGCGAGGGGCGTCGCATGGGCTTTGCGACGCAGTGCCGTGCATGGCGCTGCTGCCAGCAGGAGTTCGGCGCGCGGACGCAGTTGAGCCACACGCTGGACAAACCTGTCAATGCGCCATGGAAATTCAGCTCATCGGTTCAGGAGGGATGCGCATTGAAGGGATGGATGGATGGAACTCGCATTGGTTAGGAAGATTTGGGTTTGGAGCAAACACGTAAATCGGTTGTGTAAGGTGAAGTCGTATTCCGTAAGCTTTTGGATGGTCTGGTTGGGTGAAGTCATGAAACAATTCCTGCAAGAGCAGCTTCGTTAAGAGATCAACCATGAAAAACGAAAATTATTCGCGATATACGGAACAGTGCCCATAACTCCTTTTTGCGGGAGTGGAGCTACTCCCTCACAACCACAACAATGCACTGGGATGTGCCTCGCCTTCACACCGCTACCAGTTCGCCACCCGCATTTCCCGCCGAGCCCCAGCCTCCAGACTTCTTAGCCAAGCCTAAACAGTCAGTTTCTAAACTTCGGCGAGCTCGTCGAATCCACCAATGCCGCGAGTATGCATTTTCGTCTCCGCGACGCACAGCACCAGTTGCGCGTGGCCTGCCGTGGTCCCCGAGGCGCCAGGACGGGCCTCGCATGCGTGCTTACGTCTCCTGCCGTCACAGGCCTATCATGGCAACTGCACGCCGCGCGTTTCAAACCACCGCTGTCCCTCGTCCAATGGCAGGGAGACACGTTGCGTACGGTGTGAGCTTCGGCCAGCAGCAGCAGCAGCAGCAGCAGCTTCAGTGGCGGTGACGGCGGCAGGGGCAGAGGCGGCAACGGCGGCGGCGGCGGCGGCGGCGGCGGCGGCGGCGGTGGCGGCAGCGTCGGAGCAAGCGCGACATCCAGGGATGCGACAAGCGCAGCCGCAGCCCCAAACACGCCACGCCCACGTGGCGGCGCACCGCCTTCTGCGCCGACGATCGCGGACATCGAGGCAGCGGCAGCGGCGCGCGGCGTGCGACTAGAGATCGAGACGACCGGTCCGTTCTTCACCATCTCCGCTTACGACGCCACCGGCGCGTTCGACGACCGCCGCGACGGCGTGCGCGAGGGGCAGGGGGGCGCGCGGACGAGCGCGGGGAGAGATGCGCGCGGAGGCAAGCCGCGGTTGCTGGGAAGAGCGCAGGGTTGCATCCGGCCGTTGCTGTGGGGCTCTAACGGCCGTTCTGGCAGCAACAGCAGCAGCAGCGATAGTGCCAGTAGCTGCAGCAGCGGTAGCAGCAGCAGCGGTAGCAGCAGCAGCGGTAGCAGCGGCGGGAGCAGCGGCGGGGGCAGCGCGGGGTTGTTCCCCCCGCCGCTGTTGCACCTGGACAGCGTGCGCATGGCGCGCATAGACGACGCGCGGCAGCGCGGCGTGTTCGGCGCGGCGCTGCTGATCGGCGCGCTGGTGTTCCGATGGGCCCTGGACACCCATGGGTGCCGCGTGGCTCAGCTGCTCGCCATCGACGACACTGACGAGTACCACGCTAAGGTAAAGTGGAGGAGCAGGAGGAGGGGGGGGAGGAAGGGAAGGGGGGGGAGGAGGGGAGGAGGAAGGGGAGGGGTAGGGGGATGCTGGTGCAAGTGGTGTCGGTACTGGTGGTTCTGATGCTGGTGGTGGTGGTGGTGGTGGTTGTATGGAGGTATGAGATCACTGGCTGTGCAACTGGTTGTGAGGCCGTATGGAAACAGGGCACCTCACACAAGGAGGAAAGAGGGCAACATTGCCCCCCTGCTGGCCCATCTCACATCAAACCCTCACCTCCTCCACTTCTCTCTACCAACCACCCTCAACCCAACCCCTCTCCCTCTCACCAGACCCAACCCTCCCGCCATCACCACCACCCCTTCCCTACTCCCAACACGCCTCAACCCCCGTTTTCTCCCCTCCCGCCCCCTTCCCTCCGTTTCCCCTCTCTCCCTCCCCTCTTACCCCCCACTCTGTGACACTTCCCCACTCCCTCTCCCTGTGTGTGCCCTCCATGATAGGGGGAGCCTCTGGTGATGTACCGCACTAGGTATTCCCGGCTGCGCATGCGCGCGGTTCTTAGGTGCCTACGAAGTACAAATCCTTCTCACACGCACTGTGGCACTGTCCCCCCTTTCCCTGCATCCCGTATGGCAGCTGGTGAAGTACTACTCGCGGCTGGGCATGCGGGCGGTGAGGGTGGTGGAGGGGGGGTCGCTGGGGGACGTGCCGCACATGCTGGTGTGGGGGGGCGCCGGCACGCTCATGGAGGGCGAGATACTGCCGCTGCTCACCCGATGGGCCAGGGTCTTCCCCCCCGCTGCTGCTGCTGCTGCTGCTGCTGCTGCTGCGCCTGCTGCTACTATTGCTGCTGCGACTGGGAGTGATGTTTCATATGACTGACTGCTGGTGTACAGTGCTGGGTGGTGGGACACTCACTCACATCTCCGTGACATCTCATGCCATGTATCCTAAGAGTACTGTAGTATCCACTGTGCTTGAGTGCTTTTTGGTCTAACAGGTTGCTGCTTTCCTGGATTGCCATTGTGTTTATGCCAGTGACTACTTACTGGCTTACTGTAAGCGCACAAGCCATCTTATGCAGTACAAGTGTTCAGGCTGCCTGCAAGAGCCCTGCCTGGACTTGGGTTGGGGGCAGTACACTAGTAATGCACCATAGCTATCTTACTAAACTATTCCGATTGTATACTCCGTCTCAGATTGCGCACCAGTGCACACTCCACACAACTCCATTAACGAATCGTTCTGGCTGGGTACAGTATCACCCGCCCACAAACACAACAGCAGCGAACTGTGTTATCAAGTGAACGCGTCCAAGCTCATGCACCAACTGCACGCCCGCACCGCACGCACTCAAGCTAAGCCATCCACTCATCCTCCTCTGCCTCCAATCCCTCCTCCTCCCCCCAGCTCTCCGCCGCGAAATACGGCGCCAGCAGCCGCTGCACCTCCTCCTTCCTCGCCCTCACCACACCCTCCCACCCCTCTTCTCCACCCTCATCCTCCCCCCCCTCCCCATCCCCATCCTCCTCCCCCTCTCCCACCTCGCACGCGTGCAGCAGCGCGGTCCTGACGCCCTTATCCGGCCGCAAACCCGCCTCTTCCACCATCTCCTTGAACGCAGCAACCGCACCGTCGAAATCCCCGCAGTCCCCATGAGCGGAAATAAGTACCGAGTACGACACGACCGTCGGGTCTATCCCTGCTTCTAGCATCCTCTCAAACGTGCTCACCACCTTGCTCAGGTCCCCCTCGCGCCGGTACCCGTTCATGACTATGTTGAACGTGCTCGCGCTCGGACTCACCCTCCCCCCGTCGCCAAACTCCACCCCCCACCGCCCCCCGGCCTTCCCCCGCGCTGCTGCCCCCGTAGCCGCCCCCGCACCCGCCCCGGCCTCTCCCCACTCCCCCCCCGCCCCAGACCACTCCTTCCCGAGTAGCGTGTCCCCTTGCCCTTCCTGCACGCTTCTTCCTCCTGCTCCTCCTCCTCCTCCTCCTCCTCCTCCTCCTCCTCCTCCTCCTCCTCCTCCTCCTCCTCCTCCTCCTCCTCCTCCTCCTCCTGCTGCTGCTGCTGCTGCTGGTGGTGCGCCTGGGAGGGGAGCCTCGCCGCGGTCCTGTGCGTCCCACCACATCTGGCGCAGCAGCTGCTCTGCTCGCTCCATGCTGCCCGCTCGGGCGTGCGCCGCCAGCAGCGCGTTGAACGTTGCCTCTGATGGCAAGTTGCTGGTGTGGTGGGAGGGTAGAGAAGGGGAACAGACAAGGAGGGGAAGCTCCTGAGTTGACTCAAAAGCACATCTGGCGCAGCAACTGCTCTGCTCGCTCCATGCTGCCCGCTCGGGCGTGTGCTGCCAGCAGTGCGTTGAACGTTGCCTCTGATGGCAGGTTGCTGGGAGAAAAGGAGCAGGGAGAGGGAGGAAAGAGGGGAAGTGGAGGAGAGGCAGGGGGAGGACTGACAGGCAGGGTGCGCGCGTGGGGCAATGGGAGCAGTGGCGGGGTGCGAGTGATGCGAGAGAAAATGCAGCTGTGAGAGAAAAGGAGAAACAAGCTGAGCTGTTTACCGCAAGCCACACATGCCGCCACGGATCGCAACCATGAGTTTGTTGCCATCAGCCCTCACATGCGAGCATTGTTCTTGCGTGCGTGCCTGCATCCGTGTGGGTATTTGGGTAAGTGTGTGTGTGTGCCTGCCTGCCTGCCTGCCTGCCTTCCTGCCTGCCAGCAGTGCAGTGAGTCCAGTGCAAAGCATGTGTGTGAGCGTACCGGTTGCGTTTCATCTCCTTGAATAGGAACTCCGCATTGTCCACGTCGCCTGCGCGCCCGTAAGCATCTATCAGCGCCGTGTACGATATGGCCGTGGGGCTGCACGCACCCACCCACCAAACCACACACAGAAACCGTGACACGCAAGATTGGGCAGGGTTGGTCGGGGTTGGGTGTGGTTGGGTTTGGAGGGGAAAGCGGGGTAACAAGAAGAGGAGTGGTATGAACGTGAAAGCGTTAGCACAAGGGGGTCATGATCGGAGGTGTGAAACATATCACGCCCTCTCAATCAAGATACATGAAACTCAAAGAATGAACCATACGCAAGCACATGCCTGCCACCCAGAGCACCCAGAGCAGCACATGCCTGGCACACGACTGCTCATGTATTCACATGCCTCCTCATTCCCCTACACTTCAACCGCCCCGAGCAGCAACCCCAGAGCAGCAGCAGTAAGAGCATACCGGATGCGGCACATGACCATGTCGCGGAACACGGCCTGCGCCTCCTCCGCCCGGCCCGCACGCCCATACGCGCTCATCAGCGCCGTGTACGTCACCACATCCGGCCGCATTCCCGCCGCTTGCATCTGCTCTTGCTCCACGAGCGGGAAGAGGGGAGGAAAGGGGTGGAGGGCGTATGGGGTTGGTGGGTTGGGGGACCGGGTGGTTCTTGATTCGTGAGGCAGGACTACAACACCCTTCCCCCGTGTGAGGCTAAACCACTTCCCCTCTCCCTCCTCCATCCCCCGTCCCTCGTTCCCCTCCATGCACCTGTTTAAGAACAGCCTCTGCCTCGCGGCTGCGCGCCTTGCGTGCGAACATGGCCATGAGCGTGTTGAACGTGGCGGGCGACGCTGTTTGAGCCAAGCCGACTCAAAACACACAGACACTGTCTGAGACCGCACCTGTTTGAGCACAGCCTCTGCTTCACGGCTGCGCGCCTCGCGTGCGAACATGGCCATGAGCGTGTTGAACGTGGCGGGCGAGGGCGCCACGCCCAGCGCCTTCATGCGCCGGTACGCGCGCGACGCGTCCTCTGCTCGCCGCGCGCGCGCGTAGCAGTCTATCACCACGTTGAACATGCGCTCGTCCACCCTCACCACTTCCCCCGCCTCCACCCCCGCCCCCGCCTCCGCTGCTGCTGCTGCTGCTGGCGCTGCTGCTGGCGCTGCTGCTGTTTCCTCCCTCGCGCCCTCGTTCTCTCCTATACCCCCCTCCTCCGCCTGCCCATCCACGTGCCCCTGTCCGCTGCGCTGCAGCAGCTCCTCAAATATGCGCTCCACGTCCTCCACCCGCCCCGCCTGGCGGGAAGCGCGGAGAGAGGGGGAAAGGAGAGGAACAGGGAGAAGGGATGGGGGAGCGGGAAGGGGGAAGGGGGGAGGGGCAGGGAGGGGTAGGGGGGAGGAAAAAAAGGAGTGGGGAGAGTGAGAGGTAGGTAAAATCCAGGTTGAAAGGTGCTGTGTGCGCTATGCTGTGTATCGCCATGCCCTCTACCTGCCCGTGCATGGATGCCATGCTTCTCGCCCTCTGCAACGCGTGCTCGCACCGCACCTCACTCGCCACACCACACTTGAGAAGAAAACGGAGAAACGGCCAGCAACTGCTGCTACGCCACAACCAGCAGCTGCCGCCCCATCTGCATAAACCCCGTCCCCCAACCCCTCCTCCCACATCCCATGGCCACACCTCCCACTCCTTCCTCCTCTCGTCTCGCCGCCCCGCTCTTGTCCCTCCGCGGCTCTCTTTCCCCGTTCTCCTTCCCACCGTTCACCGCAAAGCCCTTGAAGAGGCAACGGTACAGTTTTTTGAAGCAAAAAGGAAAGAACCTGTTACCGTTCCCCTGCTCCCCCTCACCCTACACCCCCCCCCTTCCCCCCCCTCCTCCCCCCCCTCCCACCCCTACCCCCCCCGCGCTCACCGCGGCGTAGCCCTTGAGCAGGCACTGGTACGTGAGCGCGGAGGGCGCGGGGCCCTTGCTTTCCATGCGCCGCACCACAGCTTCCGCCTGCTCTAGCTGCCCGTTGCGCGCGTATGCCTCCACCATCCCCGTCATCACCACCGTATTAGGCTCCATGCGCCTCCCCGCGCCCTTCCCTTCCGCCGCCCCGCTCTTCCCCGCGCCCGCTTCCGCGGCCCCTTCCGCCTCCGCGGGCTCGTTCATCAGGTCCCGCAGCGCCTGCTCCGCGCGCGGGAGTTGGTGGCAGCGCGCGGCGGCGGTGATGAGCATGGCGTAGTCGCGCTCCGACATGCGCCACCACCCCGACGCGCGCTGCTCGGGGGCCTGCAGCCAATCGAAGAGCTGCGGGAGGCACGGGGAGAGAGGCGTGTGAGGAGACGCGGGGAGGAGACGCTCGAGGCGGGGCGCGTGGGGGGAGATGCGTGGGGAAGGGGGAGGTGGGGGAAGGTGGGGGGGGGAGGGAGGGGGAGGGGGAGGGGGGGACACGTGAAAAGACGCGTGTGGGGAGAGGCGCTTGAGAAAAGGACCATTAGAAAAAAAAACACGGAGAGGGTTTGAGAACAAAAGGGGAGAGGGTTTTACAGCAAAAGCTTCAACCCTAGCCCAGGAGGGTTTAGCGCCTCACCTCAACGACCGCGTGCCACATGCGCAGCTGATGCAGGCGCACCAGCGCCCCCACCACATCCGTGCGCTGCATCCACCCCGCCTTGCGCGCATCCGCCATGATCTCCGCCACCAGGCGGCCGTCCGCCGCCGCGCCCACCCTCCGCCGCTTCCCCGCTGCAAGCAGCTCCGACATAAGCACCTCCCACCGCTTTTGCGACACGCTCTTAGGTTGCACGTTCTCGCCGTCTCGCCGCATCGGAGACCATTTGAGCCGGCCCGCGCCGACCTTCACCTTTTTCGCGAACGCCGCCGACACCACCACCGACGCGCGGCATTTCCCGGTTCGCGCGCCCCCGGGCACCGCGAAGCCCGGGGAGCCGGTGACGCCGATCGGCCGCGACGCGTGCTTGTGCGCTGAGACTGATCCGCGCGGTTCTAGCCGTCGCGCGGAGATCCCTAGGCGGCCCGTGAGGAAGGCGGAATCGCTGGCTGCAACGCGTGAATCGGGGTTGGCGGTGCTCGCTGTGAATGTGCGCTGGCGGGGCGCCGCGGGTGACAGAGCCCACGGCGGCACTATCGCGCGGGTTATCCTAGCAGCTGCCATGGCGAGGTGTGAATGTGTAGGTGAGCGAGGAAACCGGAGGTGAGGCAAGACCTCTGAGGTAAGAGTGAGGGACGGAGGTCGAGGTGGGGTTTCCGTTGTGTGTCCCAGAAAATAAGCACTAGGCCAGAGCAGGGGAAGAATTCGAGCAGAGCGAGAAGCGGACACACGATGGCTGATGAGGATATGCGCGCTCTGGCTGGCGATATAAGCTGCCTCGATAACTCCAGTACACGACTTCCCAGAACGGATAGTCCGGCTCTAGGTCTCGCGCTACCACGCCGCTTTTTCTCCGTGGGCCAAATTTACAACTTATGCTTTTTGTACAACTTCATTGATAATCAAATGAAATCACCCTACTCCACATTACATCTACCTACTAGAGCGTTCCAGTCCTAAAATCTCCTGATCACGGCCCCAGCTGCCACGCCACGCCCTGCTCTTCACGTGCGTGGCCTCTGCTCTGCTCCACCGACTCTCTCAATGAATGGCTACTTCCAAAATCCTCTACTTCGTCTCCATCCACTCACCGTACCTCAATAATGTTTCCACGAAATAAATTGCTGTCCTATCCACCTCCATTACCCCGCCTCTCCAAGGAACAAGTTTTTAAACCCATGAATAACCCCACCTTGCCTCTGCCTTTCTTCCATGGGCATTACACTCCTGCTACTGTGTCTCCGACATTCGTTTCCTCCCCATTTACTTTCCCCCGTGAATTCCCGCCCGCCCTCAAGCCACCACCACTGGAGTGAGAAGGACCTCTCGCCGCTGCTACCCCACCCCACCACCACCATGCTGCCCTCCTCTTCCACTCCTTCCAAAACCAGTGGCACCTGCTGGAACACCTGAAGCATCTATACCCCTCCCTGCTGCTGTGTCTGCTGCTCCTCTAACGGCCGCTGCTCCAGTAACAACTGCTGCAGCTGCCCCTGCATCGGCGGCTGGTGCTGCTGCAGTGGGTGCTGCAGCGTGGCTTTGCAGGCGGTGTGCGGTGTACGAGAGAACGGCTGAGGCTGTGTGGCACGGGATCACAAGGGCAAGGCAAGACAGAAGGACGCTGGTTCAGAACGGCAAGGGAGCCCCACCAGCTTCAGCACAGGACATCCAAGCCGACAATCCAATGAATAAACCCAGACGCACACGAGCAGCAAGCAAGCAACAGCGGGAATGCAACAGGGAGCCCGGGGGGCCGGCAGAGACATAAGCAAAGACATAACAGAGGGTATGAGGAGGACACGGATGTAGCGGTGCAGAGCAGCAGTGCAGCAGACGGACCTATTTGTCTGAGCTGGCATGGGTCCAAGAGGCCTATGAGCGCGGAGGCTGCTCGGGAGTCCATGCAGCCCAGTAGCGCCACTTGCTCCGACGCCACCTGCTGTATGCCCGTCAGCAGCCGCTGCTCAATCATACACACGCACACAGCGCGCGTGCACATGAACACGCCACGGGCACACGGGGTGACAGTGAAGACGATGGTGGGGGAAGAGAACATGGGGCGCTTGAGTGAGAGGAAAGCATGAGAACGCCAGCACACGGGCAGGAGGAGGGGACAACTCACCAAAACAAAAACGAAAAAAACCCAGTGAAAGAAGCCCATGAGAGAAACCCAGAAGACTAACAAGAAACCGAGGCGAAAGGCAAGACCATGCACAGCAAGCAGAGCTCACCACGTGGTCTCTGCTCTCCCGCGTGGCCCACTCCCACTCCTCGCGAGTCTCCACCATTTTCTCCGCCAGCACCTCTCGCTTCGTCCGCACCGCGCCCATGCCATTCTCCCCGCCACTGTGCACCTGGTCCCAGTGCCTCTCGCATTTCAGCCACGTCTGTGCCAGCACCGGCACACCCCACGGGCACCCAGGCGCGTTGCACACCACCTCGTCTGCTGTCACTGGCACCGGGGCGAACATACGAGCCTCCTCCGCTGCTGTGCCCAGCCCCACCGCCCGCCCCGTGCCGCCATACCACATGCCTCCGCTCTCCTGCCCTGCTGCTGGTGCTTCTCCTGCTGCTGCCTGTGCTTGATTCTTTTGCAAGGACGGAAAGGTCTGTTCCCGCTCGCCCTTGCTCCTCCGCCCTCCCCGTCCCTGCCCTTTCCGCCCCGATCCCATCCGCCCCCCGCCTCCCCCCGCGCCTGTTCCCCCTCCCCCGCCGCCACCTGCCAACACCAGTGATAACGATCCGAGCGGCCATCCCGCGTCCTCGCCGCGCCCCTGCGCGTCCCGCGCGCGGAGCAGCGCGAGCTGGCGCTGCTGCTGCAGCATGCGCGAGAGGGGAATCGCGAGCTGGCGGCGCTCGCCGCCCTCCATGGACCGGAAGTACGTCGGCAGCTCGCTGTACCGCCCCGACGGCCCGCGCGACGCGAACTGGCACTCCAGGTCGCGCGTCAGCAGCCGCCGCCGCGACGCCACCGCCGGGTGCGCGAGCTGCCCGTGCCACGCCACCCACCACGGCACCCCCCCTCCTCCTCCCCCGCCGCCGCCGCCGCCACCGCTGCCGGCAGCGCTCCCGCGTCTGGCGCCACTGCCCTGAGTGCCTGAGCGGGTTCTGTATCCGGGTTGACTTCTTCTGGTGCCAGCACCACTCCTACCAGTCTGCCCCATTGATGCACCCTCCCCTTCCCGATTTCCCCCCCTCTCCCTCCTCTCCTCCGCTTCCCCTTGCACATCATCTCCTCCTTCCCCGGCTCCATGCTGCTCCTCCTCACTCTCCTCCTCACTCTCCTCCTCACTCTCCTCCTCACTCTCCTCCACACTCTCCTCCTCACTCTCCTCCTCACTCTCCTGCCCTCCTCCCTCGTTACCCTCCCCCTTCTCCCTCTCCTCGGCTTCCTCCTCCTCCCCCTCCTCCTCGTCCTCATCCCGCCAATCATCATCATCCAATTCCTCTTCATCCCCCGCCTCTTCGTCGCTCTCCCACGACCCCAGCATGCGCCCCTGCTCCTCCTCCTCCTGCCTCGCCATCGCCTGGCACCACGCCTCAACGCACTCCACCCCTCTCGCCTCCGCGGGATAATCGCTCAGAAACTCCAAGAACCGCCACATGCGCAGCCGCCGCCGGAAATAACACAGCGAGCCGAACTGCTTTTGAGTCGACTCAGAATTAGCCTGTCCGCCGGCCCCGTGCCGCTCCGCGACCCACTCCAGCATCTCCTGCGGCCGGTGCCGAAGCGCGGCCGGCAGTCTCCGCTCTGTCCGCTTCAGCTCCGCCAGCCACCGCCGCGCGTCTTCCTCCACCATGCCTGCGCGCCGAGCCTCGCGCGGGTTTAGAAGAACCAGCTGCAATTCGTTCGCAGGAGAGGGAGTCGCTTCCAGCGGGTCAGCCACCTTAACCAAGCCCCAATTCGCGCTATAATCGTGCTCCGTTTCGCTCCTAAGCTCCGACTGCTCGTTCATAGCAGACGCAATTATGGCGCCGTCTCTGCCTCCTTTGACGTTCCCGTCGCCCCCTTCCCTTCCCCTTCCCCCACCCCCTTCCCCTCCCCCTCCCCCTCCCCCTCCCCCTTCTTCTCCCGCGCCTCCCGCCCGGTCCTCCCCGCCGCTGCCGGGCCACAGTCTCCGCACAATGCTGTCTCTTCTGTTGCTGCCCTCCGAGTTTCCTTCCTGCTGCCCGTCCAGTCGTCGTCGCTTCCTCGCGCCTTCGTTAAGCCCCTCCCCGCTACCCTCCTCCGCCGCACCTCCCGCACCTCTTTCGACCTCCCCCCCGTCAACCATGTCCACGTCAGCCAAGCATACGGCGTCGTCGCCCATCGTGCTGCCCGCGTCTTCGCCTAAGCTCCTCGCGATCAGCGTGCGCCTGCCGCTGCTATCGCGCTCCTGCTGCAGCCATCGCTTCATGGCGGACGATCCGGACGCGCCGGCGGAAGAGGGGGCTAGCGCGCTGCCAGGGGGAGCGAACGGGCGAGACGCATTTCGCTTCTGTCGGGAGCGCAGCACGCCCATTTCGCTGCGTAGAAGCGAGCGCTGACGAGCAGCCTTGAGGCGGTCCGTGGGAGTGGATTTTGGCGGGACGGTCGCTCGGGCCTTGTTAGGCCTCCCAGGTGTGAAAGGGTGCGACATGGCTGGGCTAAGCGATGGGAGAAATGGCGATCGTAAGGGTTAGGGTTCCATATGAGGAGAGGTTTGGGGGAAGTGCGAGGTTGTGGGGTTTTGTTTTGATGGCTTGCGGGGAAGGCAGGCCGATGCATGCTATGATGATACTGCGTTTAGGTTGGTTCTCGTAACGAGTTCATGTCAATCTGATACAATTGCTCCTCTGAGGATGAATCAATTGTGCAATAATGAAATCACCAGAAGCAAGTGTGCGATATGGACATCAATTGGTTCCCAACTACCATACTGGCTTTCTTTGTCAACTCGTGAAGCTGTATACAGAGTAAGCGTCACAGGTATAGTAGCAACTGTCAGAAAACTAAAAAGAGACCCCTGTACTAAAAATGACATGTCTCCGCTGAGTGGTGTCTAGTGTGAGTGTCATGCTAAAACTGCATCTCGATTACCCGTTACATGTTGTGCAATCCACCCAAGCCCTTCAAACAGGCCCTCCCCTGTTAGTGCACAGCATGCCTGAATATGCCAGTCGTGGTTCTTGATGAGATGAAGAGCCAGAGCTTCACTTATTTCTGCTGGAGTCATGGCCTCCTTCAGGTCCTGCTTGTTGGCAAAGACGAGAATGACTGCGTGAGCTAGATCTTCGTGTCCCAGCAAGCGAAACAGCTCATCCTTGGTCACGCCGATGCGGCCTCGGTCTGTAGAGTCAACTACCATCACCACTGCGTGTGTTCCTCTGTAATAAGTGGCCCAAGATGGTCGTAGTCGCTCTTGCCCACCTAGATCCCATACCTGCCAAAACAAAGTTGTAGGAAATGTACAGAAGGACGATGGAAAACCCAAACTCAGACGAAATTGGTTACCCTAGGTACCTACGTGATAAGGATATGATGGCTTTCTGAGCATAACGCGAAAACAAGGCATGGAGACGCATGACAGGCAACTTACTGTAACGGGTAGGGACTTTGTGACGCTTTGTACGAGACAAACAAACAATTATCATAATGATAAGTGGAGAGGGAAGCACTCGAAATAACTGCAGGTCTCGGTAATCATCAAAGACGGTAGCATCAAAGAAAGGTTGCGTGAAACAAGTGCGTTCATGCGAATGCGTGCATCTCGCGCAGCCCTAGTTTCCAGAAATCACACGGCGAAAGTCAGGCAAGAATGAAGAGAGCCTAGCTGCGTAATGAGTTCGGCTCACATCACGCAACCCTAATTGCGAAACACATACAACGGACGTCACGCGGCCCTGATTCCCAGGTACATTCGACATTACTTTCAGCTGCAACGACAAAAATCCATACCAGGCTACGCAGGTCCGAGGGACTATCCGATGTCCCACCAGCCACCCAAGCGGACCCGAAACCAATGGCAACTGTGTTGATCCACGAGCGGATTAGCGGGTGGTACAACATACCTCGAATCGAATGTTTTTATAAACGAGTTCCTCCACGTTACTCCCGACCGTAGGTTGTGTCACCACGACTTCGCCCAGATGTAGCTTGTACAGCGTCGTCGTCTTACCAGCGTTGTCCAATCCCACGACAACAATCTTATACTCCTTCGCCGGAAACATGAGGAACCAGAGTCTGGATATTAGAGCTCCCATGATGCCTGAGCCTCAAAAAATAGTCTACAGTGAACAAGACGAATGAGGCAAGGCAAGGCAACACCACGCGGTCCAATCTACTAATTCGCGACCACTTCGCAAAATTCAACACGAAATGGATCAAAAGACGCCACTACCGGCAGCTCGTATGGCGGGTATGTATGGAAACAGATTTCAGGCTAGCGTGCTGGCAAGGCTCGCAAGCTCTGGTTGCATGAGTGTTGATGAGTCCAGAGTTCGATCCAGCGACGCAGAGAGGTGTTGGTTGGGGTAGACAGGACAGGACGAAGAGAGGACGGAGCAGCAAGGAAATACAATCAGACCGAACCTGCGTCACACCGAGCCTTGCGACACGGGCGGATAGACAGACACCGTTCCACGTCCTCCACCTTCCGCGAGTTCCAAAGCCCACCCACTGCACTGAACACAAGGGGCGGATAATCACCAAATACTTAAATACACTACAATATGTCTAAGAATATGGGTTTAATAAAGAACGTATTCACGTTTGCGGTGGAGGCAACAATTGCGGTGGAGGCAACAACTACCGTACTTACGTTTGTGGATACATACGCTATCAATCAGGTTAGTACCTTTTAGCCTTTATCACTGTAGTTGGACTCACATCTGGACAATGGAAATAGCTACGGTACTACCATATGATCTACGTACAATAAAGTGGCAGCAGCATACTAGCATGCCACGTAACTAGCCTATAAGGTCACAATAATACAAGCTCTAAACAAATAAATAATGACCGACCGACACGTAAACTACACGCTAGGCAGAGGTCGTCTGACCTCAAATGGACAGAAAATGCAGGGGAGCGACAAAAGTGGAGTAAAAGGTGGGGAGAGGAAAAGACGGGGAAGGCGACAAGGCAGGAGATGAGATACGGTAAGAAAGATGAGCGAACAACTAGATTACAAGCGGAGGTGGGGATGTGCACGCAAAGGTCGTCGATGCTACGGCTGCCACATGATCTGCCGTGTTAAGGAGAGAAACACCGTCTGCCCCACTATGACCACTGCCACCACCACTACCTTCACCACCATCACTAACAGCAGCAGCATGCAAGTCCACAGGTGTAAAGGCTTGCATGCTCAATGCACCCATATCCTTGCATTCACGTGGCGATGCCTCCCCCTCCTTTTCCCTATTTCCACTCTGCTGCCCGCGCGACACCAACAGCCCTCGTGCAACGGACCCCACGAGGGACTCTAGAGGTCCTTTACAACCCTCCTGGGTCTGGGTCGGGGTCTGGTTACCAACAGGCGGGATGGCAGCTGAATCTACCAGCAACGCCTGGTCCAAGGAGAGTGAGGGAAGCGGGGAGAAAGCAACTTCTGCGGCTTTGGATGCTGCTACTGCTTCTGCTGCTGCTGCTGCTGCTGCTGCTGCTGCTGCTGCTGCTGCTGCTGCTGCTGCTGCGTTTTCTTGTGCTGCTGGTGGAACTGGCGATGCTGCAAGCCTGCTTGTACCGACACAGTGCGAGCTGCCTGCATTCCCACATCCACTGCCACTGCCACCGCTGCCACTGCCACCGCCACTGCCAATGCCACTACCACTACCACTACCACTACCACTACCACTACCACTACCACTACCACCGCTACTGCTGCAGCCGCTGCCCGTGCTCACACCAGCACCAACCATCCCAGGGGAAGCCACCTCCGCAGGCAACCCCCCGCCTGCCCCACCAGCCACACCAGGCGCCAGTACCACCACAGGAGTAGCTGCCGCTGCCGCCGCAGACGCAGACGCAGGAGGAGCAGGCGATGTGGCAGCAGGGGACATGGGGGCGGGGGAGGGCGGGGCGGAGGAGGCGGCAGCGTTGGAGTGGGAGAGGCCGGCGAAGATGTCGCGGAAGAGAGGGTGCGCGCCGCGCCTCAGCCGGCTGCCTGTGAGCGTGCGCCGCGCGGAGGAGGGTGCGGGGCAGCCCCCGTGGCTGAGGCTGGCATGGTGGTGGTGCGTGTGGAGCAATGCTTGCGCGTGCTGCTGCTGCTGCTGCTGCTGGTGTTGGTGTTGGTGTTGGTGCTGCTGCGGCTGTTGGTGTTGGTGCTGCTGCTGCTGCTGGAATACCTGTTGCTTCTGAATCAGCTGGCTCTGGCTCTGGTGTTGCTGCTGGTAATAGCTGCCCTGCATGCCCGCATGCTGATTCACCCCATGCTCGCTCGCCCCCTGCTGCAGCTTCCTACCCGGATTATTCCCAACATGCTGCTGGTGGCTCACCCCTTGCTGACTCCCACCATGCGCCACTGCAGCATGGGCAGAATCCCCTGCATCTCTCGCACCTGCCTGCTGGAATAGAGCGACCCTGGGAGAAGGCCCGGGGGAGCCTGGCAGGTGGGAAGGATGAGGAGGAGGAGCAGGTGAGTGGGCGCCCGTCACACACGTAGCAGCAGCAACCACACCAGATGTTGCTGCTGCTGCCGCTGCACCGACAGGCGCAGGAGCCGCGAGGGACACAGTGACTGGCGACGCAGGAAGCGACAACGAACCACCAGCAGCACCACCACCAGCAGCACCACCAGCAGCACCAACACTAACACCACCAGGAGTGCGCGAGCCCACAGGCGTGCCGGGCCGGACGAGGCGTCTGACAATGCGCCCCCCCTGCGTGTGGTAGAGCAGCCAGGGGTGCGTGAGAATGCGGTCCACGGTGGGGCGACGCCCAGGGCACGGGTTGAGCAGGCAGCGCACCAGCGACTTGGCCTCTGTCGACACACTCGGCCACGGCGCAGAGGAGAAGTCCAGAGGCGAGGAGGACGAGGAGGAGAGGGATGCTGGTGCTGATGCTGGGGCGGATGCTGGGGCGGATGCTGATGCAGACGCAGGTGCGGGCGCGCATGCAGAGGCAGAGGCGGAGGCGGAGGAGGAGGAGGAGGCAGCAGGCCGTGGGTTGTTGGCGGCAGCTGGTGGTGCATTTGCTGCTGCTGCTGCTGCTGCTGCTGCTGTTGTTGCTGCGTTGGCGGCAGCGAGGGCAGCGGCGGCGGTTGCAGCGGGGAGGCCTGCACGGCCGTGGCAGCGGGAGGGGCAGGGGCAGGGGCTGCGTGCCGGGCTGCCGAGCACACGGCCGTGCGTGAACGGGCTGCTGTGGTTGCTGTGGTTGTTGTGGTTGAGACTGTGAGTGTGAGCGGAATTATATTGCACGGCTGCTCCTCTCGGAGCAGGGCTCATGAGTCCCACAGCAACCCCACTGCCACCACCAGCACCGCCACCAGCAGCAGCAGCAGCAGCAGCAGCCCCGGCCGAAGCTGCCGCCGCCGCCGCCGCCGCAGCAGCAGCAGCGGCAGTGGCGGCATTCGCAGCGTCAGAAAACGCCCGGACCGACGCAAAGATAGCATCCGTATTCGGGCCCCAGAACAGCGGGTAGCCTGCCAATAACGAGTACAGAATGACCCCCAGCGACCACACGTCCGCAGGGAAGCCATACGACCCCGAGATAACCTCAGGAGCCATGTAAATCGGCGACCCTGCCGGCCCCACCACGCTCTGCCCTGCCTTGAGCCGCACTGAGAGGCCAAAATCGGCTAGCTTGACCCTCCAAGCAGGGCGGGGGGGCGCGGGGGAGAAGGGGGAGGAGGAGATGACGTGGCAGGGGGAGGACGGGGCGGAGGACGGGGAGGAGAAGGCGAGAGGGTAGGGTCGAGGATGGGAGGGAGGGCTGGCTGGTGGGTGGGAGGAGAGGTGGTGCTGGGGGGTGTGGGGGAGGGTGTGAGTGTGAGGGTGGTTGCGGGGGAGGGTGTAGGTGTGGGATGGTGTGTGCGTGGGAGGCTTCGAAGGGAGGGGGGAGGAGGGGAAGGGAGTGAAAGAGAAAGGGGCGGACCGGACAGCAGGGGAGGGGGAAGAAGGGGGGGTGAAAACCGCTGAGTGGGGGGGATGCGCTTGTTGGCAGGCGGCTTGGGGGAAAGAGGACTGGGGGGCGGGGAAGGTGTGAGAGGGCTGTGAGTGAGGACCAGGGGAATGCGGGACGGGGGCAGGATGAGGCAGAGCAGAGGGGGAGGCAGGCGGGTGGGACGTGGGGGTGGGCGCAAGTGGAAAGGGCGATGCAGAAGCAGGGGCAGCGTTAACGGCAGAAGCAGACGCGGAGGCAGAGGCGGGGGCAGAGGCGGGGGCAGAGGCGGGGGCAGAGGCGGGGGCAGAGACGGAGGCGGGGGCAGAGGCGGGGGCAGAGACGGAGGCGGGGGCGGAAGCGGCAGCAGGAGGAGGCGCGAGGAAAGGAGGGCAAGAGGGAGCAGCAGAGCGGATTGAGGCAGGAGAGGGTGCGGACGAGGCGTGCGCAGGGGGAGCAGGGGGAGCAGGAGGGGCAGTGGGAGCAGGGGGAGCAGAGGGAGCGAAGATGGCTCGTGCCACAAACAGCCTCGACAGCTTTCTGCCGCTGCTCACACCGTCGCCAGCAACGCCAGCACCAGCACCAGACGAACCACCTTTGGTATCGACACCACCAGGAGGAGCAGAACTAGCAGCAGCAGCAGTGGTGGGACTGAAGGGCTTCAAAGGTGACAGCATGGACAAATCCATCGGTTTTATCGGCGACGGCAGCATCTGCGCTTGCTGCTGCTGCTGCTGCTGCTGCTGCTGCTGTGCGGCCAGCGATCTAATGGGCGACGGCAGCGCTGCTCCCTGCGCCACATTCAGCGACCGCGTTGCTGATGGCACCACCGCGCTGCTACCTCCATCCCCACCCGCATCCGCACCATTCCCACTCCCGTCCACCTCCATCGCCGACCCTATTTCCACTCCCGCTGCTACTCCAACACACGCCTCCTTTCCACACGGGCTGGTGACCATAGCAGTAGCAGCAGCAGCAGCAGCAGCAGCACTCGGCGCCGCAGCAGTAGGACTGGCAGCAGCAGCGTCGTCTGCCTTGATGGGCGACGGCAGCACGCTCCTCGCCACCTCATTCGCACGCTCGTCAAAGCTCTTAGGCGTCTGCACCACGACCGCGCATGCAGCAGCCTCCGCAACAGCAGCAGCAGCAGCACCGCCACCACCCGTCCCGGAAACGACACCAGCGCCACCCGCGCCGCCAGCGCCGCCAGTGGAGGCAGCAGCGATGGAGCAAGAGAAGGCCCCGCCGCCGCCTTGCAAGGCCGCGTTGGCGGCGGACGCGGCGGCGGCAGGCGCGGCGGCGGGCGGCAGAGTGAGCTCCTCCATGGGCGGCAGCGGCGAGAATGTATTGAGAGTGATGGTAGCGGGGGACGCGGACGGCGGAAGCGCGGGTAGCGGAAGCGCGAGAGGGGATTGGCACCCCGAAGGGAGAGGGGGGGAGGACGGGAGGGGGGATGGGGAGCGAGGGGGGACAGACGGAACTCGCGCATCCCTCTCCACGTGCGCCAGCTGCCCTTGCGCCATCTGCCCTTGCGCCATCTGCCCTTGCGCCAGTTGCCCTTGCGCCATCTGCCCTTCCGCGCGCCTTGTGTCAGCGCACGGGGATGGCGCGTGCGCGTGACCTGCGATGGCATCCCTCATCACCGCATCGCTGCTGCGGATTCCGCCCACGTGGCTCGACAGGCGCGCGCGCTTCTCCTGCGCCAGCTGCTCCCCCCTGCCCGCGCCCCCTTGCTCCTGCTCCCTGCTCGCCGGTCGCGCCTGAAACTTTTGCTGCTGCTGCTGCGGTTGACTCAGCACGTGTTGCGGCGTGTACGACCTGAATTGCGGCTGTCGTAGCGGCGTGTGCTGCTGCTGCTGCTGCTGCTGCTGCTGTTGATGCGATTGCAGCGAGGACATTTGCCGTTGCTGCGCCTGAGCTTGCTGCTGTCGTTGCTGCTGCCACGAACCCGGCGGTCCACCAACCGAACCAGTCGCCGAACCTGGCGCCGAACTGCCAATCCCGCCAGCAGCCGCCGAACCAGGCGCGGTGGCAAGTGCAGGGCTGGAAACGAACCCATTTCCTCCTGGAAACCCCGCACCACCACCACCACCACCACGCGCGGTGCCGCTGCCGCTGCCACTGCCGCCGGCGGTCGCGGCGGTCGCGGCGGCGGCGGCGGCGGCGGCGGGCGACGTGTCGAGCAGGATATTCTCCGGCTTCAAGTCGCGGTGCAGCACGCCCTGCGAGTGGCAGAACGCGACGGCGAGCACGAGGTCGCGGAACGCGAACGCCGCCTCGCGCTCCGACAGCCGGCGGCTGCGCTGCAGGTGGTCGAACAGCTCGCCGCCCTCGCATAGTTCCATCAGCACGTGCACGGCGCGCTCGTCCTCCAACACGCCGCGCAGCTGCACCACGTTCGGGTGCCCCGCGAGACGTTGCATCGCCGCGATTTCCTGCCGAACCTCGTCCCATTCCTCCGGGTCCGCGATTCGGGTTTTCGAGATGCTCTTGCAGGCGAGCCGCTCGCCCGTCGCGCGGTTCTCGACCTCCCGGACCACGCCGAACCGCCCCGAACCTAGCTGCCGGCCGACGCGGTACACTGCGTCCAGCCGCTGCCACGTGGAGCCCGCGACGGGCGCGGCGGGGACGGAGCTGGTTCCCCCTGAATGAGTTTGCGGCGCCTCGGCAATCGGCGGCTGAAGAGGCGCGTGAGACGTTTCGAACGGCGCGGTAGCGACGACCGCGGCGGGAAGGGCCGCTGCCTCCGATGACACTGGGCGGAAAGAAGCGGCGGAGGCTTGCGGCGGATGCGCGACGGGCGCGGGCGGGGAGCAGGCAGCAGTGGCGGAGACGGCGGGTTGCGCAGAGACGGCGGCGCAAAGCGGGCTTGCGGCAACGGGCGGCGGGCACGGCCTTGTGTCGGCGGATTTTTCGTCGCACGGCCGGTCGTCGCACGGCCGGTCGTCGCACGGCCTAGGTGGACAGGACTGTTCGAGCGACAAGTCGGAGACTGTGGGAGCGTGCTCCATGCTGCCTAGAGGAGGCAGCGATACACAAGACGACGCCTCAGTTGCCGACGGCTCCGCGGGGACATCCCGCGCGCCCGCTCTAAATTCTTCCCCCCTTGCACCTCCGCCACCCCCTACGTCCACGCCTCCGCCTCTGCCTCCGCCGCCACACGCGCCGGATGCTCCTCTCCCAGAGGCGCACCCACCCGCCGTCCCATCCACCGCTTGCGGGCCTGCAGGGAGTGGCGGACGGGGAATTGCGCCTTCAAGCGGTCCGTTCGCGGCGGACTCGCGGGACGACGGCGTCGGAGAGGACGGCGGCGGCGGCGGAGATTCGCGACGCTGCCGTTTGGTGACGAGCTGATGCTGCTGCTGCTGCGAAAATACTTCTCCTCGTCCTCCCTCTCCTCCTTCGCCACTGTCTGCATTCGCTACGCCTACTCCCTCTGCTTCCATCTCTGCCCTGTCGCAAGAGGCATTCTCTTGCGCCCGGCTCCGCTTTAGCTCGCGCAAGCTGTCTGCGGCCCCATCCTCCCCGTTCCCAATTGACATGCTTGCGCAGCCGCCGCTGGCGCTCGAAACCGCAATCTCCGCGTCCAAACGCTGCTGGTGATGGTGATACTGCTGCTGCTGCTGCTGCTGCTGCTGCTGCTGCTGCTGCTGCTGCTGCTGCTGCTGCTGCTGCTGCTGCTGCTGCTGCTGCTGCTGCTGCTGCTGCTGCTGCTGCTGCTGCTGCTGCTGCTGCTGCTACCGCTGCTCCTGCTGCTCCTGCTTTTGCTGCGACATCGTTACGCCTGGTGACTGCCCTTTAAGATTGGCATTAGGGACCTGCGCCTGGAGCATTGTGCCTGCTCCGCGCATGCAGCCCAGCTCTCGCGCGTTCAGAAGCTGCGCGGGTTGCGCGGAGTTAAGATCGTTCCGCCTGTGCGTAGCCGCTCCGCCGCCGCTGTCGGCTTCCTGGGAGCATCGCCCTTCCGCCATGGCGGAATTCTAAGCGTTTAAAACGCCCTAGGTTTTATCCGTACGCTAATCGTGCTTTCTAGTTCGCCATGGGGCGACAAGATTCGGAATTGGCGAAATTCCACTCAGGGGACGGTTGTGGGAGGGCACGGAAAATTGGCAAGCACACGGTAACTGTCAAAGAGCGAAGCTCTCTAAACCCTGTGGAACGAGCTAGACGGACTCCCAGTAAAAGTAAAGGCCTTTTCTTACAAATCACTAGCACGTTCTTCCTTTGTCTACGGTTGGTGGAGAGATTCCTGGGTGGGGTGGGGAGGAGGAATCAAGGGTGTGTGTTTGGAACTTTGGAGAGGGGATGGGTGGGGTGGGGGCTGGTGTGGTGTGGTGCGGTGAACGCAGGCCCGGCAGGACACTGCAGGCAGGCAGGCAACCACGCAATGCAACGCAAGCAGGCAAGCTGCCGAGCTGAAGGGCGTTCTCCTCCGCCATCCTACCCAACCCACTTGGGCTTGTGCTTCGGCTTTCACCCTCGCTTCGCCTCCTCCCTCCAACTTGCTGGTCGGCTCGGAGCGGCACGCCGGGCACCGAACAGCTTTCGAACCTTTCCCAGACCACTGCTTTTCCCACCAAACCGCCCCTAACCTAGCCCGCTTTGTAGCAACCTCTCCGCCCACGCCTCCGCCCCTCCGCTTCAAACCTCCCCGCCTTCACTTACCGCCAGCCCAGACAACCTCCTCCCCCACCCGGCCAGTTCAAGAACATGGAGCCTCTCCTCCCCAAACCTCCCTTCAACCCCTCCGCTCCGCTCACAAGCTTGGTGACGTAAGGCTTCCGCCTCTTCCTCTGTTTGAACAGTGCGGTACTGTACTCTAGTGTCCCCAAAACAGCCCCCGTTTCGTTGTCGTCTGGTTTCCCCATATCTCGGAGGTATGGGATGGGATGGGATGCAAGCAACCTAGAGGGGGACAGTCAAGCCTTGAGGTGTGAGCGACTCGACTTTTCTCACCCTCAAGCTCCATCACATGTGCATTACCACTTGCACTAACCAGAAAGGACACTTGACCAGACTTCACCGGAACCGTCTAAAGTTTTGGAAAGGTGTGGTTAAAAAAAAGGATGTGTTGTGTGTGCCACACTCTCACCGCAACCGCAAGATTTGGTGTCCGTATTGAAGAATCCTTTCCATATTTCTGTAACTCAAGGGTCAACCAGTTTTCCGCATGGGAAACCGGTTATTTGAAGGTACAGAAAGGTTTGGAATGCCTTGCGTTATGGGGCAAAATGGGTGGGAAATCTATCGCTGCCCATAAAATGGAGCGGTCACTTGAATTCACGTGGTAAAATACGAAGCTGAACGCACATCCCGCAATGTGGGGCAGCATTTTCTAATTTGGAATATTCCACCTGTCCAATTACCGTGTCTGGGTGGATAATGAGTGGTAAGAATCATTTGGGCAGAATGGCAAGCTTCCGTTGAAGACCATTTCAGCTGGATGAATCCCAGCCACAATTGCAAACACTGGACTGAACCAATAGCTCGACAAGTTCGAGTCGGAAGAGTTCGAACCGCAGAGGGTATCATGTCTTCGCAACAGCCAATGAAATATCGGTGTGTTCAGAGAAACAGCTGAGACGGCCAATCAATTTCAAGTTGGCAGACGACCTCCTGCAGAATGGGTGCGATTAGCGACGGTGTCAGGTCATTTGAAGTCAGAGGCAATGACGAGGGAAAAGAGGCGGTAAATCAGAGATTAGCTATGTGAATCTGCTAAATCTACACTCGCTGTGCTGTGCTGAAGCTTTGCATATCAAAAACCTAGATCAGCCATATCTTAGGGCGCATTCCTGTGTGGACACAAATGTCTCAATCCCCCTTTTTCCGAGTCGCGTCGTAACATTTTGTCAACCTCGCGTCACAAAAAAGGAATGTATTGCGACACTAGGCGACCAGGCGAAATGTACAGTTGTGCGCTTTTGATTGGGTTTCGGAATTGACTGTACACCCGTTTCTTCAAACGCCTGGCTGGGGTGTGGTTTCGACGCGCGGGTTTTTTTCCCGCACGAAATTGACATTGGGGGTTGTTTAGGTGCATTGACATTTCGAACCGCGTGCGACATTTTTCCATTGACGGGTCGATTTGCAACTCGTCCGCGATGTTAGCGCGTTTCACGCTAACCAATGAAAAATACAGTAATGGTCGCTAAAAGGCGATTCCGTTTGTGACATAATACGTTTTATGCTGTTTTTACGCGTCACAATAGGATTGAGACACAAATGTCCACACAGGAATGCACCCTTAGTCTTTCTTATTTGGAAAAGAGCTGATCCAACTGGGCCCGTGCATGAGTGCGCATGAGTGCGTACCACCATGTTTTGAAATTGTTGGTAGCGCTCCTCGCACACTCCACACCACGAGAAACCGCATGCTGAAATGTTGGAAGGAACAACCCAGAAGGACGTCGAAAGTGACAGCATACACAAATGCCCATATGCTACTTTTGAGGCAATACAGAACCGACTCGTGTGAATGGTCGTCCATGGAATTGTATCAAATCGGACTAGACCAGATCTGATCTGAGCTGAAGCACGCAAACCATCAACAACAAAATATAGTGGTGACCAGCCCTCTTGCTCTTCTTGCAAGGTTACCCGCTCCAACCACCACCCTCGCTGCCATCATCTGAATCCTTCTCACCCCCATCCCCATCCCCATCCCCATCCCCATCCCCATCCCCATCCCCATCCCCATCCCCATCCCCATCCCCATCCCCATCCCCATCCCCATCCTCATCCCCATCATCATCCTCCGAAGTCCCACCACTGGTACTATCTTCACTCTCTTCTTCTGAACTCCCCTCCAAACCTTGCGTGCCCCCACCCCCCTCACTCTTCTCCTCTCCCCCTCTATCCATCACTCCAACATCTCCTCCACCCCCAACCTGTTCCTGCCCCTGCCCCTGCCCCTCCACCTGTTCCTGCCACTGTGCTTGGTCTTGCCACGATGCCTGGGCATGCCAATCACCACTGCCGAACTCACCACCAGCATTGCTAGCACCAGCATCACCAGTGCCATCACCAACACCATCGCCACCACCATCACTCTCACCCTCATCGTCCTCCTCATCCCCCTCATCATCCTCATCCCCATCATCATCATCATCATCATCATCATCATCATCATCATCATCATCATCATCATCATCATCATCATCATCATCATCATCATCATCATCATCATCACCATCGTCATCATCATCGCTCCCCTCTTCCTCCTCTTGCCCTTCGCCTCCATCCCCTCCTTTCTCTCCTTCCTCATCCCCAGCTTTCCCTTCCTCCTCCGGCTCCTCTTCTCCCCCATCCCCAATTCCTTGCCCCCCTTCCGCAACAGCAGTACCGCCATCACCATCACCACCACCGCCGCCGCCGCCGCCGTCCTTGTCCCACCAACCATCCCGTTCTCCCTCCCCTCCTGCAAAAGCCAGGAGCATTTCAGCATCTATGTCACCATCATCCCCGTCATCACCCTCCACATCACCATCCCCACCACCATCACCCATGCCATCACTCCGCATGCCACCATCCCCATCCATGCCATAGGTTTCATGCTCTCCTGTGCCCCTACCTCCCTCTTGCTCCGCTGCCTCCTCTGACACTTCATACTCCTCCTGCTCCTCGCCTTCCCCTGCACCTCTCTGCTCCTCGACCTCCTCCTCCTCGCCCCCTTCCTCTTCCTCTTCGTCTTCCTCCTCTTCATCCTCCAGTTCCTTCTCCTCCACCTCCTCTTCTCCACCCTCAACATCCTCCTCCTCCTCCTCCTCCTCCTCTTCCTCCTCCTTCCCACCTTTCACCTTTACCTCCTCCTCCTCATCCTCCTCCTCCTCCTCCTCCTCCTCCTCCTCTTCCTCTTCCTCCTCCTCATCCTCATCATCCTCATCATCATCCTCTTCCTCCTCCATGTCTTTTTCATTCCACTCCTCATCGTCTTTCCCTTCGTCCTCCTCCTCGCTTTCCTCCTCGCTCTCCTCCTCTTCATCCTCCTCCTTCACCCCCTCTTCCCCATCTTCCTCATCCGTCTCTTCGATCTCCTTATCCCCCTTCTCATCAAACTCTGCTCTTTCGCCCGCGTCCCTTTTTCTTTCACCACCAACCCTCGAGTCCTCCCCTTGTTCCTGCTGCTGCCAACCTTGCTCCGTCTCTTTATTCTCCTCACTCCACTGCTCCGCTCCTTCTCTCCCCCTCCCGTCCCCTCCCCTCCTGTCCTGCCAGTCCATTCCCCATCCCCGTTCAACGGCTGCTGCTGCCGCTGCCGTTGCAACGTCTCTAGTGCTTGCAGCAGCAAGACTCACTCTCGCTCTTTTAGATTCTGTACCTATTCCTCCTCCCACTCGCCCTCTCTCATCAGCCTCCACCTCCCCCAACTTCCTCTTCCTCTCTACTTCCTCACGCTCCTTCCACTGCTCTACTTCCGTCTCCTTCTCCCTCTCCCTCTCTCGCACTCTCTCCCTCTCTTTCTCCCTCTCCCGCTCCTCCTTCACCCTCTGCTTCTCCCTCTCAACACCCTCCACCTCACTCCGCAGCAGGGCAGTCTCATGATTCACCAGCAGCCGCGCCAGAAACAGCTGCTCCGCTCCCCGCAAAGCCTCCCCGTCCCGCCACCCGTCCCGCATCCTTCCCCACCTCCCCACTACCTCGTCGCCTCGTATCACCAGGGCCATGCTTCGCCCCTCCACTGCTTCTGCCTCCCGTGCTGCCGCCACTACCTGCTGCTGCCGTTGTTTCTCCAGCAGAGCGCGAGCCTTGGTCTCATACTCCCCCTCCCCTCCTTCGTTCGCTAAACCATCCTTTCCTCGAACCTTCTCACTTGCGCCACTCAGATCACCAACCATTCCCATTTTCCCCCCTTCTCCCTTTCCGCCACCTCCCCCCCACCCGCTCCCCACGCCACTGGCCTGCGCGCCAGCCCCCGCCTCTGCCCCTCCGCGCTCTCCCCCTAAACCAGCGGCTGCTGGCGGGGCGAGGGGCACAGCGTGCGCGGCTGCTACAGAACGGGGAGGCGGGTGGGACGCGGGGGAATGGCCCCTAGGCGCGCCAGATGCGGAAGGCGCGAGGTCGGTTGAGGAGTGAAGTGCGACGAGCGCGGGATCGTAGTCCGCGAACACGTGGAAGGGGAGCAGCCTGCGCGCGGGGCATGCGGGGAGGAAGCGGAGATGGTGCGCGGAAGGATAACGATGAGGGGTGTGGAAATGGAAGGGAGAAAGGGAAGGAGGGAGTGTGTGGGGGGTTGGAAAGAGGGGGGGAGTGGGGATGGGGATGAGATGCAGGGGGAAGAGGGGTTGAAAGCAGCACAAGCCAAAGGGGGTAGTCAAGACCACGAAACCAGAGTCTTCCCTATCACGACCCCAACGCAGCACCGCACCTGTCGCATGCGTCGCCGAGGCTAGCAAACGGCGAGCGCGTCTCGGGGTTCGCCGCGGCCACCGCGTCAGCCAGCAACGCGCGTTCCGCTGCGGCTGCAGCCGCTGCAGTCACGGCAGAGGCCAGCCGTCGACTATTCCCCGATGGCCACGACCCACCGCCGACGCCGCCAGTACCACCAGCACCGCTCAACACCGCACCGGAATTGGACACACCCCTTGGAACAGTGTCATTCATACCGTTGCGACCGGCACCGCTCAATCCCCTTGCGATCGCGTCGCTGGTGCCGGCGACTCCCCGGCCGGCGGCGTTGCTGGCGGTGGGATTGAGACCGGCTCGCCGACTGTGCTGCTGGTTGGGCTTGACGTCGCGATTCGTCGGACGAGACAAATCCGAGGCGACCCTAAGTTTGTCCCCGCGGGAACCGGCGATGGAAGTAGGAGTTGGGGAGACGCGGAAACCTGGCTTAGACATGACTGCGGTGACCAGGGTGGTCCGAAGGAAAGCCTCAGTGACTCATGAGGTGCGTTTGCACAAGGGATCAAGGCAGCTTTAGTTTATTCGGCCCTGCTTGGCTTCGCCGCGCACACAAGCCGCAGAAAACGGGAAACCCTAATTTGTACTGTATCCACAATCGATCTGCATTGTTTGCTTCCGAAGCTCAAAGCTCGTTTGCCCGAGATTACGGTAGTGTACGGTACGGACGCTTTAACATCGGTTCTGACATGCTAAAGCTTTCCCGTCGGTGTAGCGTGCTGCCACACGTACCCTGATTGCGCGGCGACGTTTGCGGTGCAGTGGGTTGTGTGCTAATCGTGGATTTACGTTCAGCAGTGAGTTTCTACACCGTTTAATCTGCTTCTACAAAAATGACTAAATCCGTTTTATTAGCATTAGCAAGCCTACTATCCTTCCAACTCATGCTACCACAAAAGAACCTAGAGTCCTTCTCCTTTCTCTTTCTTTCTCAGATCTCCTTTCTCCTTGGAGAAACATTAGAGATCAGCCCTTGAACAATTGGTGGGCAGACGGAATTTAGGCTACTCTGCGGGTGTGTGGTTTACGAGTGAGCTGTAAAGAACATAGACAAAAAAAAAAAACAAACAAAAAAAACTAGAGTCTTTATTTTCATATGCAGGTGCGAATGGAGGAGGCTTCGTATGGATATATTATATAGATACTAGCCTTATATTGTAAAGAATCTATCCGCATTCCTTACCACACACCTCCACATTGCATACAGGACCACAGTTTTGTCAACCGTTACTGCTAAGGACGCGGCACCTGTTTTTATTTTGCCACGATCGATCGTGGGTAGGGATCGATGTGCCGCTTGTACAGTTATTTGGCGATTTCGCTAATGCCTGGTATCCTTTTTTCGCTAAACCTCGAGAATATAGAGTAGAAGAGTACCCAAAATGGTGGCACCTGCAGCTCGCACGATCGATGTGCCATGGTGCACACATCGATCGTGCATTTGGGATGGCGGGAGAACACATTGCGCCACAGGTGACAGCCGCGATCGATCGGCGTCGCCCACGGTCGTAGACAAATAATGATTGGATAACGACAGCTTATTCCTCGCTCTGAATGGTTAACGACAAAAACGTTGGTGTATTCCGCTGCGGAACCAACCTGCCCGATCCTGGCACCCAAGGCTCGGCGTGTTTACCACACTGCAAATTTGCAGTTTGTGCACTGTCAGAATCTAGCAGCAGGAAATGAATGAACTAGCAGCATGCAGGAGTACAAGTAGTAAACCCTAATTGGGTTGTACCCCATGTGGGCTACCCCACTACAGCCTAGACAATATCCAGCATATATGTTTGACACACCCCCATAGGCAAAGTGGGGGAGAACAAGGGGTCAAACGACCAGTCAAGAGAAGCAAAGCAAGCTCAGGGTGGATCTCAACGTCACCACACATTCTGAGCACAAGCAAAGGGCCACAAGGCCAGTCCACATGCAGAGATATATATGCAACAATAACAGTACAGTGATGACTACCTAGCAAGAGCAGGCATGCATGTATATATATAGATCACAGTACAAGCAGAAACTACAGCAAGTGTGGAAGCGTAGGCACAAGGCCTAACAGGGTACAAAAGCGCTGATGATCACCAGACGGAAGTGCCTTGGTGAATATATCAGCAGTGTTGGCCCGAGTGGCCACGTGACGAAGACGAAGCTGGCCTCGCTGCTGCAACTCTCGAGCCAGGAAGTAACGCAGAGCTATGTGCTTCGTTCTGTGCTCCAGTCTGTGCTCCTCACACAAGGCAATGGCGGCCTTGTTGTCGACGTACAGCACTGGAGGAGAACGAGGCTGCTCTCCCAAGTCAGTCAGCAGGTAGGTGAGCCAGCGTAACTCATGTGCAGCCATGGCTGTGGCGTAGATCTCAGCCTCACAACTGGAGCTGAGAACTGAAGACGAGCGTGTAGAACGCCACGAAACTGAACCAGAGCCAAGGCTGAAGGTGTAACCCTGTGACGACCGCTGAGTAGCCAGGTCGTCAACCCAAGAAGCGTCTGAGTGCCCAGTGAGGACAACTGGGCTCGTCCCTCCAAGCACTAGCCCCATGCCTGATGTGCTGCACAAGTAGCGCAGTACCCTCTTAGCAGCAGCCATGTGCTCAGGTCGGTGCCGACCAGGAGCCACGTAGCGAGCCAGAAGACCAAGAGGGTACGCGAGGTCAGGTCGAGTGCAAGTCATCAGGTACATGAGGCAGCCGACTAGCTCTGGGTAAGGACCACTCGGCTCTACGGACTCGTCCGAAGGTGGAGCTGAGAGCGTGTGACCTGTAGCCAGAGGAGTGGCCTGTGCTGAAGACCAGGTGAAACCGAAGCGCTGAAGGACCTGCTGCACCATGTGTGACTGAGTCAAGGTGATGGTGCGGCGTGCTCGGTCCCGGGTGATCTGCAAGCCAAGGTAGCTGCGCAGCTCACCCAAGTCTGTGCACGTGTGTCTCTTCTGCAGCTCCGACTTCACGTGGGCGAGAGCCTCAGTGTCAGCAGTGGCAAAAACCAAGTCGTCGACGTACACGAGGATGTAGAACGGCGGCAGTGAAGTGTCGGTGCGCAGAAACAGCGACGGGTCAGCAGTAGAAGGCGCGAACCCAAGAGCCGCAAGTGTAGTCCTCAGTGTGTCGTGCCACTCACGCGGAGCCTGGCGGAGACCGTAGACCGGCCGCTGAAGCCTCCACTGGGTACCAGGAGGAAACGACCCAGTGAAGCCAGGTGGGCGGCGCAGCCAGATCTCCTCGTGCAGGCTGCCCTGCAAGAAAGCAGTGCTGAAGTCAAGTGAGTGAAGCTCGTAGTCGCGGTGAGCGGCTATGTGCAGCAGCACCCGAAGAGTAGTCATCTTCGGGGTGGGGGAGAAGGTCTGGAAGAAGTCAACTCCCTCTCGCTGACTGAAGCCTCGAGCCACGTAACGCGCCTTGAAGACAGGCGGAGAACCCGGCGGCCGCTTCACCCTGAAAATCCACATGCCACTGACGATGTTCGCCCCAGGTGGGGGAACCTCGTCGACATAGGTGCCTGTGGACTTCCAGGAAGCCATCTCTGCGTCCATGGCTGCCTGCCACTGAGAGGAGTAGGGACCCTCTATCGCCTCTGCGTAAGAGCGCGGAGTCGGGATGTCTGGTGCATCCGGGTCTCCCTCAGGGGCAAGTAGCGAGGACACAAGATGAGGTAAAGCAGCAGCGAGACACTGGAACTCCTCCTGCCTGTCCTCAAGGACGTCCGTGCTAAGAGCACACTCACCCCCGACGGACGGAGGACAGACACACTCAGACTCAGTAACAAGACTGGCAGTGAAGTCTAGACGACAGGCAGCAGCAAAGTCAACAAGCTCATTGACAAGAGCAGACGCAACAGCAGACTCAAACGACGGGTCAGTGACAACTGTGGCTAGTAGACGCGTGACAGTAGGGTGCTCAGCACGAAACCGGTCAGACGCAGGGTCCGGAACGTCAGGCAACGAGGACGCAGGAGGAGACGGCAGAGGAACAGGCTGCGGAGCAGAGGAAGGACGACGGACTACGAGGTGTGCGCTGGGGACAGCCGGCTGACGCGAACGAGGAACACGACGACCGGTACGACTAGGACGAACAGGCGAAACAGGACGCGACGCAGGCTCACGACGCTCAGCAGGACTACCAGTCTGCACAGTGTAAGGAGAAGGAGCAGGCAGCGGTGAGCCAGGCTGTAACGGAAGACCAGTAGACGACGGGAGAGTAAGAACCTGACGAAGAACAGAGTCAGACGGCGGCAGAGACGGCGGAGCGAAGAACCGTCGTGTCGGCGCAGCTGCACCAGGAGCGGCAGCTCCAGCAGCTCCAGTGCCTCCAGCAGCTCCAGTACCTCCAGCAGCTCCAGAAGCTCCAGTCCCAGAGCCGACACCTCCAGCCCCAGGGTCTCCAACCTCTGTGTCTCCAGCAGCAGCACCCCCAGAACCAGCACCTCCAGTCCCAGGGTCTCCAGCCTCAGTGTCTCCAGCAGCAGCACCCCCAGAACCAGCACCTCTAGTCCCAGGGTCTCCACCCTCTGTGTCTCCAGCAGCAGCACCCCCAGAACCAGCACCTCCAGTCCCAGGGTCTCCAGCCTCAGTGTCTCCAGCAGCAGCACCCCCAGAGCCAGCACCTCCAGTCCCAGGGTCTCCAGCCGCAGTGTCTCCAGTACGAGCACCTCCAGAACCAGCGACTCCAGCACCTCCAGTAGACAAAGGTCCAGCACCACTCCTAGCTCCAGCAGCGCGACGCGGACGGCGACCGTACCAGTCCTGCAGCTGCTGTGGGGTGAGAGGCACACGTGGACGAAGGCGGCTACTCCAAGGAGACCGCGCAACAGCAGACTCAGAACCCTCAGCGCCCGCACCCCCAACGGCTCCAGAACCTCCGGTGTCAGTACCCTCAGCACCTGCACCTCCAGCGGCTCCAGAACCTCCAGCGCCAGCACCCTCAGTAGCTCCAGAACCTCCAGCGTCAGTACCGCCAAGCTCAGCACCCCCAGACCCCTCACACTCAGGCTCAGCACCACCAGGCTCCACACCCTCAAGCTCCGCACCCTCAGGCTCAGCACCCCCAGGCTCAGCACCCCCAGGCTCCGCACCCCCAGGCTCAGCACCCCTAGAAGTAGCACCCCGAGAAGGACCACCCTCAGTAGGACCTGAGTCACCAGTGACCTCAACCGGCGCAGTCAAGGGAGGAGGGTCTACCTGAGAAACACCTGAAGGAGCAGGACCAGGAGTGGGGAGGGGGTCTACCTGGGGAGCACCTGGAGCGAGGAAGAGCGGCGGGGGGGGGAGCGGGGCAGTGCGGTAGGGGAAGAGACGGTAAAAGGGAACCGACTCGTCGAACGTGACGTCCTGAGACGCAAAGACACGGCGCGAGGTGGGATGGTAAAACTGCCAACCAGGCGCGTCAGGGACAAAGCCAAGGAAGACACAGGGAACAGCGCGGGCGGAGAGCTTGTCCGCGGTGGTATCGCGGACAAAGGCACGAGCACCCCAGACCCGGAAACGCGACGCATCACCAACCTTCCCCGTCCACAGCAGTGTGGGCGAGGTCTCCGGCAAGGAGACACGGGGCCAGAGGTTGAGCTGATGCGCGGCGTACCGGACCGCAAACGGCCACAGGAAATGGGGGGCAGCCGCATGGATCATGGAGGTACGAGCGACCTCCATGACTAAGCCAATGCGACGCTCAGCAACCCCATTCTGCTGTGGAGAGGCCGGAAGCGTGAACGACTGGGTGATGCCGTGCTCCGCACAGTAGGCTGCCAAGAGGTCGGAGGAGAACTCACCACCTCTGTCAGAGTGCAGATGCAGGACAGGAAAATCCCGCCGGAACCGCTCGCGGAGCTGGAGACGAACAGCGCGGATCCAAGGGATCAAAACATCAGGGACGTCCCCCTTGCTCTGCAAGGGGAAGACCGTGGTGTAACGCGTGTAGTCGTCGACGACCAGCAGGAAGTACCGCTCGCGGCCCTGTCCCTGGACGCGGGCTGGGCCCCACACGTCCAGGTGGAGCGTCTGCAGGGGAGCCTCTGTGGGAGGAAACGAGGAGGAGTGAGGAGCGGCGCGCTGCCGCCCCTCGACGCAAGGAATGCAGGGCGGCGCAGGCGAGGGAGGGAGGGCAGGCAGAGACCTGGGAAGACCAGAGACCAGGGAGCGAGAGTGCATGCGACGCAGGCGAGGCAAGGAGGGGTGACCAAGACGGTGGTGCCACAGGAGAGTGTCGTGCGACAAAGCGCGACACTCACAGGGGGCCGCCAGCTGACCAGACGTAGACGCAGACGCAGCTACCTGAGGGGACTCAGTGGTCAGTGTGTACAGACTCGAGCCAGGTGCACGGGTGAACGTGGCCAAGTGCCGGCCCGTCCTAGCACACGTACAGTGAGTCACTCGCTGACTCGCAGGAGTGAACTGGTGAACCCCCCCATCCTGGAGGTCAGCTCCACTCACCAAGTTCGTAGAGAACGAGGGGAGGTAAAGACCTGACAGCGAGCCGGACGGGACGGCCGGACACGGCAGAACCGTGGAGTAGTGGGCAAGGACTGGACCCCCGGAGGGGTCCGCCAGGGAGACTGGAACTGGCCGACTAAGCGGCGTGAGTGTGGTGCAGTCGCGAAAGAAGGAGCGAGAAGCTCCTGAGTCAAGGGTGAAGGTGTGCGAGACCGTAGGTGGCGCAGTACCAGAGAGAGCAGACTCACCAGCACCTGAAGCCACGGCCTCACCAGTACCTAGAGCAGTAGACGTACTAGCACCGAGAGCAGCAGCCTCACCAGCACCTAGAGCAGCAGACGCACAAGCACCTAGAGCAGCAGCCTCACCAGGGTCAGGCGGTACGCACAGAGAACAGGCACGATCAGCACTAGTAGGCAATGCATACATGGCAGTGAGAATAGCATCATAGTCACGCGCAAAGATATCTACCCTCTGTCCATGCAGCTCCAGCCAGGTGGGGAGCTCAGCCTCGTCGCCAAACACTGTGCGCCAGTCGTCGCTCAGACGAGCGAAGCAGCGGGACTGTGTGTGACCAAGCGTCCCACAAGGCTGACCAGTCCTAGCACCTGTGCGAATGACGTACGGGCAGCGAACTGGACGAGTAGACCTGCTACACTGAGCGTACCACTCCTGGAGCTGCCGGGGCGTAAGTGTCTCACGTGGACGCCCCTGCAGCTGTAGCGGGCCACTGCCAGACGCTCCCAACTGACCAGCTCCAGGGCGACAGCTACGACGGCTACTGCGACAACCCCAGCTAGTATACCACTCACTAAGCTGCTGGGGCGTCAGAGGCTCGCGTGAACGTCGCTGGAGCTGCATCTGGCCACCTGCCAGTAGCAGTAGCAGCAGCAGTAGCGCGGGCAAGGCAGGCGCGGCAGGCAGGCAGGCAAGCAGGCAGGCAGGCAGGCCGGCAGGCAGGCAGGCAGCCAGGCAGGCAGGCAGGCAGGCAGACAGGCAGGCAGGCAGGCAGGCAAGCAGACAGACAGGCAGGCCGGCAGGCAGGCAGGCAGGCCGGCAGGCAGGCAGGCAGTCGCGCAGGCAGGCAGGCCGGCAGGCAGGCAGGCAGCCAGGCCGGCAGGCAGGCAGGCAGACAGGCAGGTCGTCAGGCAGGCAGGCAGGTGCTCACCAGGCGAGCAGGGCCGGCGCTCGACGGGCGGCGGCCGAGTAGGCGCACGACAGCGGCGGCGTCGGGGCCGCAAAACCGGCTGCAGAGCAGGGCCGAAGCAGCTGCAGGGCGGGGCCGTCTCAGCGGCAGTAGCAGGGTGGGGCCGCGTCAGCGGCAGGTCGGGGCCGTGGCAGCTGCAGAGCGGGGCCGCATCAGCGGCAGGTCGGGGCCGTGGTAGCTGCAGGGCGGGGCCGCATCAGCGGCAGGTCGTGGCCGAGGCAGAGGGCCGCGCGCGGCTCGGCGCGGGCTGCGCGGACAGCGCGCGGAGCTGCTGCAGGCCGCGCGCGGCCGCGCTAGGGAGTAGCGGGCCGCGCGCGGCTCGGCGCGGGCTGTTGCGGGCCGCGCGCGGGCCGCGCGAGGCAGTAGCAGGCCGCGCGCGGCTCGGCGCGGGCTGCTGCGGGCCGCGCGCGGGCCTCGCGAGGCCGTAGCAGGCCGCGCGCGGCTCGACGCGGGCTGCGCGCGGCAGCTGCGGGCTGCGCGCGGCTGCAGCGGGCTGTGCGCGGCTCGGTGCGGGCTGCGCGCGGCTGCAGCGGGCTGTGCGCGGCTCGGCGCGGGCTGCGTGGGCTCTGTGCGGGCTGCGCGCGGCTGCAGCGGGCTGTGCGCGGCTCGGCGCGGGCTGCGCGGGCTCTGTGCGGGCTGCGCGCGGCTGCAGCAGGCTGCGCGGGCCTTACGGGCCTCTAGGGGCGGCGCGTGGGCCTTACGGGCCTCTAGGGGCAGTGCGCTGGCCTAGGGCAGTAGGAGGCAGCGCTAGGGCTGCTGGACGGCGCACATAGTGCAGCACGTCACAAGGCAAGGCAAGGCAGGCAGGTACGTGGGGTAGCGCGGTAACCGCAGCGGTAGGTGGGCCCGGAAAAAAAAAAACGGTCCTACGGACCTTAGTGCTCTGAAACCATGTCAGAATCTAGCAGCAGGAAATGAATGAACTAGCAGCATGCAGGAGTACAAGTAGTAAACCCTAATTGGGTTGTACCCCATGTGGGCTACCCCACTACAGCCTAGACAATATCCAGCATATATGTTTGACATGCACATCGATGTGCCTATCGATGTGGGAGAATCGGTGTACAGACATCGATGATCCCTCGATCCTGGCAAAATGTAAACATGTGCCGCGTCCTAACAGTGTTTCGCAGCCATCACGCGTCACATTTTCCGAGCCATGCATCACTAGACTAACCCGACTCGGCCTGCATTTCGGGACTAACCCAGACCTCGCTGCTAGAATCGCACCAACTAGATCGCATGCCGCGCACTACCAGTTGCATGTTCTGATGTATATCTTCACTGAAGGCTTAGCTCACATCTTGTACTAGTTTGCCAACTATGTGCAATTCTGACCACCTCGATACATCCCACGTGTAACACTTGGTTGTCCGAACCACTTTCCTCTTGGACTGCGCAATTCTGCAACCAGTAGAACTTAGCTTTTGATTTTCCACTCGAAGGGGCTTACGCCCCTCAGCGTTCTAGGAGTCGCTGTCCTTGCGCTCTCTCGTAAGCGCGTGCAGCCATGACCGAGCCTAGCACCTAAGCCGGCCGACGTCCTTCGACATGAGGGATCGCTTGAACACGTCACCTTTAAGCAGGAGCACTTGGACAAGCTGATGTGCCAACTGAGAGAAAGAAGCGAAAAAATATTGGACGCTAACGTCATAACGAACGCAAAAGGACATCGCACAGACGCAAACGTGAGGAACAACATCACATGAAGCATCATCCGCAGTCAAATACGGGAGTGCGGGACAACATCCGAGCGCTACTAGTAATGGCGTCGCACGCAACGATGCTGGCGGCGACCATGGGATGGCATTCGCCAATGTGACGAATGTGGTTGGAAGTGAATGACGCTTAAACAAATCGACGCAAATCAATGACTGACCACTCCCACCACTCATACCGCTCAAGCTGCAGCGTCCGCCACGCTTAAATCCTAGTCAACGGGGTAGTCTGACAGTTCAAGAGTAACTTTCAATCATTAACGTTTTTTCACGACGCCACATACATCTTGCAAGTTGCGGCAAAAATTCGTTACGCCGTGTCGTTACTGTGATGACCCGCCATAGATTGGTGGCGCGTCATCGTCGTGAAGCTGAGTAACTGCGAGGCTCTACCGCCACCTAAAGGACCTTTTGGACCCTGGACACCATCGTACTTCGTGGAGGTAGCATAGTATCGCATGTGGGATGTGTGATGCGTTGGACTGCAACGGAGGTTCAGACCAATCGCGATGTTAATCTCTGCCTGTCAGAAGCTACGCACTTTGCGACAGCTCAGATCAATTCATGACTACACTAGCGGATTTCGGGCATTGTGCGAGCAAGTGGGTTATTTGCATGATGATGAACGCATTGATCGCTACGTCGACGGACTGAAAGGTGAAATCCCGCTGAAAATCCCGCTCCGCAACGTCACATAATTCAACAAATCATTGCCATGGCAGAAAAGCTAGATTTCCTGCACCGACCAGCAAATGTAGACTTTCTTCCTGCAATAAGAACTGCAATTGGGGACACGCGACTTGTGGGACGGACGAGCACACCGCGATACGTGCCGTCGTCACGAATGCCGATGCCACACCATCTAAAGGATGTTGCTTTGCGTGCAGCAGGCTGAAGCATTGCGAAAGTGGACGCCCAGAAGCCAAGGGAAAAGATTGAGCTAAGGCGTTGAATTAGATCAAGCAGCATGGGAACGTTGGGAGTCAGTTCATGTCAACGCAATCACGATAAAACGCGCCCTAGCGGCAAGAGCTAACGTGTAACCGGTCAACGTTCGGGAAGCCTAGTCAATGACAAACCGAGAGATTCGCAAAAACTGCCTCACAGCGTGCGAAATAACTTAGCAACGTTGGGGCAAACCTCGATGATCGATCGGAGAGAGTGCCACATCTGCAACCGCATTACACAGCATACAATTAGAGCCGATAGCACAGCTGACAACACAACAACAGTTTCGACAGGCCCAACCCGAGCTAGACGAATTACAGAAGCAGTTGGATGTCCTTATCAATCAGAAATTCATTCGCTTGAGTTAATCACATCTCCCCAAGCATGCTTCGCTGGAGTGAGTCTACGCCCTGGAACTAGCTTGAACCTCGCAACAAATATTGTACTAGCTAGTTCTCACGCATGCATTACCGCTTGCGTGTTTTCATATATATGCTTGCACATGCCTTCGCTCACACCTTGTACATGTTTTCCAACTTAGTGCAATCCCCACTACCTCGATACATTGCATCCATCACATAAATAAACTACATAAACTTCATATAAGAGAGAAAGAGAGAGAGAGAAAACAACAACAACAACAACAACAACAACAACAACAACAACAACAACAACAACAACAACAACAACAACAACAACAACAACAACAACAACAACAACAACAACAACAACAACAACAACAACAACAACAACAACAACAACAACAACAACAACAACAACAACAACAACAACAACAACAACAACAACAACAACAACAACAACAACAACAACAACAACAACAACAACAACAACAACAACAACAACAACAACAACAACAACAACAACAACAACAACAACAACAACAACAACAACAACAACAACAACAACAACAACAACAACAACAACAACAACAACAACAACAACAACAACAACAACAACAACAACAACAACAACAACAACAACACCAACAACAACAACAATTGCACCAACCGCAATTCTCCAGCACCATCACCAACACCAGCAACGGCAGTAATAGCACCAGCAGCAACAATCTCAGCAACAGCAGCACCAACAACACCAACATTACCAACAGCAGCAGCAGCAACAACAAAAGCATCAGCGATAGCAGCAGCAGAAGTATCAACAGCAATTGAAACACTAGCATCGGCAGCAACATAACAACAAATAGTAGCAGAAGTATTAATAGTGACGACCCTAGCGACACTGACTGATGAGAAGGATGATGACATCAACTGACGAAGACGACGAAAAAAATGCCGTCAATAATGAAGTTGCGCGATGTATACAGCTTTTTAATACTCTTTTTAACATGTCGTAATTAGCTGCTTTTTGCATACTTATAATTTCACTTTGTGATTACACATATTGGAAACGTGTTTCAGTACGTATCCAACATTTCTTTCGGGCAATTTTACATTCGTGTTGCAACAAAAGTTGCTGAAATTTTAATTTATCTCATAATGTCCTTCATGCTAGAGTGGTGTGTTGTTTTTTTATGAAAAATATATTCGAATATATTTTTATCGTAGTATTTGTTACAATCTGAAGTGAGATTTGTGCGAAAGGATCGTTCAGGGTTGATCGCAGGTAGTGTCGCAGCGGAAGTAGTGAACTCAGGTCAGAGTGAATGTAAATGACTGAGATTGATAATAGCATGCATACATAGGGTTTATATAGAAATACAAAGGAATGCGAAACGACCTAGACTAGCCATGTACTCTAAGGGGTACATTCCCTTATTCCAGCGAAATTCAAACCGTGCGGCGCGGGAGTCAGTTTCAAACCTGTTCCCGCTCTTTTTGTCAAACATTATATGTTTATATTGTTCTAGGCTGTAGTGGGTGATACCTTAGGGGGTATACCAGGTTAGGGTTTCATATTTGTACTGTTGTTCCTGTTAGTCACACCATTCCTGCTCAGTTATTTCTGACATGGTTTCAGAGCAGGTCCTTCGCTAGGACTGTTCTTAGGGCCCACCGACTTACCTACCTGCTTACCTTCGCTTGTTTCCGGCCCCGCTGGCCCCGTCGATCTAGCACGATCTAGCGGCCCTGCGGCCCCGTCGAACTTTTTTTTTCCTAGCGGCCTCTCACGGCCCCCGTCGCGTCGCCCCTTAGCGCCCCGATCGGCCCCGTCACGCCGCCCGCGAACCGCACAGCGCGCCGCGCTCACAGCCCGCGAACCGCCCACGCACAGCCCGCGAACCGCCTGCGCAGCCCGCGACCAGCCCGCGCAGCCCGCGCACAGCCCGCGAACTGCCCGCGAGCAGCCCGCGACCTGCCCGCGAACCCCCGCGACCCGCTTACGCAGCCCGCGAGCAGCCCGTGTCAGAATCCCAACCACTAACCATTGGGATAAAAGGGCTTGTTTGTGTAGCGGGTGAGTGCGCCCATAACCCCCCAGGCCGCCATGCCTGTAACCCTTCCCTAGGATCAATCGGGGATCACCAGTGGACCTCTGACACCCCCCCGCACTGGGATGCCCGAGGTGCACACACCGGGATTCGAACCCGAGACCTTCGCTCTGATACCATGTCAGAATCCCAGCCACTAACCACTGGGATAAAAGGGCTTGTTTGTGTAGCGGGTGAGTGCGCCCATAACCCCCCAGGCCGCCGTGCCTGTAACCCTTCCCTAGGATCAATCGGGGATCACCAGTGGACCTCTGACAGCCCGCGCAGCCCGCGCTGAGCCTGCGCGGCTCGTGCGCTGACCGCCGCCGGCCCGCACGCTGCCCGCACAGCTCATATACGGCCCGCACGGCCCGCGCGCTGCCTGCTCCCGGCCCGCCGCTGCTGAGCCCGCAGCCGCCCGCGCACCGCCGCTGCTGAGCCCGCCGCCGCCCGCGCACCGCCGCTGCTGCGCCCGCCGCCGCCCGCGTATCACCGCTGCTGAGCCCGCCCCTGCTGCGCCGGCTCTCGCTGCCGCCTGCTGCGCCTGTGCACCACTGCAGATCCTACTACTACACTTCCTGCTACTGCTGCTTGTGCGCCACTACAGTCCGTAGGCCCCACCGGCCCCGCTGACCCTGCGCACGCCTTTTCAGTGACTTTACTGCTTCTACTACTGCCGCTGTCGCTATGGCTAGTCCTCCTGTTCTAGCTTTCGACGCCGAGGGCCGTCCGGTCAAATTCGAAACCTGGCTAGATGACCTGCACCTTTTCCTACAGCTCACTGCCAAGGAAGATATTACACTGTACGACCACGCTCTCGGCCATGCGACCGCCCCACTCGCTACTGCCCCCCCAGCTGAGCGCTCACAGTGGCAGACCCGTGACGCGCACGCTCGCTTTGCTATTTGCAACTCCCTGCCGCTAGATGAGCGCGAGCACTTCGGCCAGTGCAAGACTGCTAAGGACCTCTACACAGCTGTAGTGGCCCGCTACTCCTCACCCGCTTCTGCCACACTAGGCCGCCTCACTCTCCCCTACCTGTTCCCCGACCTAGCCTCCTTTCACACTGTCGCAGACCTCATCACCCACCTTAAGACTAGTGAGGCTCGCTTTCGCGCTGCCATGCCTGACGAGTTCCTCGCTAGCAACCCCCCCCCGCTCTGGATCACTCTCTACCACGTTGTCACCCGCCTCCCTGACTCTCTGCGCCCTGTCAGGGACCAGTTCCTCTCTCGCTCCCCCACTGAGCTCACCGTAGACCTCCTCGAGAAGGAACTGCTTGCAGCTGAGGCTAGTATCGTCGCTGTAGGCACCTCTCGTGGCGACCCCCGCGGCCCCTTCTTCGAGGGGTGCTCCCCTTCCCCCCTCCTCCCCTCTGTCGCCTCTGCTGCTGCTGTCGACCTCCTTGGTGCTGAGAAGGTCGGGGCTGCGTCTGCTTCAGGCGGACGACGCAGGGGCAGGAGTGGCAGGAGTGGGGGTGGTGGCGGAGGAGGCGGGGGTGGAGGTGGTGGCGGTGGAGGTGCGACTGGAGAGGCTAGTGGCGGCAGTGGTGGAGGTGACAGCGGCGTTGGGAGTGGTGACAGGGGCGGAGGTGGCAGCGGAGGCGGAGGTGGTCGTGGCAGCGGCAGGGGTGGAGGTGGCCGGGGCGGAGGCGGAGGGGGTGGTGGTCGTGGAGGCCCGGGGGGCGGTCAGAGTCAGCAGCCTGCCCCGACCCTTCAGGCCGCCCGTGAGTGGTATGCGCGGCGCAGCGTCACCTGCCAGTACGTTATTCGTACAGGTGACCGCACTGGCCAGACGTGTGGGGGGCCGCACCAGACGGAGCGCTGCTTCGCCCGCCTCAACGATGCGTGGCGCACCCAGTTTCCTGGTGGGGGTGAGCTGCCGCGCTGGGCTGAGCTGCTCAGGAAGGGTGTTGATATTTGGGCACTGGACTTTGATGCTATTCTCACTGCCATGTATGCGATGTCTAATAGTGGAGAGGGTGCTCAGTACTTGCGTGTTCCGCCCGACCCGGGCATTCAGGCCAGCCCCGCTGCTGCTCTAGGTGCTAGTGTGTCTGCTTCCACAGGTACTACTGCAGCTGCTGCTCTAGGTGCTTGTGCGTCTGTGCCCCCTGGTACTGAGTCGACTGCAGCACTACACACCTTCACACTGGACTCAGGTGCTTCTCGCTCTTTCTTTCGTGACCGCACTGTCCTTGAGCCTCTAGCTCGGCCGGTTGCTGTCTCTCTTGCTGACCCCTCTGGGGGTCCGGTCCTTGCGACCTCCTCCACCACCCTTCCGTGTCCAGCGGTTCCGTCCGGCACGCTCTCAGGTCTCTACCTCCCCTCGTTCTCCACGAACTTGGTGGCAGGTAGTGCGCTCCAGGACGGGGGTGTTCACCAGTTCACCCCTGCCTACGAGCGTGTGACTCACTGCACGTGTGCTCGGACGGGCCGCCACCTAGCTACTTTCACTCGAGAGCCGGGGTCTGACCTGTACACACTGACCACTGAGTCCCCTCAGGTAGCTGCGTCTGCGTCAGCGTCAGGTCAGCTGTCCGCCCCCTGCTCGTGTCGCTCTCTGGCGAACGACACCGTCCTCTGGCACCACCGCCTTGGTCACCCGTCTGTGCAGCGCCTGCGGGCCATGCACAAACGGGACCTTGTTGCTGGTCTTCCCAGGGTGCTCCCTCCCCTTCCTGACTCCCCTGCTCCTGACTGCATTCCCTGTGTCGAGGGGCGGCAGCGCGCCGCTCCTCACTCCTCCTCCTTTCCCCCGACGACCGCTCCCCTGCAGACGCTCCACATGGACGTGTGGGGCCCAGCCCGCGTCCGTGGTCAGGGTCAGGAGAGGTACTTCCTGATAGTTGTTGACGACTACTCGCGCTACACCACGGTCTTCCCCTTGCGCGCCAAGGGTGACGTCCCTGGTGTTTTGATCCCCTGGATCAGCCGAGCCCGTCTCCAGCTAGGCGAGCGCTTTCACTCGGACTTTCCTGTCCTGCGCTTGCACTCTGACAGGGGTGGTGAGTTCGCCTCCGACCTCTTGGCAGCCTACTGTGCTGAGCACGGCATTGAGCAGTCGTACACGCTTCCGGCCTCTCCACAGCAGAATGGGGTTGCTGAGCGCCGCATTGGCTTAGTCATGGAGGTCGCTCGTACCTCCCTGACCCATGCGGCTGCTCCCCACTTTCTGTGGCCGTTTGCGGTCCGGTACGCTGCGCATCAGCTCAACCTCTGGCCCCGTGTCTCCTTGCCGGAGACTTCCCCGACTCTGCGGTGGACGGGAGAGGTTGGCGATGCGTCGCGTTTCCGGGTGTGGGGATCCCGAGCTTTTGTCCGCGACACGTCTGTGGACAAGCTCTCCCGTCGCGCTCTTCCCTGTGTCTTCCTTGGCTTTGTTCCCGACGCGCCTGGATGGCAGTTTTACCACGTCACCTCGCGCCGGGTTCTGGCCTCTCAGGACGTCACTTTTGACGAGTCCGTCCCCTTCTACCGCCTCTTCCCCTACCGCACTGCCCCCCTCCCCCCTCCGCCGCTCTTCCTCGCTCCAGGTGCTGAGGTACCCGACCCCCTCCCCCCTCAGGGTGCCGCTCCCTCAGGTGTGTCCCAGGTAGACCCGGGTGAGCCTGTCGAGGTAGCTGTTGACTCGCGTCCTGCGTCTGGGGGTGCTGAGCCTGGGAGTGCTGAGTCTGGGGGTGCTGGGCCTGGAGGTGCGGAGCCTGGGGGTACTGAGCCTGGGGGTACGGAGCCTGGGGGT